TACTCTATTTTGGCTGATTCCGTTATTTTGTTTGGTATGAACCATTTAACATTAGTGTCACACAAATTAATTCACTATCCCTATTTTATTTCTTGGCATGGACCTGTATATTTATCCTCAGGATTTCCAATTTAAGACTCCATTCGTCGATTTACCTCTGCTATCACAGGAACCAATTACGTGGAAAGAAAATGTTTGCACACTCTATTGGTGCAAAAACAATTACATTACGTCAAAAGGATTAATGGTGACGTGAAAATGAGATTTGGGATAGGAAATTGTCGTTACGTTTACAATCCTGTTTTTGGATTTGCTTTGAAGGTAGAGAAGGAAGGAATGGTTTCAATCTTTCCATGTTACCATGTCATTAGCAATGAAGAACCTAAAATTACAGGACGAGCCTGTGTCATCCATTCATTAGATAACTTTGTTCCGTGTGTTGTAGTTAAGATAAGCAACGCAACATGTGTTCTTGTGTCTTATCACTCAAATAGACTGTCGTTTGTTAAATTGTTTGTCTTCAATGATTATAGAGATGGTCTTTTTGCTGTTTGTTTTCTTCGGACCGGAACAAGTCCTGGTGTAAAGTGACTTTGGGACAAATTCAATGCTGATGAAATAATGCTGGGTCAATGCTTGCTGGGTGGTATTGGCTGTCCCTTCTGGTGATGTTGCAAGGCCTCATGAATTGTTGTGCTAACGGTCTTCTTCCAAAGACAACAAAACATCGACTTCGATTTGTTCCAACTTTCAGTGGAAAAGCGGAGGATCCGCTCCAGCGATTACAGGATTTTTATTTTTGGATGAGGATCAGTTGAATCCTGAAGTTTCATGATCGGCTGAGGATGCGTGGGCTCTGGCTGCAGATTTGTCAGGGCCCTCCTCGAATATGAGATATTGTTTGTAAAATATTGAAAATAAATGATTCTTCATTTCGGATGTACAATCGTAACCAACCAAAAGTATATTCATTCTAGAATCTTCTAGTATTTTAACACTTATAGACTCAGATGTAGCTCTAGACGCTCTATAAAGTTATAGCGCATCTAAAACTGTGACGTGTTCTAGATAAAACTCTAGAAGTCGCATTTTATTGCTAAAACCAGTTATAGCTACTAAACTTTCATACGGGCAAGTAGTTGTTGAAATGCTTTGTCCTGTTTCTGTTAGCCAAATAAAAAAAATGTCTGCATGTAACACTACCTTTCTCGAGCTCACACAATTTCAAGCATGGTTACAAAGCTGGTCTCAATCATTAGAATTATACGATGAACGATATTCCATTGATGGTCTATTCGTATGGAAAGAAAACTCGTTAGAACTCTACCACAATATTCTAAAACATTTGGATGATGGTTTTGATCAATCGGAACAAAATCTGAAACGACAACAAATGGAATCATTAATGAAACAAGAAAATATAACAAGGCTTGATGATTTATCGTCCTCTCATAAAACTCAACTCTCAGCCATTGATGAAAAAAAGCTGGAGAGAATTCAATTGCCGAGCCTTGTGAGCTTGCGGGATCAACCTTTAACGAATTTTAATCCTCATCCGAGGAGTAGTAGCACGGGTGAGGGAGGTGAGGATAGTAACACCACCTATTCTCAAAAATCTCAATCCATCGATGAAGAGGCAACCGATCAAGATCCCTTTATAATTTTCGATGATTTTGTAGACCCTCAACAAGGGAACGATTTTGTAGACCCTCAACAAGAGAACCATTCCAGTACTGCCTCGAAAAGTGAATCTGACTGTAATGCGGTTGTATCCTCATCATCATTGTCATCATTCAATCAAAAATCTTTTCTTCATTTGTTGGAATCAAAAATGTTTCATACGAGTCGAGGATATATTTACGAAGAATATGAAATGAAAAATAATTACCCATGTATTTATTTGAAACCCAATAGTGAATGGAGTGTATTTCCGTACTTGAAAAATGTTATTAGATCCTATACACAGTTGCCATACAAGATTATTACTCGTGCTGTGAATTTTCAACAAGTTTTAAGCGATGATGGAATACAATTACCATTGTTTTATGGAAGCAAGGAAAATTTACAATATGAAATTCATACTTGTCATGACAGTGAGAATTGTGCCTTGAATTATATTTCTGCAATTATTTGGAAATCAAACTTTTTACATGTTCTATTGAATATTTGCAACCTATTTAATGGAATCACCTATAGAGTATTTCCATGGAGGACGTTTTCTCATTGTGATGACAGTTTGGCATTTGACATATCTCTGCCGTACATTAACACGTTTGTAAACATTGCTCACACTCACGTAGGTTGATGTTACTGTTTTATAATGGTTCATATCACAATATTTGCTATGACATTTATCAACATGTTGAATGAACATACCAAATTCTTTCATTCTTTTCAGTACTATTCCAGGACCTTCTCTGAGGTCTATAACATACAATATCGAGTTAAAGTGGATAATCACGTAGCTGTAAGTCATAACCGAGTTGTATATGTACCAATATTGTATTGTCAATATTATCATTGTAAAAACAGCCTGTATTTCAAACGTGTGGAGTTGTGTCATCAAGAGTGATTGGAGCATGTGTTGCATCATTGTCTGATGAGAAGGGATTACGGCTCCCTTCCTCCCTTAACAAGTATCAAATTGTCATTATTCCAATATTGAGCAAGTTAGTCGACACTCAGCAGCTTTATGAAAAAATTTCTGAAATTGAAAGCAGATTTTCCAATTTCGGTTTTAGAGTTTATTCAGATCTTAGATATGGCACGAAAAATGTTGAGAAATTTTATTATTGGGAATCTCGTGGAGTTACATTGATATGTTCAGTAGGAAAGAGTGAAATTGAAAATAATAGCGTTACTGTCAAGGGAAGAATTTCGAATGAAAAAACTTCCCTATCATCCGAATCTTTTTCAAGAGATGATATTATTCAACTGTTGAAAAAAGAAGATATGAGCCTCCAACATCAAATTCAGCAACGAGTGAAAATTATTGAGTGCTCAACAATGAATGATCTCATTGATGTATTTAAAAATGGAGTGATGAAAACGAGAGAATGCAGCACAGATCCCAAGCAACGAAAGAAAGAACAAATGGAATTTCATGTGAAAACAATGACATTGTGTCCATTCTACATTGTTATTACGCCCATACATTTCGATCCAACAAATCATGCACGAGTGAGACAGTTTCATCATGCCAACGAAAAATTCTTTAAGGATTGTTGTGCTGAATTTAGAGGTTTTATTCCATTTGGTGAAGAAGGGTCAAGTTTTTCTTCGAGTGCTGCGAATTGGCATTTACATGATTGCATGCCTCGCTACCAGCACGATTCTGAGAATGGCTCTGTGACAAAACGTTGCATCATTTCAGGTGAAGAAGCCAATGCATGGATGCTGGTGGCTAGATATTGAGATTAGAAATTGCTATAATGCAGCTTAACGCATAACCAATTTATTCTTCAGTCAATTTGAGTTTCTTTCGTGCATCATAATTCTTCAAAAACTGTTCATATGGAGACACATAATCTGGTCTATAAATACTGTTCTTGTTCAGTGCCAGTTGTTCCTTTCTGGGTGTCCAGGTTTGGAATTTTGCTTCTTCCGAGCCACTTTTCGCTTGTTGGACCTGTTCCTCGGCAAATTGTCGGTAAACTTCGTCGATAGACTCCTCGATGGGTTTGAGGGCATGCTCAGCTTCGAACTTCATGGATCGTCGGGCAAGATGAATACTGAGAGCACGTTCGAGTAACTTGTTCGCATATCTGTGCTTTTTGGGCGTCAAAATTTTAGGTCTGTCATGAAAAATCCTCTTCACAACTCGCAAATACTCCTCATGATCTGCAAACTCATTGATCGATTTCACTGCACTTTGTAAACGACAGGACCATATCGTGCCAGAATTTTGTAAATGTTTAGGTATTTGTTTCACCCATTCCTCAACTCTTGAATAGTTTCCAGATTGCGCCAAACCATCAATATACAAAGAAATACACTCGACTGTTTTTTTTCCAACAAGGTCAAACATTTCTTGAAGCTTTTCTAAAAGGCCTAATTTTGAATACATTCGCATCATTGAGAATAGGAGTTTATCGTCTCGATGCACCACTCTTGAGAAGAATTCTTCTGCCTGAACCACGAGCCCAGAAGCACAATATGCGTTTGTCATTATTGTGAATGTAAAATCTGTAGTGCTGTTTCCTATTTTTGCAAACAGTTTTTCAACTTGCTGGATCTCTCCCATCTCTCCGTACACAATCATTATGCTGTGAATCAAATTACGATCTGGCTCGCAAATTTGCTGATACTGTTCAAATAGTTCCAAGCATTTTGAATAATTTTTCTGTTTCCTGTAAAAATTGATCATAATGTTCTGTGTGTAAAGGCAAGGTTTTAGTTGCATGGCAATGAATTTCTCATATGTGCTTTCTAATGCTGATAATTCTCCCATGTCTAAAAGAGATTTAAAGACTACGGAAAATACACTTGATGGAAGATTTGGCTGCTGTTGCAAATTTCGAACAAAGTCCAATTTTCCATCTACAAATTCCTCAAAATATTTTGATAAAGCTTGAAAATTACCAGCTCTACAAAAGGACGTTAACAATGTTATAAAATTGATATAGTTTGGCTGTTTCCTAGTCCATAATTGAATGGAATCATAGAGAGCTTGTACTGCGTTCACGTTGCCCACCGTCATGTAACTCATCATCATTATATTCATGGTGAAATGATTCGGCCGAAGCACAGTAATTCCGTGATCTGCCAAATGATAAACGTTTAACACTGCTAAATAATAAATTAATTCTTTGAATATTGACTCTGATTGTGAATGCTTCTGTCTCTTTGCAAGATTGTCAAGCTTATTGTTGAGAACAATTATTGATGGATAAGGCTCTATAAACTCTAAATATTGCCTAATTAACTCTTCATCTTGGCTCTTTCCTTTAAAAAGTCTAATTTTATCATATTGGCACTGAGAAAGAAATGAATCGAGTTCAGGAGTTGGTTTAGTGGTTTTTGTTCTTTGTAAGGTTGCAGACGAGTCAGCATTAGCCGCCGTCTCGAGTAGTTCCGAAGAGCTTTGTGAAGTAGATATTCGTTGTTGGTGTTGATGTTCGACATTCAGTACTTTCTTTTGCTCTTCAGGAGAGTTAGTCATAAATTTTAAAGCAGCTTTGTTTGATGGAGCGAGCGTAGGAAAGACATTCTTATTAAGTACAATGTTTGGTTTAGAGAGAATCATGGATGACCGTTTCATAAACGTTTTGAATGGTGAGAGGGATAAATTATCTACGTGTATGCTCGAAGTAGTAGTAGCATCTTGATTATTGGATGGTTTTTTTGAAAGGCTTTCTTCATTCTGAGGTGTTGATGGAGAGTTATCGGGATTAATCTTTGCTTGATATTGGTTGCCACAGAGGTGGTCTTCAATATCATGGCAATTTGTACTAGTTTTGAAATGTTTTGCATTTGCCATATCGGTTGAATTTGTAGTGGTAGCAGCATTGCAAGTCGTTGCTTTTGAAAAATAGGCTTTCCGTATTTCATGATGCATCATGTGTTTGCGGACTGAAACCTTTTTCCAAATCATTTTGCAAGGTGAGAATTCGTCCACTCTTCCGTAATACATCCACAAGCAAAACTGCCCTTGACAGGAACGATCATGATGAAATGTATTGCTCGCAAGGTGCTTGAACATTTTTTATACAATTTTGGCGTTTTCAATAGGAATGAGGATTTTTTAGGAGATTTTCAGAATTTCAATCATGATTAAAATTCCGAGATGATTGTTACCATCCACTGTATCCAATTCTATGTAAATTGATTCTGATTTTATGTTTTTATTGATCATGAACTCGCACCACAAAATTTCATCAGCAAATAAAAAATCTATGGTCCAAAAGACACGATGAGAGCTTTTATGAATCAGAAGAGTGCCAACTCAAACAATGACAACAAGGGATCTTCATCCATACCTACAACAACTGTTTTTTCCAATGATTCCAATCTTCTACAATCCATTTACTTTTCTCATATGCAACAAAATTTATTATTGCTGGAAGAGGATGAAACACCGATGAGTGCTTACTCTCATTTACCATCATCAAGTAGTAATAATAATAATAACACCAACAATAATAATAATGGTAGTAACAATAATACAGATCCTTCACCTCCTCTGGATGGATCCAATAATTTAAATCAACAACAGCAACAATATAATTTTGTGGATTTGGATGGCTTTGGCTCGGTGGGACCACTCTCCCAATTCGACATTCCTCTCTCCATCAATATTACAGGATATCAATTAACACACAAGGAAGAGAAAAAACAAAGAGAACGAGAATTGAAACGAGAAGCTGCCCGATTGAAAAAACAAATGGAAAGCAGGAAGACTGCTGTACTTCGGGACGAATCTGATGAGATGGAAAAACGTATGAAGTATGATGGATTATCATTCTTCAGAAATGGATTCATGATATTCACAAACAGCAGTGAAACTGAGCTGGATGAGGGATCGGACCGAGGTCGACCAAGCTTTGCATCACAAGACGGTTCAAGTTTATTTGATGAAGGAGCAGGAATAACTACTGACATCATGTATGGTGAATATCAACAGCAAGAGGATGAAGCTGCCCATGACGAGGTTGATTTATTGGAGCAACAATTAATTTATTTCTATCCCAATACTGTGGAAAAACGTTCACAGTTGAATATTGTGGGATTTATTCAATCATTTTTAATTTTCTCAGATTCGTTTGCTCCTCTCATACCTGACACATTCTGTTCGGAAAGTTTTCATGATTTTGACTTGATCACAAATGGCTCTCCTTCTCCAAATAGCAGTAGCAGCAATTACGAGCATACAGAATCTCTTTTGAGCGCCTCATTGAAAGCTGAGGCAACTCATTCACACAACAACAATGCCTATATGAACTCAAAGGAGTGCAATCATCCTGTTAATTTGATACAATTCAACCATTCCAAAATGGCAATTGTAAGATATTATAATGTGATTTATTGCCTATGTGCGCCCATCAGTACTCCCAATAGCATACTTCACGAAAATTTGATGCACATTCTCAACTCGTTTGCATTTATTTATGGCTCCTACAATATTAAGGAAATTCTATCAAAGAAGAGTTATATCAATGAGCGACAAGTTGATATTGACAAGGTATCGACTGATTTCTACGTATCATCTTTAGATTGCAAATATGAGAGCACGATTGATGTCTTTGAGGATATTGCTGAGGGACCTTTTCCTGCTCGATCCATGTTTCATGACAACAATTTGAAAATTCCTTGGATAGCGTCTCCATATAGTCCCATTGTTTCAAACAGCTACAAACGAAAGAAGAGCACTAACAGGTGGAACGCTGAGCAGCAACGAGTTTTGGATGATTTTTGCCTCCTCATCAAAATGTACACTGTGAGTCAACCTTTACAATCGCCAGTCGATGAGTCTCTTCCCATTAAAGCCATGACACAACGAATTTTTCCATTCGCCATTCCATACACGGAAATACCTGAGAAAAATATTTTCATTAAGGCCATGGGGATTTTGAATCAACTTCAAGATGCATACGGTAGCAATCGAGTTCACATATCACCAAGTTATAGTTTCAGTTCTGTTGGTGTTTCACTTTCGGGTATGGTTCAAAAGCAATTGGAAAATATCAGTCATAGAGATGACCATACCGATCAAGAGAACAATAAGCCTCGCAAGGGTTCCCTCATTGGATCAGCTCTCTTTTTTATTAACGAGAGTGTCATTGCTGTCAATAATTTGGACGAGCATGTGTTGCAGTATATTTTATTCCGTCTACGATGCATTGAAAAGAATTTTTGCGAATACAAGGATAATTTTGACGAGAGTTTTAATGCTGAGATTGTCTCGAGCCCAACCACTAAAGTATTTTCTCCATCGCCTTACTCCACAAATGCGTCACGACAGGATCCTTCGAGCGTGACTCCTATACCATTGAGGCATTTTAAGAACACTCCGAGCACTCCAGTCACGAACAGTCAGAGTCCAATGGCTAAACCAATTCGATCTAATAGCTTTTCTAATAATAGTCTCAATAATACTCCAGGTGGTAATATAACTCCAAGAGGCACCCCAAGTGGAGTTAGTCCACTCGTAAGAAGTGCCACCAAATCGGGAAGCAATTCTTCTAATAACTTATTGAGAGCTACTACTACTCCAGAAGCGAGACAACGAATGATGGCAGCCGATAATTCACCTGGTGGTATGAGCACATTATCCGTACAAAGTAGCACTACAAGTGTTATTACGAGTCCAACCACGAACAGTAACGAGACGAGCGTGTTTGGAGTGAATGCTTACAAGACAAGTGATGATTGGTACATGTTTGAGACGACATCAGTTCAAGATTTACAAGGTTCGAAAGATGACGAACATGAAACAGGAAATGTTAGAGAGAAAATTTCTCGTATTAATTTGGATTACAACTTGTTCATCATATCTGGCAAAAAAGATTCTGAATTTATTTTATTGAGTGAGGAGGATCAAATCGATTACACTGTCGTTTATCTGAATAGTGATAATAAGCTTAGCACGATTATGGAAAAACATGTCTTGATTACGTACAGATATAGAGATTTATCGTTGTGTACCATTTGGAAATTTGAAGATACATTTCATTGGAGATGTGAATTGAACGATTGTATTATTAAAATTCGAACAGAGATGAGACCAATATTGAGACAAATTTCACGAAAAATGGATAGAACGAGCTATACAAATTTACTTCTCATGAGAGAAGAATCTGCTCCCTACAAACTTCATGGAAACGTACGATGTAAACGGCCAGCGACGACCAATACCATGAACAATGCAAGTGGAAATTCTAACAACCCAGAACAAGACTCTGCATTTTGCCTCATTTACGATCAATTCAATAACATGGTTACATCTACCAACACGAGTAGCAAGACATTCTTTGTAAATGTGGCCAAAGCAAGAAACACATTTTTGTCCTCAGAGCATCAACAAGTAGAGTGGTGGAATGAAGCTTCTCAAAATCATCAACATTATCACAAGCCATCCAAACAAGTATCAAAACTCTTTTTAAAGAACGACAGAGATGGATATATTTATTCAAAACAATTATTTGGAGGTCAGGTTTATTATTACAAGCAACAACAGCAAGATACAACCACACAACCTCCAACGAAAACAGCAGCATACTTTTCTCTTTCCAAGCTTGAACAATCTGTTCGAGAATCTATTAGGAGTGAGTTTAAGATTAATTTACTGTAATCATTTTGAGCCAAAGTAACTGGTCAAGCTACAGCATGCAATGGAAAGTGAAGAATTTAAAATTGGCTTCATTATTCGCAGTGAAAATTTCAAATAAAGACACTTTCCAAAACAAGAATTTTCGCTTTACAGCATCCTCTCCCCATACTCGAAAGAGTCGCAGCGAAAAAAGAGGAAGATGGAGCATCCAGCTTTTCTAATGTGTTATCCTTCTAACACTCTTCAAGAGAATACTCTCAACACACCCATTCTTCAAACTACTTACGATTCCGATCAATATCATGAAAACCTTACTCGGGCACTGTTCACAATCTTTCACAAAGAAAATCAAAGCGATCATGTTGTGAGTTTAAGAGTCAATTCGTGCCATTGCAACAATCATATGGGTGTCACAAATGTTCCGAAGAAAAATCAACCACATACTCATCGTCATGATGACAATCCCTTCATGAAAGCCAGACTTCGCACTCAAAAGTCATTGAAAAAGCCAAAAAACAGAGCCTCTACTGCCTCGTCCTCCAACACGCAAGAAGAACATGTTTATGTTTGTGGATACACTTCTTCTGAGAAGGCTGACTCTCAATCTGTCATGTTGGATGAAACCATTACAAGCATTACAGCAAGTATGAGCTTTGCCTTCTTTATCACCAATCACGGTTTGGGATATTCCATTGGAAAGAATTACTATGGGCAACAAGGTGTTGGAGATCAAGAACGAGATGCTCCCGAAAGTGATTCACTGTTGAAAGAAGTTGTGTTGGTTGGAAATCATTCAACATCTTCAGAGCCCTTAAGAATTAAAAGTATTGCATGCTCCTTATTTCATTCCATGTTAGTGACAGAATCTGGTGAGCTCTTCTCTACAGGTTATGGAGTTTTCGGTCAACTAGGTATGTAGTTTTAAAGCTATGGGTGTGACAGTTCCAATTTATATTGGCATTGTTCCAAAAACAAATCAACATACTGCACATCATGAAAAAGGTCTTGGGAGTATTTTAGGACATAAGAACTCATTCACCAAAGTTGAAACATGTGTCAACTCCAATCATCAGGTGGTTCCACTTCCAAAAATTGAAAAAGTGTCACTCGGTGCCTATCACTCCATTGTTGCCACACAATCAAATGGTTCCAACACTCCAACATTATTTTCATGTGGTTTAAATAATACAGGATGTTGTGGCTTGGGAGATAATTGGGATCGAATGTCCCTCACATGCATTTCCTTCTTTGAAACTATTTCAGATCGAGTGGTAAAAATACAAACAGGATATTCACATACATTATTTTTGACCGAGTCAGGTAAGTGTGAAAAATGGTTGGTCCTTGAATCTGATTTGAATTTGATTTGAATTTGATTTGAATGAAAATATTGTCTATTCTATTCGAATGTAACAAAAGGAAACTTGTATGGATGTGGGCAAAACAATGAGGGACAGATTGCATGCGATCCAAGATACACCTCCTCTCTAAACGTTCCTACTCTCATTAATCAAGACATTTCAGGTGTTAAGGTTGCTGATATGAGTTGTGGATTCAGTTGTAGTGTCATTCTCACCCGAGATCGAAAAGTCTTTGTGTGTGGTTCCAATCTACAAGGTGGACTCTATCTTCCAAGTTTATCGGATCGTTTGAGTGTTCTTGCAAATTTACCTTGGTTTGAAATGTGGACACATGAAGACAACAAACCTCCTCTCTCAATATTAGATCGAAATGATTATGTGACCAGAGTTCATTGTGGTATTAGTCATAATCTTTTTGAAACGGCTCACGGAAAGGTCTACGTGAATGGATCCAATCGAATGACTCAATTGGGTCGACCTAAGGAATCTCTCTTGTTTACATGTAGACCCATTGAGATTGACATTCCCAAACATGAGTTGACAAGTCAGTATGAGAGAAAGTGGTGCATTGGGCCATTTAGCAATTATACATTTTGTGTATTGAGTAGAAAGGAGAAGGAATTGCAATACATGTTAGCAAATTTGGAAGAGGTATTGAGAGGAGAATTCTTTCACGACATGGATATTGTGACCATTAAATGTGACAATGACGCTAGTATTTACAAAGATGAGAAGAGCACGAATTTCAGGGTAACGGGTCCATCCTCGAGTCATGCTTAGTGTTTTGGAAATCAAGATATTTCAAGTTAGTTCTCACCGAAATGCATCTCCAGCTTGCCTCAATAGGATGTGGCATTTAGGAAGGATGATGACTGTCAATATGTAGGATTAGTATGTTGCATGACTGCCACCATCGCAACAACAAGTGCAATCAAGAGTACTCCAATGACCATCGTCCAATAATAAACACCTCTCGTTAAATTTCCATATACCTTACGATGCAAAGGTGCCTTGGTTGGCTGGATAGATTTAGAGCTTGTTTCTACATTCTGTGTTGTATGATCGAACGAAGATGTTTGCTGTTGATGTGAAATCTTTCGGATTCGATACTCATGACTTGCAATGTCACGCGCTATTTGAGTGATGGAACGCATGACATCGATATTATTTTCTGAAAGGTCCTCAATCTTGTCATCCATTGAAGACATTTTCTCGAGCAAGTGGTTTTCAATTTCTTGTTGTGATTTCATGCATTCTTCCTTTTCGAATAGAATTTTACATTCCAAATCTCGTAATTGTCGAGTCCATTCCGTGCTGTGCGATTGTATTTCATTACTCGTCGACTGAATACTCTCTGCCACGAGTTTTTGACACTCATGATGAATACAGTCCAACTTGTCATTCACCAATGTTTGAATTTCCTCTCTTGTCACGAGTGTGGAATTGATTTTCATGTCCTCATTTCTTCTCGAAATGAATTCATGATTGTGGCCCTCATCACTATTCATTGCAATGATAGAGGAATTGGTGAGAGTATCTCTTGTCTCAATGCTACTATTGTTATTATTGGAAATTGGAGTTTGCAATAATTGACTTTCATCTTGGCGCTGTTTCAATGAAATAATATTATAACAAACCGACTGTAGCATGTTTTGAAGTACATCCATTCTCGAGGACATGTCATGTTCAGCCTCTTGAAGGATTTGATTTTGAAGAGCAATTTCTTGTTGTAATGATTGAATTCGGGAATTAAGGGATACAGTAGAAGGAGTGGTATTGGAACAATCATGATGCCAGTGTATAGAATCAGGATCATGGTCTTCCAAACGAACTATAGTGCTTTGGACGGTACATGATGATTTAGTTGTGGATTCTTCTTCCGAGTCCGAAACGTGTAGTTGTCCTTCACTTTCCATTTCCATGAATGGATCATCATGAGGGTGAGTGGTGGTTGGTGGTTGAGAGAGTTTTTCATCATCATCTTGGAAAAAGCAGTTTCTCGGAGAGGATGAAGTTGAGAGAATTTCTCTTCTGGTGATGCTGGCCGAGTTCTGTCTGTGGTCCAAACGATGGAGAGAGGAAGAAACCTCTTTCATGAAGGATGTTTTCAAACGGGAAGCACAAACAGTACAACTTGATGCAGGAGTCTTTATATCAGAGGAACAAGGTTGCTGAGGATGAGAAGGAATATCCGTTTTCCAACGTTGGAGAAGTGGGAGAGCTTGTTGAGTAGTACTACTCATTTCAATATACACTTATATTAATCTTTCGAAAGAGGAGTGATGAGTATTACGTAGTTTTCTTTGTAATATGAATAAATTATAAGAAACGGTAAAATTGCGCGGTTTTTCCTCACGATGAATGTTGTTTTCGTTATGGGCCCTTCATCATTCTACTAAGGCTATAATACTACACACTCTGACTAGTTGGTAGATTTACCATTGTTGAGGGATTTTGAAACTGTCTCAACTCGTTTCATGACTCTAAGGAAATTTCCTCCCATGATCTTAGTCACACATTCGGTGTTATAACCTTTCTGCAAGAGGGCAGCAACCACAGACATGTGATTGGCTGGAGACTCGACGCCTTTCACAAAAAGTGGATAGTGGCTATCGAAACCGGTGGAGCCGAGTGAAATGTGGTCACAACTTTGAGTCAGTGTTTTCACATAATCGATATGCCTTACAATGGTATCGATCGTGGATCGACTGGTCACATTCGAAAGCTGTGCATGAATCATTAATTGAACTTTCTCATCATGTAAAAGTACAGCTGTTCCGTTTTGATCAGACAAGCTGTTGTAGTACTTCCATTCATCACTATTAAGCTGCAACGGGTTGTAGGCAATTTGCACAATGCCTTGATTTTCTTTCACCAAGTTAATGATATCATCATCGATATTGTCTGGATGATTGCACAGGCTCTTGACTCCACTGTGTCCAATAATTACAGGTGCATATGAGTATGTCAATACATTGATCATGGTTTTAGAACTCGAGTGTGCCAAATCCACCAATATTCCAAGTTTGTTGAGTTCGTACAGTACTGTTTCACCAAATTTGCTGAGTCCATTCGAATAACCTCCCACGAGGGCTGATGCCGATTGTGCCCAATTATTTGGACATTGTGATGAGGCAAGGGACATGGATCTTACTCCTAACATGTAATATTGTCTTAAAATTTCTAATGAATTTTGAATGGCATGACCACCATCGATATGAATGAGAGACGCAATTTTTCTCGAATAGAATGCACTCCAAATATCATTTTCACTTTGAGCCCATTTCATGTGTGAGCTGAAATTTTTCACAATTCGAGTTCGAATAGAGTCTACTTGTTTTAAAACATTTGAAACAATGTTGTCATCGCAGTTCAAGGTTCGGATTGAAAATACTATTGCACTCACATTTCCGGTCCGTAATCGAGGAATGTCAGTGCTCAAGGTAAGATTGGTTTTTCGATACAAATCCAGTAATGAATCTTTGCTTGTCAAGGTATTGAGTGAGAATACGTTTTCGAAAGGCTTATTGAGTCGTTGTTCAATGAGCAACATTTTGTACGGCAACTCATTGTGTGACTCTACAAATGGTACGTATTGAGAAGCCAATATTTTGGCTCTATTGTATAATTGACATGTTCAAGTGTGCAGGTCGCAAAGCCGAGAATTTAAAAATTAATGTTGACAAGACAATTTTCGATTGATCGGCAAACGTTCGTTTTCAATTATTGTTACATTTAAATTTTTTGATCGATTCGTGAGCAACAATATATGAATATAAGATCGGTTTCAAATTAGTCAATGAGTATTGAAATGTCCAAATTTTGCAAGTCGTTCCTGATACAAACCTATCATACGAATTACTTGGTAACAAACTCTTTGTTCCAGCAATGAAATAAACCATCGGAATCATTACTGCAATCACAGATATCATTCCAAGTAAACTCAGTACAAATAGAAAACTTAATTTACGTAATTGTTTTCTGAAAGAAATTCTAAACTGATTGGCATCCTCTCCCGAATTTCTCATCATTAACCCAACTAAAAATCGAATGATAGCGAATAGAGAAAAATTAGTCTCCACTCTCCGAGTGTGATCAATAATCAAATCATCATTGGCTTGTTGTTGTGTTGTTTCATGATCGGTTGAATCGATCAGGCGAGATGCACCATTCGTTGCTTGTTGCGACATTTTTTTGAAAAAAAATTCCTGTCACTGTTTGTTTTCATCACACCACGCCTATTTAAAACATTCTTCTTTTGATGATATTAATTATATTAAGAATATCCTCTCGGAACTGACAGTCATCAATTGATGAAATTGGTATTGATTACTTGCTGACATTTTCCAATTCCAAAAACAAAGCGAGCAATCGGCATTTCAATTCCATGCATCCAACTTGGAAATACGAGAAATTTGAAGTTGATCTCAATGAAAACACTGTTTGTGGACATTGTTCCACCAAGATTCCACCTTACTTCAAAAGGAAGAGAGCTGTTTGAATTTGAATGAATTTCGTTCAGCATCTGAATTCGCTTACTCTTCGAATCCTTTTCTAATTAAGGCGAACACGTTAAAAATGTTGTTGCATTTTTCTGGACCATGTTCTATTATCCAAAAATTATCCATGTGGAAGATGCGTCTCATGAAGGAGAGCTCTTTGAGGAAGGCCATGATCACGTTGGTAGCAATGATCATGCTCGTTCTGTTCCCTACTGGAACACTCTGCTACACTCAAGAACCATCACTTAACAGCAACAACAACCTCAATAGGATGATAGATAGAGGCCATTCATTACACAAACAGTGGCATCATGTACTTACTCGTGCCGCTCGTATGATTCCTGGAACGCCACTACCAACACAATACAGTGTTTGGAATGAACCCATTCCGATTGGAACTCTCATGAATTGTACCTCCTCTCAGATCCATCAAGCACGAGAGAGTCTCAATGAAATGATGAACTATTTGCAGCAACCCTTAAACGTTACTCCAGATGTGGTGCTGGCCAAGGTCGTTGAGTTTTCTCTCACCCAAGCCACTCAAGTCTATGGATGCTCCGAATTGATCAATCCCATGATTCTTCAACGTACCGACTCGATCCTTCCATTGATACATACCAAGGCTTGTACCTATGAGAATCATTCGGATCCATTGTATCTGAAAGATCCATGTTGTAGTCCTCAAGCAGCTCTCACGGCATGTTGTGCTCCACGGACGGTTCCATTCAAAACTCAACGCATTACTCAATTCAATTCGACGTTTATTGCACAGACTTGTCAAAGTCCAAAAGAAACAGAAATATTTGTGTACAATTATTATAGGCAATATATTGAGGAGACTCTTCCCTTGTGCCAGAGTGGTTTTGATCTGTTCACCTCGAAAATTAATGCATTTGTTGATGGTATTACACAATGTAGTGTGGAGTCTAGTGCTGCTGCTGCTGCGAGTGGATTGTACGGTTTGCCAACTTTAGATCAAGTCAATGAGTTTGCTGCATGTTGGATTGACACTCTTCCAAAAAGTGCCATTCGTAATGCCTTAACCTTAATGGGACAATCCATTCACGAGTACAATAGAAAATCAAAAGATGAATTAATTACACTCTTCAAATATTTCATGATCGATCAATATGGACAAGATTCATGTGAGGACTCCATGGGAACAGTTCGATACGGTTACTCGCAAGAAGATTGTGAACAACCTGTTTGTAATGTGGACTCAAGCTTACCACTCGAAAATTGCACTGGACAAGTATGTGGCACGGAATGTCACACCGTTTCATTCGGAAATGCTACCTATTGCAAACAAGAACAAACGCAGTTCAATGATCCAACTAGTTGTGAGGCTTCCAAGGGATGTTTTTATGATGCATTAAGACTCGTTGACGATACAAGTTTCTCCAATGAATCTGCATGTGCTGCAAGTGGAAAATGCTCTCAAAGCTTGTGTGCACACGAATGTTCCAAATCGAAATGTGAAAGTATGGGAATTTGTGAACGTTTTCCTGTTATTGCTGGCAAGTTTTCCAGTCATTCCGACATTTATTGTGTGTACACACCTATGGTGTCAGATGGCAAGACCATATGTAAGAATAATGATACTCTTACCGTGATTGGATGCATTACAGAACAAGTCCAGAGTGCTTTGGCGTGTGACTCCATGAAAGCCTCTCCAATTTCGTACCCTTCAACAAGTTCTGAATGTTTGAAATGGACTCTCTGTAAGGAAGACACTGGAGCCTTCTCGTTCAAGAATTCTACAAGTTGTGCTCAGTGTGGTGGAACTGTAGTGTCACCTTTTAGATGGACATCAGCATCTTGGGTTCCAGGCCAATATCGGAGCATGAACCAGTGGATTGGACGAACGGCAATTACCGGATTTGCAAAGCAGAGAAGAGCCCTTGACATGGTTGCAGTCATGTCACTAAGTTATCGTTTGGTCGCAATGGATGTCTTTCCAATGTTGTTGTCCTACGTGTCGTGTATTGCTGAGCCAGTTCTAACAGCTCTCAATCAAGTCGTTTGTGACTGTGTTGACAGAAGCAGTTCATGCTATAGCAAACCATTCAGAACGAGTGTAGGATTTGTACGAGCCAATGACGCTAGTGTCACCTATAGTGTCGATCAGTTGTTGTCTTTAACTTTTAAACAAATTAACACTTCATGCTTGTTGAATATTGAACGAGAGGGTCTCATGAATCGAGTACCACCTTCCGTACGAACAGTTAGAAATGTATTGACAGTCGTTGACAATAGTAATGTTTTGGTTGGAGACGGATTTTGTGTGAAAGGTGCATCCATTGGAGACATTTTAACCATGTGCCTTAAAAAAAGAGATGACATTGCAGTGAATTCAACGTTTTATCAAACTCCTGCCATACTTGCCAAAAATTCGAACAAGAACATGACCGAGTGGATTTATGGTCATAAGGTTACCTACGATTCCACAATGCAACAAGTATGTGTGGAGATTCAAGTGAAACAAGACACCTCGTCGACATTTTTCTTCCCTGCTTTTATACATCTTGATATGGTCGTGTCAGCAAGCCCTTCCTTGCATCACGCAATGTCGACATTGTGCCTTGTAGTGGTCTTGTGCTTGTTCAAGTTGGTTGTTCAATAATAAAGAGAGTTTTCTTTTCTCACTAAAAAACCAACAAAGGCTGACTTTCCAATTCCAAAAAAAATTAATAATAACACCACGTCATCATCACCGAACAACTCCTTCAACGGATACGTCCAGAATTAATTTTAAAATATAATTTAATATCATCATCGTTTCTCTCTCGGATATTTTCAAGTTATTTTTGAAAAACACCATCAACAACATGGTCAAAGTTTACGGAATTTTCATATTAAATCAAACAAGCCCGACAAGTAAGCCTACCGTCTTGTGTAGTCATACCGATAGTGGAACATGGTATAGTTTCTTGTACACGGATCAAATTACGGAACTTACCATCTTCTTAGCCAAATTATTAGCCGAAAAAACCAATCCCGGATACAGACAACAAGTAGAAAAGGATGAACTCACTGGCTATGTACAAAAAACAAAAGATGGTCTCAGTTGTGTTGTAGTGACCGATCAGGACTATCCGTTCCGTGTGGCCTTTGATTTAGTGAGACACACGCTGAGAGATTTCACAGATTGGCGTACACAACAAACACTCTCGTCACGCAACGATGATCCAGCTCAATACACAGCAACCATCAAAGATTTAATGACCAAATTTCAAGATCCCATGCAAGCAGACAAAATTCTCAAATTAAAAAAGGATTTGGAAGAAACGAAGGAAATTCTTCACCAAACTCTTGAGAAGTTAATTGATCGAGGAACGCATATCGACAAGCTCATTGAACAAACGAATGAACTCTCGGATGGAGCCAAAGAATTTTATAGGAAAACAAGAAAGAGCAATTGTTGTAATATTTTGTAAATATAACAATTTTCGCAACAATTCTATTATTTTCGCATTGTACTGACACAGTACCAACTATACATGAAATAAGATTGAAAAACAATTCCTGAACAAAGTTTTCTCCCTAGTATTATGCAATGCTGATTTATTAAATCAGATTCCTGTACAATAAGGTTCAGGTTGAAACGACCATGATCAACTTCAAAAAAAATGCCGCCAAAGCCAACTACACCTAAAAAAACCAAAAAACAACTCGAGGAAGAGAAGAAACGTCTCGATGAAAGGAAAAAGGCCGTGGATGAGGCCATTGAATTATTATTTCATCGGATTTGTCATGACTCACTCATAGAAGATTTATTGCCAAAAATTGCTGCACAACTTGTTGAAGAATTCAAGCCCGTGCTTGTGGATCCCATGAGCGAGTTGGGCCGAATGGATCCGAAACACGTCAAAGAATTGCATCTTGGCTCCAAAAACATGACTGACATTCATGAAAATATTTGCAAATTCGAAATGTTGGAAGAACTCTGGCTCAATGACAATCGTATCAAAATGGTTACGAATTTAATGGATGTACATACATTGAAATCTTCATCTCGAGAGTTACCGTTGACGAAAAAGTCAAAAAAGAAAGGATGTCTCCGTCTCAAATGCTTGTATTTACAAAAGAATAGAATCGAATCACTCGATAATCAGTGTATGAAGAATTTGAAATTCTTGGAAATTCTCTTGTTGCATGACAACAAGTTACGAAACTTGGATATGATTCTACAACAGCTCTCCCATATGAGATATTTGAAACAATTGACTCTTTTTGGAAACCCTCTATGTGAAGAGGCTGGATCCAAGTCATTGTATAGAGGACGAGTAATCACATCCATACGATCTCTGGTTGTATTTGATAGAATTGAAATTACAGAAAACGAAAGAGAAGAAGCTACAAAAATGTTTCCCAACCGAGTAGAAAGACTTTCCATTTCACGAGATGAAAAACTTGCCTTCGGTAAGACACTTCCAGCCAACACTCTCGAGAGCCGAAAAGCCAACTCCATGACTGCTTCCATACTGGGAGGCACTGCAGAGTTGGCCATTCACGAAGCCAAACAAATTGCGAAAGAAAAGGTCAAACTACAAAAGAAACTTGAAGAAGACGAGAGAGAACAAATGGCCAAGACACTAAAACAGAGTATTATTAAGCAATATAAGTCAATGGAGGAGCAGGAACAACAACAACCAGAAAAGTTATTGGAACGACTATCACATGTGTATAGAGATTTTGATGGACTTCTCAACCCCCATCAAGAACAAGTGATGAAAGAGAAAATTATCAAAGCATTTCATCCTGCATTTCTTGTTGCGTCTCCATCTTTAAAACCAAACATTTCTCAGAACACAATGAATGAATTATTGAAGGACCTTGGCATTTCTCAATTCGCAGAGAGTTGGATTCAGGAAGTGGAGTCTAAAAAAGGGCAAGCGCAAACCATCTTTGTGACCGAAGATGAAAAGAAAAAGATTGCCCTATACAAGGATTTGACTAACTCGAAGGAAGTTTCATTTCATGATTTTTTCTTGCTGATTTGCGAGCTCAAATCAGAAGAGGAGTTTTTAAATTCTCACAACCTGCAAAAGCAGCTTGACATTCGAAAAGCCCATTTCGAAAAGAAAAAGAAGGAGCGAATTGAGCGAGAAGAAAAAGAGTTGCAACAGCAACAACAGACACAACAACAACGACCAAAATCAGGCAAGACAAAAAGCTCTCAACCTGCTCGAAAAATTACAGACAATACAGAGGAAGAACAACAAGAATGGCTAGCACTAGAAGAAATGTCCAAAAATACAGCAACTCTGGAATTGCAAGCTGCTTCGAAAGCCATCAAATGGCAATCCAAGAGTCAAATTCATGAAACCATGAGACCTAAAGAAATCAAAATTGTTCCAAAACGTGGTGATGTCTACAAATCTTTCTATTTGTAAATGAAGCACCGAAGCATCCACGACTGCTAGAAGTAAGAGATGAACAATTGCCTTAACATCGACCCATACCACAACCATTTCAGTCGGCCGGGCACAATAAGAATGTTTGAAAAATCATTTAAGGTGAATTCTAATTATTCTCCACACCACTTTTTGAGCCATTTCTCCAAAAAGTAAACGCCACATCTTTGACTTTTCAATCTCCAAAAGTTTTCTGTAAGGGAATGACAGTTGAAAAAATCTCTTTCTCGCTTCAAATAAAATTCTTTAAAAAAAACCTTGTGCTTGAACATTTACGGGCGCGCACGAACGAGGTACTTAGTTACTGGCAGGCAGGCACATTCTCTCTGAAAAATACACTGTTACTGTGCTTCCGATTCGAAAATATCAGAATTAATACAATCCTTGCACAGACAGTTGGGACGAAGAAACGAACGTTTAATCTTCCGAATACTTTACAACGCTCTCTTCATACAGGGCTTATTAAATTGTAAATATATCAAAAAAGACCTTATTTTCGGAATTGATCATGTATAATATCATGTCTTTATCAAGAACTACAAACATAACGAATGAGGAAGACAGAATGAATTTATATCCTCAGCCAGCAGATACGCAACTACCAGCAACACCAAATCCTCTACGGATTGTAAGAGATACTCGAGCGAGGAAAGATCTTATTCAAAGAGAAGTATTAATTGAAAAAGACCACACTGATCACTATATCTCTTCAACAACATTTCCGATCCAAGCTATTGGCATTAATGTAACAGAAACCCTTGATTTGGAACAGCAACCACAGAGCATTACTATTGATCCAGAAATTCCCTCTTTGAAACAAAATGTTGTTTTCCTGAGAGATGAATCATTTCCAAAATCTTTGCCATCTCTCAATATGAATCAACATTATTTGTTGTATCAGGATTATGTAGAGGGAGCATTGCAGAATGGAAAGAGACGAAATTCGGACCATGTTCCTCATGTTTTTCAAACATTGGGAGAGTGTCGATTTGAATTCCCAGCACAACATGAAATTGTCAAGAATAATTCATCTACAACCTGTCAACGAGAAGAAACAGAAAATTTTCCATCACCTTTTTCCAATGATCTCTTATCACGAAAGCGAGGTTCAACTCTCCCACCGTCGTTTGCGTCGAAAACTCACCGACGACGCCCCCTTTTCAACTCTTCACAAACCATTTTTCAACAGGTAATCATGCATGATGACTTACTTTTTGTGGTGACAGAATTTCTAACTTGGCGAGATTTACTTGCCCTTACTCATACATGCAGCCAATTATTTAACTTGGGTGCAACTCTTCCTTACATTTGGAAAAATTGTTTATACTCCTTTAAAGTCAAACTCGAATTTGAGGAACAGCGACTACACCAAGAACTGCTGGAGAAGGCGGAACTTGCCACCATCTCTTATTGCCATTTTGAAACGTTTAGAGAAGTGTATGAAGCTGTAGCAGTACCAGCAGAAAATAAGAGCGTGAAATGTTTTGAACAAATGCACGATATAATGTATTTGGAAGGACGGCAATTTTTCAAAAAGCTTTCTGAGGAATCAAAAGCTCGATGGGACAAAGCTGAGCAATTTTTTTCACACACTTCCCCTAGAAGTACTGCTCTTTCAACTCTAACTTCCTCTAACTGCAATGATATTCTACCTGACCTTTTACAACCATTTTCTTCATCTTTTATTACAATTTCTAACGACTCCTTAACGAATAACGAAGAATTGAGTCCCTTCTTATTCTCTCCCCAGATACCTGAAGCTTTGTACTATGAATTATACAAAGAAAAGATGCCACTGGATTGGAAAGGCCTTATGCGATACTTTTACAGCCCTCAATCATTTTACGATGCATGTTTGGCTGATTTCTCCAAGCTGAGAAAAGTTCTAGAATTTTTTCAACTTTCTTTCAAGCCCTATCCAGAATTACTCATCTTGCATACTTTTTATTTGAATTACAATGAAAATGCCAATCCAAAAGCTTTCACTTCATCGACACGAGCATTTGTTGGATGGTCCTTTTTCTTTGGAAAGTTCTTGGAAAGCAATTTGCATTTAATACAACAACGAAATCAGAATTTACAGAAACGTGACGAACTGGAACGACTTGTTCTTCCATTTATTTTGAAAAAGTTTTCTAGAGACTTTTTGCAATTTACCTCCTCAAGTCAATGAAATTCAAACTTCAATGAAGACTGTTAACGTCTTTGGAAATAAGGAAGCGATAGAATGTCTTGGGCATTAGGCCTCATTAAAGAGTCCTTCTCCAACATTCTCAATACAATATCCACTAATTCTTCAGAATATGTTTGATTTTCATTTTCCATCATCATTTTGGCTTTCAACATTTTCCGAATTTCTTCTTGATCCTTCGTAAGCATCAAATGACTAATAGAAGTGGATACATCTTTTGTGATCATTTGATAAATGGTCACTCCCAATGAATACACATCCGTATTGGCATAATATTTTGAACCTAAACCAATTTCAGGAGACATGTAAAGTGGAGTTCCAGCATACGATTGAAGTTCAGAAATCGATGCATTTTGATTTCCTTTCGCTAAACCAAAATCAGCCAGCACGACCTTAATACGTTGCTTCTTTTCATCATAACTCTGAATAAAAATATTCGATGGTTTGATATCTCTATGAATAATATTCAACGTTCCATGCACATACGACAAGGCATTACAAATTTGGAAAATGACTTGTCGTACAATTTTTTCAGAGCATTCACGAGCGTGACCAGGTGCCGTAGTGGTAAACTTGTTCAAATCTCCATTCTCGTAAAAATCCATATCCATGCATACCAATTGATCTTTGGAAAGGAAGAGATCATTCACTTTCAAAATATTTTCATGTCGAATATTCATCAATTGCATTCCTTCTTTCATGATGGAATTGAGTTCAGTCAATGAGGAAAATTTCATGACTTTGACAGCTTTGATTTTTCCATTACATTTGGTATCGACGGCTTTAAATACAGAACCAAATGCTCCTTGTCCAATTTTAACTATTTGTTGATAACGTGAGAAGGGATCGATGTGTTGTTGACCACGAGACTCTGCCGATAAAGTGCCACTTGTCAAACCTCCCATCATTAAGGGTGTGAAATTCACACTGGCATCGGAAGGAAAATCAGAAATAAAGGAATTGGTATTTTCAGAGGTGAGATTCATCTCAATAGGAATTTGTTTGCTTTGCTCGGTGGGTTTGTTCCTCTTGTTTCTTCGCTTGACAAAGAGTAATCCCAAAATAAGAATCAATACCACAAGACTTGACAAGATCAGGCAACCACCAACGACTCCTACCACGACACCAACAATGAGAGCAGTTTCAGAATTGGTTGGCAACAGACTCGACTCTCGTTTCACTATAGTTTCACATTTTTCACCAGAAAATCCTTCTCGACAACTGCATTGATTGAATTGTTGACACTTTCCATTGCCAGAACATGCTTTCGAAGTATTCCATGACTCGACTCCAAAACACGAAGTTAATTCACAGCTGGAACCAAAATATCCATTCGGACACAAACACTCCAAAAACATGCTCGAGTCCAAGGTTCGATTCCCACTTCCATTTTCTTCCAAATTGCAATACGGAACTAATTTTCGAACCAAACCAGCCGTTCGATCTGCAAAATAAATTTCACCTCGATTGCCCAATGACAAGGAAGCAACGGTTTGAAGGCAAGTCCGAGTCGAGAGTCGACCATTTCCATTGTAATTACATAATTCAGCACTGGGGGTGGTTCCTGCAATGGTATGAATGCGTTGCGTGCGATGTGATACTTTTCGAATCAATCCATTGCCATCATCTGCAATGAGTAAATCTCCATTTTTCAAGAATAATAGACTGGTGGGAAGTCTTAAACTGGCATCTAATGCTGGAACATCCTCTCCTAAATATCCATCAATTCCATTTCCTGCGACGACTGAAATAGTGCCACTTGTCAAATTTTTCATCTTGACGAGACTAAACATGGCAAATTCGACAAAGTATATCAAATTCGAGTCGAGTGGTGAAACAGCAACCGCTTGAAGCGATCCAGTCGCATTATGTAATGACACAATTCTGCCAGTTGTCATTTCCAGTTGTACAATTTTTCCCTGATTTCTACCTGTCAAAAAAATTAAATCACCATTTTCAAGACAAATCGGATTTTTTGGTTGTTGAAACAGAGTTTGCAATGCAGGTCCATCTTGAGGTACTCCTCCCATTCTTATCGATCCTGCAATCACTGAAACATTTCCAGTCGTTCTACTATATTTGTAAACCACATGTTCGTCCCTGGCAACCGTAATGATATCTCCGTTTGGCATTTGACAGGATTGAGTATTACTCATGAAAGCATACTTGAGAGGTCCATGATAATCAATGGGTTGTGCAAATAAAGGAACTGAACGAAAACCGGACAAGTGTGTCAGAGTGTTACTCTCCTGATTGACGAGTGACGTTAAATATTTTCCACCTTGATCGTCACCTGTTTGAATGATTAACTCTTTTGAAAGAGAGAGATAGGACACGGAATTGGCATATTGAACGGAAGTGGAGAGAGCTTTTGAAATGGGAGAAAAATTATTTCTTCCTGTCAATGTTAAAAGGGTTCCATCGTGTGAAATTTTTCGAACTCGCTCACTTTGACAAGTGTCAGATGTAACTTTTGGAAAACTATTTGAAACTTACAATTCTTCTGTGAAAACGAGTTCACCCTGAGAAGTCATGAACAGTGACGATGGTTTTCTATGTGGAGTTTGTTGTGTTCGAATTGAAACATTTTGACAAGTGATTAATAAAATCAAAAGAAGGTATAAAAATTCAACCATTTTCATCACTTACTTAATCATGGTTTCATTGGCCTTGAATCCTTCACCTTCATAGCCCGTAAATTCAAAATCACCATTTGGAGGAATTCCAGCAATTAATCGAACACTGTTATCTTTCAAAGACAATGCCTTAATCATGGAATCTCCCTCAACGAAATACAAAGATTCATTCGAAATGTGAACATGTTTCAGACGTAGAACTTCATTCGTTACATTATATACTGAACTCAATGATAGATTTCTTTCGTAGAGTTTAACAATGGATTTTGCCTCCAATTCTGCAAAATATAAAATTGGTCCATCCATCGTGTCATTTATGACATGAATCATTCCAGAGGATGAAACTGGTGGTCCTTGAAAGGTATATAAAAGTTTTGAGGTTTTTGTTGAAACTTCATATTTGAAAATGTCTTTGATTGTGGCATAGTAAATTGCACCATTCACATCTGTAGAATTTTCACCCAATGCAAAGACTTTTCAAAGTTGATGAATGATTAATTTCAAAAGTGATCTCATCGCTCGTACTTACTTGCTTCTACTTTAACGTTAGTGAGAATGGTCGTGACATTTCCATTCGTTTGGAACACTCGAAGTCGTTGATTGACATAATCAGAAATTAATAATTCTCCATTCTTGTACATGAATAAACAGGTTGGAAAGGATAGTAAGGTTTCATCTCCTCTCAAATTGTCTCCATTAAAACCTGTTTGCTTCATGATTCCTGCCACTGTTGTAATAATTCCATTTTTAGAAACTTTTCGAATGGCATGATGACCATTACCATCAGTCAAAAACAATTCTCCACTCTCTGACACAACCGCATGAACTGGATAAATGTGTACTCCATTACTTGTTGCTTTTAAGCCATCTCCAAATTTGGTATTGGCATTAAATTTTCCAACAAGTGTTCGAATAAGACCAGTTTCATTAGAAATCATTTTCACTTGATCCTTTCCACTTATAAAAACATCTCGTTTAGAATTCATATAGATAAAGGAAGGTTGAAGAATGGATGCCATTTTTGGAGAAATATATTCACCTTGATTCAATGCACGACCATCTCCTGCCAACGTGTAACAAAAAACAAAATCTGGAGGAATGACTCGAACCGCATGTTGACCAGCATCTGCTACGAGTATATCACCATTAGGTTTGACATAGAGACCTCTGTCAAGTGTCAAAAAAAATTTAACATGGCTGTTAAGCATTTTTCAAACAAGAACTTACTTGATGGCTGAAAATGAATTCAATAGAGCATGAGTTCTTTCTTGAAAAACTCCCCTGCTTGCTTGTCCTGCAATGGTTATGATTTGTTGTTGTCCAATAACAGGTCCTTCAATTTTTCGAATTCGACTGTGCTCCGTGTCAATAACTGAAATGTAAATGGTACCTTGATGAGTGACATAAATGGCCGTGGGCATGGTCAATTTAGTGGTCGTTGCTAGCACATAGTCTCGATCTGCATTTCCACCACCTAGGTTTTGAATATATTGAATATTTTGAAAATTTCAATAAATAGAAAACAATTTTAATGGTAATACTCAAAAAAAAAGGAAAATTCTTTTCAACATGTGGACTTACCTGCAACCAATGACACTTTACCTGTCGTGGCATTGTAATGTTTCACTAAACCTTTCACTGAATCTGTGACATACACATCTCCATTGTTTTCTGTAACAAAAACTCCAACTGGACTTGTTAACTCTTGGTTCGAAATGATCGTTGTGACCTTTCGAGTGGATGCAGATATTTTTCTCACCATTCCATTCAGGGTATCTTTATATCCAACAAGCAATTTCGAAATTACGGAGAGGATCCGTTCGTGTTACCATAAATAGAAAATTAAAACGTCAAATGCCAAGCACTTACCAGCCACATAAAGATCTCCATTCTGAGCCAAATACAGCCCAGTAGGTCCATTCAATTGAGTCTCCAACGCATCCAATCCTTCTCCATTAAATCCTGCCGCTCCAGTTCCACAATACACTCTCAAAGTTGAATTTTTTGCATCAATCACTCGAATCACATGCTTTTTTGAATCTGAAATGAAAATTTCATTCGTCCATGAATTCACGACCACTGCTTGAGACTCTCCAAGTGGAGCATACTCACTCAATGCATATTCATCATGTATGGAATCTAAATAAAAGGAACCAGCGACTGTAAAAATTTTGTATTGTGCTGGAATTGAAGCGTCGACCATTAATGAAGAAGACGATGATGATGCATCGAGAGAAGTAAATGTTGTTCTTTTGGGAAGAGATTGTTGATGGTGTGTGGAGGAAAGTTGTTGTTCAGGATACAGCAGTAGTAGTGGAAAGGCATGAAGCGTGTGTGTGAACAGAATGAGTAACAAGATGGATACAACAATGAACATGGAAATAATGGAACGAATGGAAAAAATCACTCGAGAATGATTAAACGTAGTAGCACAAGCATGTTGTCGTCTGTGATGAGAACAAGTTTCTTGTGTGGATACTTGTTGTTGTTGTCGTTGTTTGTGGAATTTCTCTAATATTACTATGGACTTTAAAGTGGATGAAATCATTGGACTACAACTATCATCACACTTGAATGGTGTCATGTTGTAATCTTGTTGTTGGAAGTGCTGGTTGTTCCACAATTTTTTGAATGAATCCGTTTGACCCGTACTCGACGTGCGTCCTTAACTTGCGCAAAAAGTTCTGGTCCGTGTGGGAAGAATTTTGATTCGTTCTTGCTTCCTATTTTTGTAAAATTTCGAGCTCAAAGAGTGAAAAGATCATTTTTCAAGTCATTCGTAATAATTTTGCGTTGGAGATTCAACGAACAACATTCTCTTAATATTGATAATAACAACAATTAATAGTTGTTTGGGTTTTCTAAACATTGTTTCCTTCTCAGCGATATTTGTCATCAGGATTTTGATATTAATAAAACTAAAAAAACTTTGAAAAAATGTCAACCCAAGATTTGTCTACTTTTGATACTCGACAATCTGCCATTGATGAAGGTGCTCTTGTTGTGAACATGGTCTTTGAAGACGTCACTGTTCAAGATGTCATGAATGTTCTCAAAGATTATGAAAAGTATTCGGAATTTGTCGAAGGAACCAACAAGGCAGAGATTACCAAACAAGTGACACCCGATGGCAAAGTTGTGGATGTGTTTTGGAATGTTACCATTGCATCGATTAAAACTGTAGAGTATACGTTGAGATTGGCATGTTTTGAAGGTAGGTTCATGAGTGGTTGAAACGTGATCACGAAAATGAAATCGGACTTGTCGATGATGATGAATTTAAAAATATTTTTGATCATCCCCAAAACATTTATGACCCTATAATTCAAAATGATACAGATGGAATTTCATGGTAGGTGGTGTATTTTGGATCATGATGATTGAAATATATATTGTGTGTGTGTATGTGGTGTATATAATTCATGAATATCATTCTGATGGACACACAGGTCAGAAACAGATCATGGTCCATTCAAGAAGAATCGAGGTGGTTGGAAGTTGCGTCCAACAGACGATGGAAAAGGAGTCGCATTCAGTTATATAATTTTATTGGAATTTAATATTTGGGTTCCTGGATTTATCAAGGTAATTATTGTTATAATGCTTGTGGTGTGACAAGAGAATTTCTTGAACATCATTTCCTTGTGTGATGAATGAATTTAATCTTTCTAAATTCACATTTGACTTTCCAGGATTTCCTTGTTGGTAAAGGGCTTCCAAAAACTCTGGAAGCTTTCAAGAAGAGAATTAATGAAAAGAAGAATGAAAACAAATAAGTGGATCAATTATTCGTTTGACCATTGATTTCATAAATTTCATGTACCATCCACCAAATATTGAACTCAACTTGAGGAATTTAATATCATGTTGAAATAAATAGATTAATTCTCACGAAAAATTTCAGACTCCATGAATTGCATGAATTCGACATTTGAGAGCTTTACAAGTTAAAATAACTCTCCATTTCTCTTTGCCCATTCTATCACCTCTTGATAAAACATCCACTTGAAAGTAGCAGTATCTGCCTTCTTCTCAATTTCAAAATCAATCTTCTTTTCATGTCTAGTGAGGTTAATAAATTGGTTTCCTTTTAGGAATGGATGTTGTACTGCTTGTTCGAAAGAAATACGTTTTTCAGGATTCCAAGTCAAGAACTTTCTAAGCAAATCAAGAGCTTCAGGTGGAGCTGAAGTGAAAATTTGTCTCAAATCTAAGCCTTCAGTGGGATAATGGCCAAATAAACGTTCAAAATATTTCACACCATTTGCTGTACCTTTGACATCACTCATATCTGGCTTTCCTAACAATGATACAATCAAGTTCAAATGCTCTTCAATGCCTTGAATATTGGAGCCAGATTTACGTGCAACAAAGAGCGGTCTTCTTTGTGGTTTTGGTGGCAAAAGATAGAGCAATTCAGCGAATATGCATCCAGCGGACCAAGCATCAATGGCTGAGCTTTGAATTTCATATTGTAAAATTACTTCAGGCTGTGTGTCGGGTATTTTGTGCAATTCGTTTGATGCAATTCATTTCAAATGAGAATGAGGTAATTTGGGGAATTTAAATACGATGAAGATGGAGCAACAATATGGTACACATTTGAAAGCATACGTATTTGAAACGTTTCAAATATTAAACAAGCGTTGGAAAGAAATACTTACTGGACGATAATATCTGGTCACGACATACATGGATTCTTGATTAGTGACAGGGTCTGATTCCTCCTTAGTACTGAGACCAAAGTCACACAATCGATACTGTGTTGTGGCTGGGTCTCCAGTATTGCTTACAAGAACATTACTAGGTTTAAGACTGTTTCATTAGATTAATTCATGGCAGAGCGAACATTTCAAAAATTTCACAAAAATATTTCGGTATTAAAGAAGAATAGTAGTAGAGTGAATTGTTCCCGATAATGATGGTCATTTAGATTCATCGAATCATGAGTTCACAGTATACCAATGATATGCACAATTTGCAAAAATTATGATGATAAGCCGAACTCAAAAATTCAACAAATTCAATACATACTCACGATGCAAAATTCCAGCGCTGTGCATATAATACAAGGCGCTCAATAATTGGCACATGATATCTTTGATGGTCTGTAAGGAAATTCCTCCTTGTTGCAATGTTTGAGACATGAGCTGTTTCAAATCTCCTCCATTCATCATGCCCAACACAATATACAAATCGTTCATTTCCTGAAGAGTTTGTCCAGGTACAAAAATGTCAATCAATTCCACAATATTCGGATGGCCGTGCAAGTGTTTCATAATGATCACTTCTCTTAACATTCGGTATGGAGCAACGTTGAAAACGTCTCCAATCTTCTTAATAGCAACAAGTTCGTTGTGTCTATGGCGATCACGGGCAGCAATAACAATACCATATCCACCTTGACCTAAAATACAAATTTGACCAGTTTTCTCATCTTTCACAGGCTCATAACGAGTTGGGAGAGTAACATTGGTTGTACTATCAACATTGTAGGTGATGAGTTTTTTCTGATAAAGAGGAAGTTCGAGAGGAGCTGTAATTTCTGGGGTTTCATCAAGCATCATTTTGAAACTTGTTTCTTGAATATGTGATATTATTTGTGTTATTATATACTAGTGATGATGATAGTGTTTGCACGTAATGGACACGATGAAGATTACGCGGATGATGGGATTGATGATGAAGATGTTATCTGATCCGATGATGATTACAGTAAGCTTTTTTGCTTTCAAAAAATCTCTCTCGTTGATGAAAACCAATGAGAGGAGGATGGGACGATTGTTAAAACAGAGAGATCTCTGTTATCGTAATACGTAATTTTGATTCTTCTATTTCCTCGTCAGTGTTGTTGTACAGCGACTGAGAAGTGTCTTCCAAGATGATTCTGTCTGCTGCGAGTTCGGAAACGGATTCAAGAAATGAAAAATTTTTTATGATAATGTGATCGCTCAGCGAGCATGAACAAAAAATTGTTTCAAAGAGAGAATCTCTACAACATGGAAATTCGAGGGAATGTCATTGTCGTATTGGACAGCAGCACTGATTTAAAGTCCTTCAGTAGTCATTCTCCTCTCTATCAATGTCTTCGAATCAAAATGCAACACAGTCAAAAACCCTTCAGTTTAACCTTTCGTTATGTGACGAGTCTTGTTGGAGATTTTGATCTGAAACTACCGAACCATGAATTCGCGAACTCTCAACGCAAGAACAATGGCACTGCCATGAATGATCCTTGTGATGTCAAAATTACTTCATCCCTAATTATGGTTTCGGATGCATCTAATTGTCGAATATTATTCTTTGATTTGAAAACAAAAACATTTAAATTTACAATTCATGATCCTCATCGGCCCTATGGTATGGCTGTAGATCCGTATTATGATTCAAATTCTCTCTATATCACTTGTAGGGATAATTATGTAAAAAAGTATGATTTGGAATCGAGAGCAGTGGTGTGGAGTAAATTTCACATGGATTTTCATTATCCGTGTGGAATTGTTGTGGAAAGTCATCAAGTAGAAAATGCCAAAGTTATTGTTGCCGATTGTGGTAATCGATGTTTCAGAATATTTTCGAAAAGGAATGGAGATTTTATTGCAAAATGGGAATATCAATTGGAACGTTTGACTGAGATGCCATTTGGATTGGAATTGGATGGAGATGGCGACATTTTGTGTACTAATTTAATATCGCATACAGTATCATGTATTTCGAAAAATGTAAATCATTTGAAAGTCTATTGGACCATGGGAAAGGTAGGAATTTATTTACATTATTGTAACGCTAGAGTGTGGTTTGAACATTATGATTTGTTGTCAATTTTAAATCTATTTTGGACATGGTATTCATTTTCACAACATCATCATGGAACTCAAACTGGTGAATTTCAATATCCAATAACACGATCAACCCAACAGAAAGGAACTCAAACTGGTGAATTTCAATATCCACGTGGTGTATTTTTTGAGAAATCTACATCTCTTATATATGTTTGTGACCAATCCAATAACCGTATTAATGTATTTTCAAATCGAGGAGATTTTATTCAATCTTTTGGCAGTCCCAAGAATGCACCTGGATCTGGTATGAATGAATTGAATGCTCCAGTGGGGTTATGCATTTCTGAAACGACTGGAGAATTGTTTGTGGTCGATATGGGTAACAATAGAGTTCAAGTTTTCAAGTGAGATTCATTTCATTGAGGAATGATGACTGTTTCCCTTTATTATTACTCCCTTTTTCAATAAGAAATTTTACGTGCCAAGAAGAACCAATAATTCAAAGACATTTTCACATGTGTGTGACAACAATAACATTTCACACGGATGTTCATGAAGGTTTCTTTGAGGATGCTCGCTCAGAAACAGATGTGAATTTATAAGAGTACTGTTACTTCAAATTCAATGATCTGTTGAGCGAATAGCAGATGACAGGTCATTACCAAATTAGTACTGGAAAGCCAACACAAAAAAATGCGCAATCACACATGCACACGAACCTTCGAGACACTTTCTCCATTCGATGCACTCTCGAGTATTGTCATGTCTTCGGATTTTCACTTTAATTTTTTAAAATCATTTAGTAAAGTGAATGGTGTTGAAATTGTGTGCGATTGGTTTTTAGATGAAACACAAACACGACTTGTGCGGAAAACAAAAGTTCATGTCTTTAACAATCAATATTGCGCACTTTTGGAAGAGCAATTGATTTTCAATGATGAATTTGAGTTTGAAAAGGAAAATTCATGTCACAACACGGAGCTTGAAATGATGCGAATTGTTTTTACAATTAGTATTTTAGAGAAGGAATCAAAACCATTTCCTGGAACTTTAAGTATTTCCGGAATGTTTTTGTTTAATCAAGAAAAGAATTTCAAATTCATTCAAAATTTTGATTTGAATGAGAATAACAAGATTGAAGAGAATTATTTTATGAAAGCGAATCATCATTCAAAGTCCATCCCTTCATCTGTGACAACATCGACAAGCACATCGTTAGAGACTACCACACCCAACACTTCATCCAACAACGACAATAACAACAACCACATGGTCACTCATCCATCTCCGATGGTGACAACTTCCTCGAATAGTGATAGCTTAACGCAGTCGTCACACAATGATGATAGCCATACCGTGCGATTTGGCACTAATGAAATCACCATCATTGACAATGTCGATGACATTGATTTCAAGTCAAAAGTTACGGAGCCACCCTTTCAACTTGGTTCACACCATGATCAATTGTTAATAGATACCAGTGGTATTTCAAGAATGAATCACATGCATGACGATTCACAAATACCTATTCAAACCAACGTTTCCGTGACCATCTCTATTCAACTCGATTACAAGGTCATGATTTTTGGAAATGTCAACTCGATTGAAGAAAAACTCTGCAAACAATGTGCCAAACTTTTTGATTTGTGGTTTACCAAAGCGTTACAAGTTGAAAATTCCTTAAAACCACTTGCAGGAAGTAGTCAATCTCTTCGAAAATCGCAACAGCATCATCAAACCTCTCATACCATTTCAACATCGAAACCAAGTCGAGCTCTTCATAAGACCATGATGACATCCTCCTTCTTTACCTTACGATCAAGAAGTGTCTTTCGAGAGCATAATAAGAGACGTTCATTACCAATGCGACCACCTCCCATGGTTGTGAATCAACAATTATTACAGGAATGGATCACTGATCCCAATAATAATGTGTGGGAAAATCCACTCGATCCCACCTCTGATTATTTGGAAACCATTCCTCAAAAGTATCTTGCAAAACATGATCTGCATCAAGTAGATCAGGAAGTGGAATTGAATGATATGATTTTTGACTTTTTACATGTTTCAAAGAGTAGTGGTAGTAGTAGTACCAAGTCGAAACAAGATGAACCAAGTGGTGGTAATCTATATCATTCCGATGATAAGGATCCAGCACGACACGAAAATTTCAACAACAAGAAAACCAATCGAGACGAAGAAGAACAACGACAAGCTCAAAGCTGTACCTGTTGTTGCTTGTGTTAGACTGGGTGCTGTTGACGCCAACGTATGAAATCACCTGTGTGTGGAAAGAAGATGAAATTTTTTGCGCATTGGATTTTTATGGTTGTTGGAGCTTTTTGGGTATCACGTCGAAGATACATACTATTAAGGAATACTTTCGGTTACACAAAAAATTTCATTTAGAAAATCGGGTGAAGTGAGCTTTTGAGTGCACAAAAAAAATTTGGGGATACTCGCGTTGCGTTCGTTGAGGATATACTATTAAGGAATTGTGTTTTTTAAAATCTACGATTGATACAGATATACAACAACAGTATCATCATCATCATGCAACCATCACCCTCAACGAATAGTGGTGGTATGGTTGGCCGAAGAATGGGATCAACTTCTCAGCTTGTAAAGAGTGCTAGCCGATCTAAAATTCATCCTCTTCATTCTCATCAACAACCACCAGCATCCACACCTCACTATTCACAACAAGGAGAGGTTCATGATGCCTCACTCAATTCCTTAAATGATATTGTTGAAGGAAGCATGCCTTCGGGATCAAGCCTTAAAAACCACCAACACATGATGATCATGACGAACGGAAGCACTCCCACGCCCACTCCAGCTCATCATCCCTCATTAGGTAAAAGATCTCAATCCTATCATACACTACAACATTCAGAGTCTACTTCAGGAAGTACAATGATGAGTGAATCCATGTCCATCTCTTCTTCGTTGGATGATTTACTGGCCTCTTCTACTCAGCGACTGTCGAGATCTCAAAAATTAGTTCGATCCTTCCGAGAGTGTTGTCCTGCTCTGAATTCATTGCAAAACTTACTGTTGGCACTCTTTCTCATGCAAACAGCAATTTGTATTGGTTCCATGATTGTACTGATTTATGCGAGTGGAGAATCGTCATTGGAGGAAATCTCTGCCATTCGTGAAAAGAACATTAAGAAGAGTGTTGAATCGTATATGGGTGTTGCATTTGAAGCACTCTCCACGCTACGATATGGATTCTTAATACAGGCGCGTGATTACAATTACACATTTCCATCGGACTATTCTACCATTTGTCGTCGAGTGACAAATGTGTTTGCTCCCTCAAAGAATGCATTTCCAGCCTCAACAATCTTCTATTATGGAAATAATAGAAAGAATTATTGTGGCGTTGAGAAGAGTGTCACTCGAGATTATGTTCAGGTACGAAATGACAAGGCAGAAACATGGATCTATACGCACAATGAGTTTTATGACCCCATTAATGTTTCTCTTGTAGTTGAAAATTATGATCCAACCATTAGGTAAGTGTGGAATGAATCCATCCAAACCAATGTATTTGGTTTTTTCACCACTACCTGCTCAACCATTTCATGAATGCAATCAACGTTTCAAATCAACAATTATTGTATATATAGACCATGGTAAGTTTCGTCATGATGACACTCCAATTTGTTCATATGAAAATTATTTGTAACATGTTGGTACCCATCTATACAGGTATAAAACTGGACTTCAAAACACCTTTCCAAAATTTGCATGGTCCACAGTTTTTAATAATGCATTTTTAGGCTGCATTTCCATTGCTAGTAGTTCAAAATTAGAATTTCCAAGTTTTGAAACTATTCGACACTCCAATGGTACTATTGAACTCTTTTCTGTACACCATATTTTAGGCATCCATTTTGACTTGTATAATTTAGATGCAATCCTGTCGAACATCATTAGAGATAATATGGATATGCAGACAAAATCTATTGATGTTGTCATTGTGGAAAGGACAGGATTTTTAATATCAACCTCATTTGGAGCCTTGACACAGAATGAAGCCAAGCAAAGAATTCACGTTTCGAAAACTACTTCCGTTTTTGCGTTAGCCTCCAATGAATTGGAGAAGAGGAAAATTTTAATCCCACAAAGTGCACAAACGAATTTAAGTGACTTGTCATTGCTCATTGATGTCAATGCATCGACTACCAAGTTCATGATTGATCAGAACAAGATTTCGATTCATTACATTCGTGAGGATGGTTTAGATTGGGTAATGATTGTGTCTACGCAAGAATATGGTTTCATTAAGACTGTGTTCACAAGCTCTCCTGTATTGCTGTCAATATCGATTATTTTAATTGTTTGTGGAACATTGATCATGGTTATTGTGACACAAATCATCACACGATCCATATGGAGTGTTTCAAGAGGTAGGTGGCATGTTTTATTTTCACGAATTCATTCTTCTGTGTTTCCGTGTTATTGTGAATGTTTTACGGTGACACACATTCGTCGTGTTATGACTTGATGGTTGTCATTGTTTCACTACTATACTCATAGAATTGTTTAAATTATCGAAACTTGAAATTGAGGATATTAGAAAGAGGAAAATGTTGAAAGCGATCTACGAATTGAGTATTTTACAAACTTCTCTGTATACAGTGAAAAACGGCTTGCAATCATTTATGAAATTCATTCCTAGAGATATTGTGAAAGATATTGTACGAACAGGTGGAACTGCCAAGCTAGGAATGCAACATGCACTCACCACCATCATGTTCACAGATGTTGTGGATTTTACAAACTTTAGCGAAACTACAAATTCTGCAATTATTGTCAAAGTTATGAATGAATATTTTAATGTTGTGACAGAGAGTGTTGAGGTAAATGAGGGCGTAATCGACAAGTATTTGGTAGGTTTCATTATAATTATTAGCAATCTAATGAGCAATGTTTCAGGGCGACGGTATAATGAGCTTGTTTTCAATTCCTTTAAGAATGGTTCATGAGCACGCCGTTAAGGTAGGTTGTAAAGTTGTTGTTTTTTTGTACGAAATTTATTGTATCCATCATGGAAACATCATCAGGCATGTCTCTCTGCACTAACCAGTATCGTTAAGCTTGACCATATGAAGAGTAAATGCCAAAGAGAAGGTTGGCCTATTATCAAAATGCGTGTTGGAATCAATACTGGAATGGCTTTAATTGGGTACGTTTGAGATTAATGTATCATTTCTTGTAACCATTTGCAATATTTGCCATTTCTAAACAATTATTTAAACATTTGTTTGACAACTAATTATTAACAAAATAATTTTAGAAATATTGGAAGTCGTTCAAGGCTCAATTATACGGGTGAGTAATTCAATAATTCAACTTTTTATCAATTTAATTCAAATACAACATTATTTTCACCAAAATAGCTCTAGGAGACAGTGTCAATACTGCAGGTCGATTGGAAATGTTAAATAAGAGATATGAAACTGCCATCCTGATTGGACAAAATACCTATGACCAGGTAAAAGATCGTTTCGTGTGCTATTTTGTGGACTCTGTTCGATTGAAAGGAAAATCTGAGGCCATTGAAGTTTATACCATCGAATGTGAATGGAGTGAAGCCAATCATCAACAGAAACTTATTCATGACGCGCTTGTTCAAGTAAAGGAAAGTTTTTACAAGAAAGATTTCAAGGCCATGTTAGAGCACGTCGACAGTGCAATTGGAATTGTTAGCCAGAACAAGAATATGTCCATGTCGTCGATGCAACAACTGGCAGAGGATGGTACTGGTGGTACATTGTTTTCACCAAGCTCGAATTCAAACTTGAGCAACATGAATAATAATACTCAGCAGAATGGAGGAGTCGACAATAGTCAGATCTATCTGACATCCACAAAATTCTTATTTGATTTGAAGAAAAGAGCCGAACATTTGAAAGCCATGACAGAGAAGCACAATGTCACGTTCATTCAGGACATGTCTTCTCAACCTCTTCCACAACAACAAATGAACGCAATGGTAGATTATTCCCTAACCTTAACAGAAAAATAAACCTTTTCAATTGGGATCAATTTTTTGATTCATGAGCTCAATAGGTGACCAAGTCAAAAACTGAATGAACACATTGGCATTTCATCAAAAATGATCAATTTAATGACAAGTATTTTGAAAGTACTTCTAACCCCTCTGCAAAATTGTTTCGTCCCAAACCAATTCGAATATGACCATCGTCTAATCTGTTGTACACCGTCGAAGGAAGTAACATGACACCAGACTCTTTCACCACTCTCTCACAAAATCTATAGGCACCCTCTCGACCATTCTTAAAACCAATAAAACAAATAGGACCTGCTTTTGGTGGTATCCACTCAAATAATTTAGAACGAGAAGTGAAAAATTCCTCTGCCATACGTAAATTATTTGCAATAATACTCCTATTTTTGGTTAAAATGGTTTCTGATTGTTTGAGTGCAAGTTTTGCCAAATATTCTGACGGAGATGCATTACAAATGGTCGTAAAGTCCTTACCCTTCACAATATTTTCTAAAATTTGTTGATTCTGAGAGACAACCCATCCAAGTCGAAGCCCTGCAAGGCCATACGATTTAGACATGACATTCATCGAGACAGCATTTCGATACAATGTTGCCAGTGACGGTATGGATGCATCTCGTTCATTATATTCCAATCCTCTATAAACTTCATCAGAAAATATTAAAATATTTTGACTCTTGGCAATATCAATAATTTTTAAATATTCCTCCAGAGTATGCATGTGTCCCGTGGGGTTATGAATGGGATTGAGAATAATGGCCCTTGTTCTAGGTTGAATTAATTTTTCCAAGTCTTTCACATCAAAGGTCCACTTGTTATTCACTAATTTAGCATGCCAAAAAGAGTGTTTCGTTTTTGCAATATTTGTAATTTCAGAGAGAGCTTGATATCTGGGTGATTGTACAATGATATGGCTATCCTTTTCTAGACACGTCATGGCAAATACGAGTATAGGTTCTACACCACCTGTTGTAATAATCACATTGGATGCCGTGAGACGATGAGAAGGAGACGATGATGTTTTTGGGGCATACCAATTCTGATGTTTCTCAATAATTAACTCTCTCAATTCTAAATCTCCTTTCGTGTCTGTATATCCTAAATGACAATTGAATAGACCCTCTCGAAATTCATGGTTCTCTCCGATTAATTCTCCAATACTCATCGATTCACAATCCGATGAACTCAATAAATATTTGGTATGAAATTCATAGCGAGCAAAGTATCTCTCTAAAAAGAAGGGTTGAGTGATAAGCGTGGTGCCATAATTCCTGCCATGATGATGATGATACAAGCATGGCTGATGATTGGTTTTAATAAAAGAAAAATTCAAAAGTCCATGATTCCTAGAATGATGATGAAAATTATTGTATCTAGTAGTACTCCTCGGAAATTCATTTAATGATAATCCTATTATTGCGGATGATGAAATCTTTCTCTCCGGTACAAGTATTGCAAGCTCTTGATCTGTCAGTGAAGAAGAATTTTCCAATTCGTGCCATACCAACCACCGCACGATGGATGATGAAGAACATATGGAAGCAGTACTACCACTACTACTACTGCACTCGGACATGATTTTTCTTGCTAGAATTTCATGTGGCACAGAAGATTGTGGCTGGCATGAGGACGATGATCGCCACGTTGAACTCATGTGCGGGTGGCGAAGAAGCTTGCGCATTTTTTCATTTCCAATTTTTCTAAAATCCTATTGTAAAAGAAAATGATCGTTTGAGCGAGGATTAATATTATATATATTCATCTATATATTGTAAATCTTAATAGTTTTAACAAACAATATGTGAATGATTTCACACCAGATGTTTGGAAAATAGCAAGAAAAAAAAATGTCGAATGACCACCACCATTCAACCACTCCCAACAACCCAAATCCTTGCCCGCAAGCTGAAGAATGGAAAAACAAGGGAAATTCCTATTTTAAATCCAAAAAATTCAAACAAGCCTCGGAATGTTATCAAAAGGCGATCGAGTTGGAACCTCATCATGCCATCTATCATTGTAATTTATCGGCAGCATGGATCGGTTTGCAAAATTATCATGGAGCCATTGAGTCAGCAGAAAGAGCAGCTCAATTAGATCCGCTCTATGATAAAGCATATGTAAGATGGATACAATCACTTGTGGAGTTGATGAAGGGAGATAAGGCTCTTCAAGTATTGATCCGATTTTATGAAACATTCAAATCACACAACAAGTTAACGATCGAGTTGGAAAAAGTGATGGAACAAAAAGCATTGGACGTTAAAAAAGCACTCATCAAGAAACATGATCGAGTCAAGAAATTTTCCGTCTTGCTGCAACAAGGAAAACCAGTAGCAGCAATTCCAGGAAGCAATTTATCGGAATATATTGCTAATGCAGCTCTTTTTCGTAAATTATATCCATATGCCACGAGTCGCTCGAAAATTCCAGATCCAAAACGAATTCTCACTACGGAGCATGTGATGGAGTTAACACAGGCATTTGAGTTGGAAAAGCCAAAAATTAAGCACTTTTCAGCTGCAAAGAAAATTCTTAACAAATTAATGAATCCAAGTAATCGTGAGAATACAATTACAGGAGGTAACTTTAGACAGGCTGGAGGATGTGTTGATGACAAGTATATCAAAGATCGAGTGACATGGTATCTTGTCACGTTTCCTGCACCTCAGCATGTAGATGCAATAGCTTGTGAAAAATATACTACTGAAAAAACGGCTTCGATTCGACCTTATAGTTGCCAAATTTATGAAGATACTCCAGGTAAGTAATATTTGCATGACAAACACGAGGTGATACATGGAAACGTCCTGATTATTTCATCGTTACGATAACAATAACCCTTAATATGTATTTCCAAATTTCGGAAACAAAGGTTACACGATTAAACCATGTTACGCATCAAGCATGAGCAGATGGTCGGACAGCAAATGTTTACCCGTTAAACATCCAAAATTTAGCTATGCTCTTGAGATTATTAGCAGTCTTTGTGATCTCATTGTTACTACGTTTGACGCGTCACACGGTCAAGCATTCCTTCCTGAACAACTCGTGATTTCATGCACAGATTATATGAAAAGTGTCACTGAAGCTATGGTCAATTATATTATTTTACAGCATTTACCTGCATTTCCATGTGTCGTGCAAGCATCTCGTGATGAACTTCCACTCTCAATTCAACAGACAGTTCATGATTTTAGAAGTATCATGCCCATACATGCAGGTCATATCCCACATCCATATGTTGCCCAGAAAGGTAAGTTTATTCCATCATTGATTTTTATTTGAGGAATATTTGCATTTATTTTCATGATTTAAAAAGGCATACGAGAGATGTGTGTCGAGAGGGGACAAAATTTTACACATGAATTTGGGCGTTCTTTATTTGGAGCATTGGCCGATCTAGCAGAACTAAGACCATGGCGCATCTTCTCTACTGATTTTGCCATTTATGTGACCATTCGACACTCGAAATTCTTTGAAAATAAGCCCTTCAATACACCCAATTTGCCCTACTTACTTGAAAAGAGAGGAATTGGCATTGAAGGTCTTGATTTTATGGATGGCAAGAATGAGCGAATTATTTGTGTGATGGGTCACACGGATCCCAATTCCTCAGGTTTTTCTATTTTGAACGATTTGGAATCGTTTTTGACATTTATTCCAATGCCCCATGCTATTGACGCATGTCCAAGTGGTACGTTGTTGGTTTCTGTCTTTCATTTTGTCTGTTTGACATGTTATGAACATTGGCATTTTCTTAAATACGTGAACATGCATCTATGATTTCCAAATGAACCCAATATATACACAATTCAGTACAATATACTCCAAAGGATCTAATTGCCCATGACGACTTGGATGACATTAAAGCTTATGATTGGCCAATTTATAAGGGTGATTCACGAGAATTTTATCCCATGATTGCAACCATTTTAAAGAACTTCTTTTGGACGCAAGATGCAAGCAAAATCCAGAGATGTGATCTGCGTGAATTAAAATGGATCGAAGCAGCTGTGCGGGGATTATGTGCTTTTATTCGAAAGAGATGTGCACATGGACATCCTGTTGTGAATTCTCCATTCGAAATTGTGATCGATACACACGATGGAGAAGCCACTGTTAAAATACTCGTGAAACGAGAATATTTCCCAAATAGAACGGCAGAAAAAACTCAGAAAAAGTATCAGAGTGCATTGGATGAAATTGGCCGACAATTCGATGCCATGGTTCAAGAAAAACAACGACAAATGAGAGAAGAGGAGAAAAAATTCAACGAAAAACTTGATGCTACTAGCTCTGCAACAACATCCTCGACAAAGAAGTCATCTCAAAAACAAGAACCACCAACCACAACAACCACAGAAAAGAAATGTTGTGCCTGTTGTGGTGCAAAGAAAAGTGCAACAACCAAACTTTTCGTATGTGGAGCTTGTAAATCTGTTCTGTATTGCTCGAGAGAATGTCAACAAAAGGATTGGCCTCAACACAAACAAGTTTGCAAGAAGTGAAGTCTCGCACTAAAGAATGTTTCCTTAATTATGGCCTTAACCTGATGACATTCTCATTTATTTAGAAATACATTGAAAAGTCTTCACTTTCTTCATCGTCACTGCCCAAATCATCGTCACTCTCCTCTTCATTCTCCTCAGGACTCTCATAGTCATCATGATAAGTTGTTAGAGCCTTGTAAAAATGATATCCTTGCTTCAGCTGTTGTAAAATATCATTTCTATCTTGCTTGCTAGCAAAAATATTACCAATCAAAGATTCGAGTGATGAATAATAAGAACCCATATTTTGAGGAACAACCATGACATCCATACGTGTCGTGTGTGGTACAAACAGAGCCAGTAACAAAGATGCCACATGTGAATATTCACATGTTAACTCCAGCTCTATAGCTCGTTTCAATTCACGACACCTCTTCCATTCGTCCGAACTAATTAAAAAATTCTCATTTCTTGTGTCGTAATGTTCGTCAATAATGACATGAATTTTTAGCTTTTTCAATGAGCGAAAAGTAGGTTTGATCAATAAACGTAACAGTTGTCGTAATTCCAAATAATAATACACTGGTTCAAATTCAATAGTCTGCAGGTTGGGAAAACAAATTGGTAGTGTGTTTTCAAGAAATTCATAAATTTCTATAGGTTGGTCATAGCCAACAGGAGATGCAGTTTCATCCATAACTTCGTTCAACTTGAAAGTTGTTACACAAGAATTGGTGACAGTAACTTCTATAGGTTCAGATATATCAGCAACTTCCAATGTTTTGAGATTGGAAAATTCATTCAGTGCTCGCAATACTGTTGTACAAAGGTAACTATCGTAACAAATGTGTTCAATTTCTTTCGTATTAAGTTTAGTGACAAGTGATGTGAATGAATGTTCATTAAAGCCTTCCAGATTAATGTATTTAAGCTTGTTGAAAGGGAAACTCGTTATATCGGTAGATTGATGATTGTTGTAGAGGTCTGAATAGTTCATACCACACACCCTCACAAGATCAAAATCAGGCATTTGAAGAGCCTCACGGTAGTAAAAAAAAGTAAATTCAAAACAATTCAACTCGACAGAAAACAATACTCGACGGAAATGCTTGCTCACGAGCATGATATTTGCAAAACTCGACTTTTCGGAAATGTATTTAAATATCAAAGCCAATAAATCATCCGTAACCATTTCATGAAAAGGGAGTATGAATGATGGTAATGACTCTTTCTTGATCTTCTTTGTTTTTCTTGTTTCCGTTTGGCTTGATGATGATGCTAACGGTGATCGTTTCATTTTTTTTTAATTTTATTTTTGTCGAAATGTTTGACTTGGAAAACGGACTTTCACACGACTTGAGGATTATACGATTAACTCAATATAGAATTACTCATCCTCTTCTTCATCCTCGTCATGGTCCTCATCATCCTCTTCTTCTTCTTCTTCATCCTCACTCTCTTCTGAACTCTCATAATCCGTTTCGTACGTAATAACTTTTGAAGAAATTCTCTCTGATAGGATTCCCTTCAATTGTGTGGAAACATCTTGTTCAAAAACATTCTCTAACAACTCGTGCATGGATGAAAAACGAATTCCACCACACTCTTGATCAATGACATGAATTTTCAAACGTTTGGCTTTGGATTCAAACAAAGCTAGCAATAAAGATGCCACAGTGGAATATTCACACGACAATTCCAATTCTGGAAGATGTTTCAAATCACAAAATTTCATCCATTCAACCCTCGACAATACCTGCTCTTTGTGTTCACATTCATAAACTACAACATGAATGGAAAGCTTTTTCAATGAGGGAAATAAAGGTGTCGTGTTTGTCCATAAACGCACTAGTTGAATAATGTCAATATGAAACGTTGGATTTTCAATTTCAATGTGTTGCAAATTGGGAAAACATGGAGCTATCAAGTCACTCAATACATCATGAATATTGATGGACTCCATGTCGTAACATTCTTTTCCATGACCAAGATAATGGTTCCATTTAAATGTAGTGACTGATGTATTACAAGTCGATATTCTCTCTAAATCAGAAAAATCAGCAACTTCCAACGTTCTGAGATTGGGAAACTCATTGACGATGAATTGCAATAATTCTTTTGAAACACCATCATTCAGACAAATATGATGAATTTCTGTCTTGTTCAATATCTTGAGAAGTGAGAGGATGGAACAATCGCCACTGCAAAGTTCAACATATTGAAGTTTTGAGAATGGAAATAATGATGTTTGGTTCATGATACTTGGATCGTTCATGATGATACATCGTTTCACGAGAGCTGTATCAGGCATTTGAAGTGCACGAGAATAATTAAATGTCATAAATTCAAAACAGTTCAATTCTTGAGAGAACAACACACGATAAAAGCGTTTGCCTACGAGCATGAAGTTTGAAAAACTTGATATTTGGGAAACGAATTTAAATATTAAAGCCAATACATCATCAGAAATCAATTCATGAAAAGGGCGTTGATGAGAGGATGGTAGTAACAATGCTGATGATTGTGAACAATGGTTCGTGTGTGTACAAGGTGCATTTTGCATCTTGAATTTCTTGTGTTGGGTTTTGTTGGTTGTGGTGGTTTGGTTGTTTGTTTGTGGAGGATGATTTCGTTTCATATTTTTTAATGTCAAGCTGTCAACAAATTTGTCCTTCTAATTCCCTTAATGGAAGCGTTAATGTTGCCTGTGTCATGGTTATAATTACAAAACGTAGCAGCCCTATTTAACATTTGAACTTGGTGACAAGAACAAATTCTTGCAACAGTAAATGGATTCAAAATGCTCACGTTTCCACTTCTAGTCATTCTCTCCAGCAGCCTTAATTGAACCTTCACCAACGTTTCCACTTCTAGTCATTCCCTCCAGCACTCTCGTAATCACTCGCATAGGAAACGAGAGTTTGATTAAATTCTTGCTGTTGTTCCACAAGTTTCAAAATATTTTTTCGATCATCGGCAAAAATGTTCCCTATTAAGGATTTCATTGATGTCAAACGTGTGCCTTGTTGTGTAGACACAACTTGAACCTTGGTTGTTTTTCCTTGAAAAAGAGTGTATAATAGAATTGCCATGTTCGTAAATTCACATGTTAATTCCAACTCGGGAATCTGCTTCAATTCACAACACATCTTCCAATCATTCCTATTAATTAATTCATCAAAATCTTCGTTACCAAAAACTACAACATGAACTTTAAGCTTCTTCACTGAGTGAAATAATGGATCTATCAGCAAACGTATCAGATCAATAATGTCCACATAATAAACCACAGGTTCAAATTCAATAAACTGCAAATTAGGAAAGCAGGGGCTCAGTAACACTCTTAGAAAACTGCATACATTGGTTGGCTCTGAGTATCCATATGTAGCATAACCATCAACTTCATTCAATTTGAAAGCTGTGACAGAGTGATTGGAAGAATAAACCTTTTGGTATTCAGAAAAATCAGCGACTTCTAATTTTTTGAGATTTGGGAACTCGTTGATCAATAGTTGCAACAACTGTTCATCAAGGTAATTGTTGTAACAAATATGTTCTATTGTAGTCTTATTCATTTTCCCTAATAATGGAAATACTGAAAGATTATCTCCAAAGCCATCGAGTTTGATATATTTGAGCTTGGTGAAAGGGAATGAGGCTTTGAGAGTCTGGTTCATGGTTTGGTCATCAATAGCATCTTTGCTCATTTTCTCGTTGGTGGTAGTGTCTGCATTGTTGTTGAGAACATTGTCTTGGTCGTCATTATTATCATCGTCATTATCATCATCACTATCAAACCCCCAATCGTTATCATTAATGATACACCTTCTTACAAGGTCAAAATCAGGCATTTGTAAGGCTTGTAAATAGTCCAAATCAACAAATTCGAAACAGTTGGACTCTACCGAGAACAACACTCGATGGAAATGCTTGCTCACTAGCATTACATTTGAAAAGCTTGATATATCGGAAATGTATTGAAAGATCAAAGCCAATACTTCATCGGGAATCATTTCATGAAATGAGAGTTGAATGGATGGTTTCAACAAGTAATGGTCATTTGCAATCACCATTCCGCCAGTATCATGTTGTTTGACTTTCTTGTGTGGTTCTTCCAAGATGGTGTTTTTGAATGATGATGGCGAAGGTGCCGTACGTTTCATTTTTGTATCTTTTTTCATATCATCACTCCTATAAAAACTGATTTTTCGGAATATTATGGGGTTGATGATAGACAACAATTGTACACAAGTTTTTGGCAAATTAGTTTAATGATTACCAACTCGAGTCTGTACCTATCAATGAACGGTTGATTCATCATCACCTACGAATAACCGAATTTCGAAGGAAGGAATTTTTGCATATTAGAAAATACGTTGAAACGAAATTGTGCTGAATTTAGATCATGGTCAATGCACTGATCTCCCTTGATCGATTTTAATTGTATGAAGATGATGTTTTCGCCATCCTCATACATACAGCCTTGTTGAACAATTCCGTTGAAGAAGCCTTGTGGGCGAACTGCTCCAATCAAAAATTGCGCCAAACTCCCATATTTTATTTCAAAAAAAAAAACCAAAAAACTGTGTACCAGCCGTTTGTTGAATTGCAACAGCGTCGTCATTAACGGCTGATAAAGCGACTCGTCCCTCCTCGTACGCACTGAGAACTTTACAACCGTTTTTTCTTTTGCCCACGTGTTCGTTCAGCACCACAAGCCTCATTTTATTACCTCAACGACAAAACTCCAGGCGCAAACGTATAAGGAAATATCCGTTACACATAACCATCCACAACAAACACCATCATCACCACAAGTCTCTACATCACACAACTATTCGCAACCACAACAACAACAACATGACTACCATGCCAGCCTCAACTGTTGCTGCAGAGGACACAGCTCATACAACAAATGCAGCCACCACCACAACTACTCCTGCCGACCCTTCCTCCACCAGCAACACCAACAACAACGCTGTACAACAAATCAGCCCACCACCCACTACGAAAAAGAAGTCTTTGCTAGAAAGACTCAGACAACAATACGGTGAATTGGAAAAGCTAGAGGCAAGCAATACACAACAAGGCTCTTCGTCATCTTTAACACACACCCCAACAAGTGCCAATGCAACTCTCTCCATGCCTTCATCACTACCTTCATCTTCTTCCCAACCATCATCTAATACCACCAATGTCAATGCACCAACGGCTGCGACTGTGATCACAACTCCAACGAGCAAGGCAACATCTTCGAACGGAAAACGATTCATCGACACAACCACTGGAGCTGTAGCTTTGCCAACAACACCTGAACCCAATACACCCACTAGATCAAAACGAACACGAAGAGCAAACAAATTCAACCAACTTATAAATGGTGAAGAGCTTCCAACACTTCCCGAACACATTCAAAAGAAGCTAGTCAGGCTCATGAGTGTGGTCCGAAAGCACAAATGGGCGTGGCCATTCAATCAACCTGTTGATCCTGTGCAACTCAACATTCCAGACTACTTTACCATTATTAAGAATCCGATGGATCTAGGAACAGTGGAAAAGAAAGTACTCAACAATGAATATATGGACGTTTATCAATTTTTGGATGATGTTCGACTCATTTGGTCGAACTGTTTCACTTATAATCCTCTCGACAGCGATGTTTGTAACATGGCCAAAGAACTCGAAAGATTCTTTAATGAAAAGTATGAAAAGTTAATTGGACAAGTGGGAGTGGATACACCTCTTGAAATTACAACTCCAACACAATCTATTGGATTGGAAGAGGTACCATTCGTAACCACTCCCTCCACTGTCAAGAAGGGAAGAGGACGCAAGAAAAAGTCTCTCACAGAAACAACTCCTTCTGCTGCAGTTTCTTCTACTGCAGCCTCTACGGCAACAATGCCCTCCGAACAAGTCACAACACCTCGTGAAGTAACTCCATCCAAATCAAAGTCTTCCACAAAATCAAAATCAAAAACCAAGTCATCAAGCAAATCCAAGTCTAAATCTAAGAAATCATCGGAACCAGAAATGACCTATGAGGACAAGAAAGAACTGAGTGCCAACATTGGAAAATTGGACGGAGTGAAACTTGCCGAAGTGGTTCGTATCATTCAACGAATGGCCCCTACTGCTTCAAGCAAAGCCAATGAAACTGAAATTGAAATCGATTTGAACCAGTTGGATAATGCTACTTTGGTTGAGCTTAATAATTTCGTCAAACTGCATTTACCAAAGAAAGAAACACAGAAAAAGAAGGCAACCTCAACAACAAAGAAAAAGAGAAAAACTTCTCCAGTCAAGGAAAAGAAGCCTAAGAAAACCAAGAAGGAGGAGAGTGATTCTGAATCAACCGCTACCGACAATAGTGCCTCTGAATCGAGCGCAACCGAAACAGAGTCGTCCGAATCCGACTCTTCAGACTCCGATTCGGATATGGAAGACGTAAAGACAGTTCCACCAAGCTCCAATAATCTTGGTGATCAAGCTAAGCAACCCGCTGCAACATCCACAGCGTCACTCACCAACGAAGGTAAGTAAGGTAATCCTAAATATCACGTTCATTAATTACTAGCATTTTAATTTATTTGATTGAATCAATTTGATTATTCTGATTTTTACTGTGTGAATATTTAAATGACGAATTATATGATGATTTTATTTCTCACTCAACCGTTAACTCCGAACATGCTAAATGTTGTTTTGATATCATGATTGAAACCTATCATGCATGACATTTTATAGCTCCAAGATCTACAGCAACCACTGCCACAACTACGACGACACACAATAACAACATCCACCCTCCTCATCCAAATACCCCAAGTAGTGCAAAAGCTTTGAACTTTCCCAACATTTCAACCAGCAATCTGTACCCAAATGCAACTTTATCCACAAGTGCCACCACTCCAACCTCGCAAAAGCCAACAACAACTTCTACAGCAGGCAATGTCAACATTATTCCCACAAAGAAGCAACTTGATGCCGCCTTAAAGGTAGATGAGTCAAGTTGGAACAGCTTGCTGGACGAAGAGGATCAAGACAACAAGAAGCGTATCGCAACGGATGATCACGCGAACTCTTCCAAGTGGAATGAATTCCAACAACACCAAAAGAGGCAAAGCGAGCTAGAAGAAAAGATGAAAATGTTACGAGAACAAAAAGAAGAGGAAAGACGTCAACAATCACTCAATGCTTCTCACTTTCGTATTGATGAGAGAGAGCTTGCTAAGAGACAGCGAGAGGAAGAAAGACACAACAAGCTCTCTGAAGATCTTGACGCTGAAGCCTTTGCAAAGGAAATGTTTGAATAGAGTAATGGGTATGTGTGGTGCAAATTGAAGCTTAATGTACTTACATCAATAATGCTTCATAATAAACTTATAGCGCAAAGGGTTTCAAAATTGTGTTTGTTGTCCGTCCCAGACCAACAAAAAATGAGAGCATTAGATTTTCTTGTTCCCTTAATGTTGCTAGCCTTGCTTAGCCTCAACTGCTGCTTGGTACGCTCTCAATCCGTTCCGAGCCATTCCCTATACGATAATCCAGGAAAGAGCGTGAAGAATACTCTGGAGAAAGGGGCTATTGATTACTTCCTTGTAAATGTCTCATCGTGGAATATCGGAATGAGCGATTTCTTGGTGTTTGGTTTAAATTCCCTTTCAGGAGATGTTGATTTGTGGGTCTCCACGACTCAATTCCCAACCTCCTCCGATTGTAATGGCTGCATTCATACTGACATTGCAGGGTACAGTGATTCAAGGCTCATCAACCGAAATGATGAGACAAATTGGCCCGCTTCCAATGTGTTCTATATTGCTGTGGTAGCTTCATTCAGAAAGAGTGCTTACAGTCTTGCTTCATGGTCTTCAAATGGTAAGTGTTATCAACACTTGAACGGTGGTCATCTTATCATTAATGCAAACTCAAAAATTTGGGTTTAATCACTGCTGCATTTGTCCCTTCTTACATGCGTGTTACGGCCGATTGTTTGTGAAATACAGTTCAAGTGGCGCTTGAATCCAATGTGGCTCTTTTGGGTCAATCTCCTAAGGGAAGAGACAATTACTTTGTTTATGAGATTCCTCAAGGCGCTAGTCACATTACCATCACAGTTACCTCTCAAACCTCCAGCTCAGATCCTGATTTGTATATTTCAGGCTCCATCCCAAAGCCTAACGCCACTCACAACGACTGGACATGTGCTGATTATGGCTTTGACTCTGTTCTGGTTCATGTTGAGCCTGGTCTCACTCACATTTACATTAATGTCAATGCATTCACAGACTCTATTTATACTGTTTTGGTTCGTCTGAATGATGACGCTGTACAACTCTCGGAAGGAATGCTTCTTGATGACTTGCTCGATGAGGGCCAAATGGACATCTTTTATTTTGAAAATTTACATACTCAGAATATTGTTGTGGAGAGTTTGGAAGTGAACTCAGAAGGTGAGTCCAAACTCTATGTTCGTTATGGACAGCCTCCAACCAGTGTAGAGTTCGATCAAGTAGTTTCTCTTGAAGGAAATGATTATTTGATAATTAAGAATGCAAGTGTGGGAACATACTATTTTGGTCTCTACGGATTGGTCAATGGGACAGGTTACAAAATATGGTGCTACACCGAAGATCCAAATCAAATTGTTGTCAGTGAAAATAACGCTCTTGGTGGAGTTTTATCTTCGAGTAGTAACTTTGTTTTCAAGTTTGAGAGCAGAGATTTTACACAGGGAATAGTGGCCAAAGTTGAGGCTATCGAGAAACCCATTCAGATGTATTATGCTCAACATTCGAGACCAACAAATTTCAAATATGTGAAAACGACTACTGCTACTGTTGGAAATTCAGCCATGCTTTACTTGGCTCCACCTTCACCAACACCGTATTTGTATTTCTCATTGTTTGGTGAGGGCAAGTTCACTTTTGAAATCACCACCAACCACACCACCAAGGAACTATTCGATGGAATTGAGATGGATATGGAATGGGTTCCAAGAGGTTATTACAGGTATGTGTGGTTAATAATATTTTCTAATGAGTCGTTAATTATTTATCATTCCTTCTGTTATTCATGAAAATCATGTCCAATATGAAACCTTTGGACCAACGCTTCTGATAGATACTACATGTTTAAGGCAGAAAAATTCCCAGATCAGGCAATCACTATCACTGCCAATCCATACAGATACAATGACGTGGATATTTATGTCTCAACCAGTGAGCCTCATCCTAGCGAGTCAAATCATCAATGGAAAGGTGAAGAGAGAGGTGTTGACACCATCTACATTCCAGCTAAAGCAAGCGAAGCTAAAGGCAATGTGTTTTACATTTCTGTTTTTGCCTATGACACTGACTGTTATTTTAGCCTTGTGGCTTCGTATGCTGGAGAGTCACGTATTTTGAAGCTTGATGAAGCAATCTCGTCGACCGTTTCTGAAGAGTCATACTCTTATTTCACGCTTGAGGTTGCCCTACCTGGAAAAGTCCTCATCAATTTGCAATTACAAAATAGTGGAGATCAAGCTGATTTATATTACAGTACCACCGTGGCCACTCCCAACAAGTACAACTATGAAGGGAAGGGTAGCAATTTGGGTGGCTCAGTATTGACCATTGACGACGTCCAGCCAGGAAAGGTATACGTGAGCGTGCATGGAGCCTTGTCAACCAGCCTCAACAAATTGATTCCCTTCAAAATCATTGCATCAAATTCCTACCTGTACACCTATCCAAATGGAGATGCCATTCCCATGGTATCTAAAAAGGGTACCATTAACATTTTCAAGGCCTCCATCACCAATAGTCTGAGAATTTTGATTGCATCTGTCTCTCTGGTGAAAGGTAAGACAGCCATGTATGTCACTAATAACGGCTGGACAGGCAATTCCACCTATTACACATGGAAAGATTCCAATGCAGTTGGTAATAGTATTGTCATAAAGAATAGCGATCCAAAATTCGCTCTGGGAACTTGGACCATTGCAGTCGAGAGCCTTGAAGATTCAGAGTATCACTTTAGTATGGCCTCAAATATTGGAGCCAATGTTTTAGAGGATGTTCATACTATTGGAAGAACTCCATCTGATGGCAACATGGACAGTTTGATTTATAACTTTTGGCTGCCATTCAAATCGGAACAAAGTAAGACTGACATTGTCATTCACATTAAGGAGCTCGAAGGAAAAGTCAACATTTATGCTAACCAAGACATGCAACATGATCCCTCTCCAACAAGCTTCAAGTGGAAATCTGAAACGAATGGAGATCAAAAAAGAAGCATTGTCATCAAAAAGGAAGAATTGAACATTCAGAATGCAATTTATGTGTTAGTTCAAGGCGAAGTTGGAAAGAGCTCATTGTACTCGATTGCCTTTTCAAAGCACACAAGCTCTCAAGATAGTGATAACACTGCAGGTATTGTTGTTGGAGTGGTTCTTGGAGTTGTCATGCTGGCCCTTGTGGTTGTGCTAGCTGTTGGGCTAGTAGTGTACTTTAGAAAGAGGAAGCAAGCATCGACTTACAACAAGTTCGATCAAGAGAGTCAGCAAGCTCCTGAAGGCAGCAGTTCTGTCTATTACAAGGTGGAGAACACTCAAAACTAGTTACACATTAAAACCAACATGTTTTCAATTTCTATCCCTTATAAGGGATGTGTGCTGAACACTCGATTTAACGAAATTTGTGGACACTTGTCACACTATTTGAGAATTCGCTCAGAGTTTATTGACATAGGTCCATAAATTATAGACACCCAACAAGTGTTTACTCTTTCGAGAGCTCATAAGAATCGCCCAATGCCAACTTGTAAAATCCAGTGGCCTCAGCAAAACAAATCTCATAGCCATCACAATCTGAAATAATCACCACCTCCACGTCAGCCTTACCAGGTGTTGGCAATACGACAGGTTCCTTCACAATACTCACTTGACTCTCCTCAAATTCCTTCACTTCTTGTTTGGCACTGAGAACTTGTTGATGAATTTGTTTCACATCCACAGTGGATGAAATTGCCAATCGTCCAAAAGCTTCACCATGAATTAAAGGTTCATTGTGTGGCAATTGTACAAACTCCACTTTGGCTTGATCTTGTGCGTAGCCCAATAAAACTTTTCCATTTTCAACATCACGATCAAAGACTTTCATTCCCAACACTTGTGTATAGAATTTGATTTGTTTCTCAATATTCGAAGTATGCAATGAAATGTATTGAACTCGATCACTTTCTTGAGCATTTCTTTGATTGTCTGTTAAATCCTTATTCTTATTCAACAACAAGTACTTGTAACCATCAGGGTCACTAATAAACTTGCGTTCCTCCAAAGAACTCTCTGTTTGTTCTTCTTCTTGTTTGTTTTGATGAATGGCAATATAATTGTAATCATTTCCCAACTTGTATGATTTAATTCCAAAATTAGCAGTCAATTCCAACACAAAATGTAAATCCTCTGGACCATATCCAATCATTGTTTTTGTCCAACTGGTATTGTATCGACCATTACAAGCAGCTTCACATCCAGCATCGAAATGTTCATGTCGTTGTTCGGACATGGCAAGTTCAGTTTCATAGAATTTTTTGGATTTTGAATAATTTCCAATTTTGTGAACCCAATGAAGGAGACGGAATGGAGTTGTGCTGGAGGCCATGATGATGATGAGAGTGGTGGTGAGTGTTGGTGACAAGCTCGTTCGTGGGTGTGTGTGAATATTTTTTTTTTAATTATTTTTTTTTGATGGAATGCGGCTTCGGAGAAATTGTTACAAAACTCCCAACGAACTCCGAGCACTCTGAAACATCTGGATGAAAATTCCAATGGTCGTGCTTTTCAAAGGATTCTCAAATGCTTGATCTTGGATGAATTTGATTTTATAAAGTTTGAAAATAAGGTTCGAATCAAAGATTACAAGAATTGTCATTCAAGCTACTTGTCATGAAATGGAGGTCCATGAAAAAATTCCAAATATCGAAAGAATAACAGTATGACCTCGATCCATTCAAACTTATTTCATCCTCAAGAGATTCATACACATTTGCTAGAACTTCATTCGGACCATTCAACAAATTCTTTCAAAAAAATTCAACACAATCATCACTTCATGTTCAAACACGAGTGTTCTTGGAAAATACATTCATCTCTCAATTGTTTTTCATACACCAATTCAAATCGAGTGTAATTATCAAGCATGTTATGTTCACAACATGATTGAACTCGATCGAAAATGGAACAAGAAATGATTTCATTCTGGTTGGTAGTTGTTGTTGATGTTGCAACGGTGGTGGTAATTCCTTCCTTGGATGATGTCTTTGATGTGAGAGAATGATAAAGTTGCATAATTTCTGGAACTCCAAATTCCTTTCTTGGAATATTCAATTCGAGAGGTGAACCAATTTTCAAGTACGTGTCACAAATTTTCAAAAAGAGTTCTGTTCGTAATTGGTCTGAATGGCTGACTTTTTTAAATTGTTCCACAGCATTCCACATCATAATATCTTCCGAGCTGAAGGATTTTTCTGAGAATTGTAAAAATCGAGAATTCCATTTTGAGTGTGTCAAAATTTTTCGAATGTGACTGTCTTGGTTTACATTGGGAGATGAGATATTCGTTGAAATGGTTGTCAGTTCCTTCTTTTTCTCAGTCGTTTGATAATACAAGGGTAAAATCAATGTAAAAACGACATCCAACATGCATGCAATTTGAACGGTCGATGGAGCTACAGGTACAAAATAATCCACTCTGTCAGTAATGGTCATCCAAAAATAAATTTCACACAAATGTTTGTCATTGTACTTACAAGGTGGTCACATCTGTGAATAAATTAACCACTCCATAGACGAGTGCAAAAAAAGCCCAATTTGTGGTAGAGAGAGCAATTTCTCGTTTGACAAACCAAATATCTCGTTTCATGAAGAATGCACCAATGGAACAAATGAAAATAACAATTACATAAACAGCAAGGTATGTAATGTACATGTTGGTATGATAGGTTCCTAAAGAAATCATATTTTAAATAATAATATTTTCAATAAATAATGTTTGAATAAAAATTTCAATATTTTCAATTCATGAATTATGTTAAACAATCGATACACATGTACATTACAGAAACAACACATACCTGTTCCACAACCATTTTCAGCTGCAAATACAAACGTATCGACCACAAATGCTTGTTTCTTATTCGTCGACGAGTTTTTGATTCCATGAATAAAATTGTTATAATCCACACCTCCAATAATTAAATAAATGGTCAAGTGAATGAATCCAATGATTCCAAAAAATAGATAAATAAATTTGGAGCTCACTGAAAATTTCAATAAATCAATTAATTTTCCTTTTTCAAAATTTTGAAAATACGTATCCTTTTTGAAATAGATGAGTTCCTTGTCGTCATTCGATGAACGTTGTGGTTTTTCATGTTCTTTGACATAAGTAATGGATGTAGAATTATTCTGTATGTCAACCAATGCAATATCAGAAGGGGTCATTGTTGTTGATCGAGAAGTGTCACTTGTCACTGATGGAGTGCTAGGTTGTTGTAGTTGAACCAATTCATTCATGGCATTTTCACTCACAGCATTTCCTGTCAATGCCACATGTTCCATGCTTTCTCTCAACATTTGTCTCTTTCCTACTCGTACTTTAGCATTGCTCATCCATCCCAACACAATCAATCGAATCAATCTCAAAACGATGACACTTGACAGCATGGGTACAGAGAAGTGATAAGCCAAAGTGAATATAAAACATGGAAACAACTTTCTTCCAATGAGTACTCGAACGTCCAATATGAAACAAAAAATGTATCCAAATAACGCTCCCAATACCATCAAGGCTGGATTTCTTGCCAATGTTAAGAAATTGACTTTTGACATTCTTTGGACATGCGTTCGTTTCAATTGATACAATTTATAACCAAGTCCAATAAAAGCTCCAATCAATAGACTTGTATGAAGGAATAATACAACGGCCACAATCACGGTAGCACTCACTTCATCATCACATAAACCAAATTGACTCTTTCGACCTCGAGCCAGAAGAAATGGATGACAAATGAGAGAATCATTAAAAGAGGAAGAAAGAGTGTCATTTGAGATCATTGTGTTATTGTCGTTCATGTTATTGATGTGGTAGAAAGAGTTGTTGTTGTTGTTGTTGTTATTATTATTCATTGCATGTGTTTGTTGATTCTTTTGTGTGGTTTTTGATTCGGACTAGAGAGGTATGTATGCGAGGACGTTTTTCTTTTTTGTTGCAAAAAGAAACGGTGCCGCACCAAACTCTTGACATGTTCATCATTGAGTTCCAAAATGGATTTGTGTTTGGAGGGATGTGATGAACCTCAATTTTGAGAAGCTTTTTCAAATTAAATTTTGGGACGATCGAATTCTATTAGGTTCCTACCATCCTCGTCATTAGGTTCGAAAACTTATTAACTCGTTGCATTCTTGGTCATTATGGCCATTGTTTCTATTGTTGTTGTTGTTGTTCTTGTTGTTGTTTGAATTGATCATTTTTGTTTTTCATTGAATCAAACATTAAAAACATTTAATGGTCTTGCCAATGATTCCATTGAATCTTGTGAATTATATTGTTGCAACGAGTCGACTATTCGTATGATTCATTTGACAACTTTTCAAAAAGTCGATGAAGGAAAGAATTGACCATGAAAACCAAATGGAACTCGACGAGGTAATTCCAATTGACACAATGGTTCCTCATTCATGGTCGTTCCATCAAAAATAAATAAACTCGAAGTCTGTTTCTCTTCATGATATGCAAATGTCACAACAAAGACATCATCTTCGTTGAGAGTATTTTGTTGTTTCTGAATTTTGGGAATGAGACATACTTCACCAATTTTTCCATGTTCTGGAATTTTTAAACGTTTCAATGTTCTCGTGTGTAAATCAAATTTTGCAAATTCACTCGAGACAAAGAGTTCCGATTTCACTTCTTCAATAATACTATAGAAAAAATAGCGATAGGGCTTTCCTGTGAAATTTGGATAAATGACTGGAAATTCTCCACTTGGAATAATATTCTCTTGAACCATTGTTTCATTGGAATTCTCTTCTTGAAGATGATTGGTAAATTTAAAAGGTCCTTCTTCATGTAATTCTCCTCGTTTCAAATTTAAGACAAATCTTGAAGGATAGGGCTCTCCACTCGAGAAATCTTCCAAATCGAAATTATCAGCCGTGCAAACATCAATAGTAATCAATGTTTCATCCTCGTTCACTTGTGACTCGAATGCATTGATGTAATGAAAGGCCATACATGATTTTGCTTCAAACCATTGAATGTTTGCATTATGACCATTAAAGTGACGTGGAAAAACTGCAAATTTCACAGGTTTTGATTTATCAAAGACGAGTGGGAGACTAGGATGAAAAATTCGATTCAAATCAATGATGGCAGGATAAAACCCAATAATGCTGTAGTGTTCAGTAATGGCCATGTCATGAATCATGCAAGTGTAAGGCGTTTCCTATCATTATAAAGTTGTGACAGGTGATGCCAATAATTATTACAAACAAAAAAAAAGACACAAAAAATCATGATCGAAAGGATTCCATTTCAATGTCATTTTCTTACCTCTTTCTTAAATTCATAATCAATGACAATCTTATTATTCTTGTCAATGACACCATACCACAAGCTTGGTCCTCTTGGATTCATTCCATATGCAAAAAACATTAATTCACCACTCTCAGGATCGTACTTGGGATGAGCCGTAAAATTATGATTCAAAGTTTCAAATGTAAACTCCCCAATCGTTTCCAAATTAGGTAGTGAAATTTCCACAGGTCTGTGACCTTCTTCCAAAGCTAGAAACTTTCCACCATGATAAATAATATTGGTGTTGGCGACACCTCCTCCGGTTTTCAAAGGTTCTTTCAATCCACGATACAATCGATCGTATAAATAATGATGTGCGTATTTAAGGATGGGATTGATGCCATTTACAAAGAAACTGTAACTGAGAGGTCTTCCTTGTTCCTTTTTGAAATGTTTGTAATACGACAAGTATTGAATGAATTTTACCAACAATAATTGAAATGTTAGTGACACGTACTTTTTCTTGAAGATACTTTTCAGTTTGAACAAATTTGTTTCTATAACTAGCTTGACCATCCTTGAATTCAATTGCATGTAAATGTCCATCCCCTAATGAACCATTAAGTCAATTTTAAATTTTATCAAATCACGTGACAAGTGACAGTCATTGGTTGATTCATAACAATGCAATAATAACCCACATCCAACTCACCTTCAAACCAATGAATCGAATATAACGGATCAAATTGTGGATTCGGTCCAATTCTCACATACATTCCATTCAACTCTCTCGGAATTTCTCCCTTCAACACAAACAAATTCCTACAATGCAGTTCATCATGAATCGGAGCAAAATTACCATTCATGACTGGATTCTTCTTAATTCCAAATTCAAACGATCGATTTTTATAATTTGGAAAGAGTAATAATTGAATGGTTTGACATGACCATAAAAACAATCCGTGAATGATCCGAATCAGAACAAGAGCAAGGATGAACAGTTTTTGAAAGTAAGATTTTGGAGGTTGTGAGAATTGTGTGTTTGGTGTTGATTTTGTTGTGTGTTGATCGGTAGAGTGTGACGGCCATGAGGTGTGAATGGCAGATGCAGACATTTTTCTTTTGGTTGATGTTTATTAGAAGTTTAAACTAGATGGATTGGGGAATTGGTAAGGGAATGCGTTTAGATGGAAACAGAAAGCATCCCATTTAGGAGAATTGCATGGTTTTATAAAACGAATACTAATGCTTTCTCTCATGATAACTTGTTGAAACCAACATCTTGTTAATTTTATGAGGGACATGGTTTTCATGATTGGATGTATGTTTTCACAATTTGAAATACGTATGAAACTAAGGTCGCTCCACTGCTCTCTTGTATCGAGAAATACAACCACTCACCTTGCAGACAACACCCGCGCAAATTCATACAAAAAAAATACAACACACAGATGATGATGATGGACACCACACAAGACAATCATGAAATGGTGAATGATGGTTATTCTCAAGGAGGAGATGCCATGCAACAAGAAGATGCCGATAACAATTGTTATCAAACATTTTTTGCAGAACATACCGAGTTATCGGAATTGATTCAACAATATGAAGTGAAAGAATGTTATGAGAATATTCAACAAACAGGTACTGCCATCAATAGAATTGTAGGTTTTTCTCAATGTGGTAATTTTTTCTATGGATCAATATGAATGTACATGTTCTAATTCTTACATTGTACACACAGCTATCAAAATATATGGAACAAAGTCAATTGTTGGATCCTCATTTGACTCAAATGGTTTCGGAATTGATGCGTATTGCTAGGAGAGTGATTGGACTCAATTCGGAAAAGATAACATTTGACATTACTTTTCAAGAAAAACAAATTAGGCACAATTTATTTCAAAGTATTTGCACCTTGACGAAAGTGAGAGGTCAAAAAGTAGTGAGTATGTGTCACATCAGAGGCATGAGGCTAATGTATTATTCTTCTAACCATTCATTGATATTCAATATTACAGCAAAATTATTTCCTCATGAAATTGTTGATTTGGAACCATTATTTGAAATTTACAAGACGATTCCAGCAAATGAATGGGAAACAAAATACATTTTACTTTTATGGTTGAGCATGATTGTTATTAATCCATTTGATTTGACAGTGGTGGATCCAACCAATCAACTCCCAACCCGAATGCTTGAGGAATGTAAAGCTCAGTTATCAGAACCAGGAAAAACCCGAGATTCTGCTTCCTTATTAATTTCTAGATTACTCACAAGACCAGACATGGCAACAGAACACTTACCAGACTTTGTACAGTGGGGAATTGAAACTTTATCCAACCCAAAAACCACCACTTTTTTGGTATGTAGACCAATTGGATGAAAATTGGCTAACTGGAACGAATTTGAATGCTATATATAATGTCACCATGATTTATTTACAATTTAACACACCTCTAATAATAGAGAGCTGGAATTCTTCGAAGTATTGTCATGATTTTCAAAATTGGAAAGCGAGATGAATTACTCAACATCATTCCAATTGTTTGGAGTAGTGTCATTTCAGAGGCTGACACCAATAATACCATGTTGAGACACCTCAATGTGAAACTCATCCAAAGAATTGGTCTTACCTTTTTAAAACCTCGTGTTGTGGCATGGAGATATCACACAACAAGACTCACTCTGATGCATTTGAAAAACCAAGCAACTCAACAAACGAGTTCCAATGAAGATACTTCTGACGAAGAGATTGAAATTCCAGAGGAGATTGAACAAATTATTTCACATCTCATTAATGGTTTGAGAGACAAGGATACCATTGTGAGATGGAGTACTGCCAAAGGCATTGGAAGAATTACACTACGTTTGCCCAAATATTTGGGAGATCAAATTGTTGAGTCTGTTTGTGAATTGATGAACCCCAATGAAGACGACAGTTCATGGCATGGTGCTTCTCTTGCATTGGCCGAGTTAGCACGAAGAGGTCTCTTGCTACCAGAACGGCTCGAGCAAGTCATACCACTTTTAGAGCAAGCCCTTGTGTATGATGTCAGAAAAGGAACTCATAGCGTCGGTGCTCACGTTCGTGACGCTGCTTGTTACGTGTGTTGGGCATTCGCTAGAGCGTATGCTCCAGATATCATGAAACCTTACATGAATAGACTTGCTCAAGGTCTTGTTAAAATTGCTGTATTCGATCGAGAGGTTAATTGTCGAAGAGCAGCTGCTGCTGCATTCCAAGAAAATGTTGGACGTCAAGGAAGTTTCCCCCATGGTATTGACATTATTACTGTCGCTGATTACTTTTCATTGTGCAATCGAACCAACTCGTATCTCACCATCAGTCACTACATTGCCCAGTATCCAGAGTATTGCCAAAGTTTAATTTCTTATTTGGTGGATACAAAGGTCACACATTGGGAAAAATCAATTCGAGAACTCGCCTCAAAGACCATAGCTAAATTGTGTGACAGAGACTCTACATTTATTTTCAACAATATTATTCCAATATTGGTATGTTATTATTTGACAGAGGTTTCATTTTAACTCTTTCTCCATTACATTCACCATGATTGTGTGTCACAACAATTTCAACTCAAACAGATTGATCGATGTGTGGAAAATGATCTCAATGCAAGACATGGTAGTTTATTGGCTTTGTCAGAGGTGATTCTTGCTCTCAAGAAAAGTGGCATCTCTTTCGACGAGAATTTGCAAGAGAAAATTCGACACATTGTACCAAACATTGAAGCCAAAAGATTGTACCGTGGCAAGGGAGGAGAAATCATGAGAGAAGCTGTTTCCAGATTCATCGAATGTATGGCTCTCAGTCATATCACTCTACCTGCTACAATGGTTGTGACTTCCTCCGTTGGTAATAGACAACTCAAAAAGAAATCTCTCTCCATTTTCCAAGAAACGATTGACGAAAATTTAAAACATCCAAACAATGAAATTATTGAGATGGCTGTCAAATCACTAAAAGCATTCGCAGCCGAATACTATGAAGCACATTCTGAGTTTGCTCAAGAGACTGCCAAGAAGTACATTCAACAATTAGAAACAGAAGTCAATCCTGCAACTCGAAGAGGTCTTGCACTCGCTCTAGGAGTGTTGCCAAAACAAGTCATGGAACCTAACTTTAATCGGGCCATCGATATTCTCATCAGCAAGCTCGAATTGGAACAAGACCCAGATTTACAAGATGCCGATGCAAGAAGAAATGCAATTCTTGGAATCATTTCTCTTTGTGAAAATGTTGGAATTGGAGAACATGGTATTACTGAATCGAATGTCAACAAAATTTTCAATGCATTTATTAAGGGAACTAATGACTATGCTGTCGACAAGAGAGGTGATGTGGGATCATGGGTTCGAGAGGCCTCCATGTCAGCCTTGGAACGATGGGCCTACTTGTTAGCGAATAGCACTCTCTTCAGTGTCGAAATGGGTACCAATCTAATGAGAGCTCTCTTGAAACAGGCTGTCGAAAAGATTGATCGTGTCAGAGACAATGCCTCGAAAACCATTTGCCGTATACTCTCCAATGAACTTGTACAAAATATTCCACACAAACATGAGCTTGTTTCCGTCATTGTTCAACACAATACCACAGAGAGAAATGAACTCATGGATTGGTCCTCTGCCGAGAAGTCATTCCCAATCTTTGTGAAATTATTAGATTTGGATATTTACAGATATTCTATTTTGAGTGGACTTGTTGTGAGCATGGGTGGAATGTCAAGTCATGTTTTCAAGTACAGTACCACTGCTCTCATTGAACACTTGAAACCTCAAAAAGAGTTGGGAGAAAAGGTATTTTCAGATATGCTGTCCGTTGGTTTAGAATATGCTCAAGATGATCGAGTCATTGTTCCACTCTTGAAATCATTTGCCTTATTATTGGGACATGGAGTTTTTGAAAAATTCCAACCACCTCAGTAAGTAGTTTTGTTTTGCTTTCAATTTTCACACTTTTCGAATGCGTGTCAATGATCGAATACATGTCATTGATATTTTATGAAAATTCCTTCTCCATCATCATTAATCTTCATTTATATTTTGAAGATACAACATGAGTGAGCAACTAGTTCTCAATACCACCAAAGAAATTACTGGCACTTGCAAAAACGTTCAAAAAATCATGCTCGCTGTCGATTTATTCTGTGAACTCATCAAATTTGAAAACCCCACCAAGGAAAAGGCCTTCCAACGACTCTTCCACACATGTCTCATGAGTAAATTCCCCAAAGTTCGTGAATATACTGCCAATCAATTATATGGAGCTCTACAGGTGTGTGGCGATACAGTCATGAGCAATGACGAAGCATTAGACATGGCACTTGATGTTTTGTGTAGCACTCAATGGTTGGAAGGAATTGCTGTTGTGAAACCAGCCGTCGAAAAATTATATGAAGTGACTCAAATTCCAAAACCTAAAACAGCAACTACAGCATCAACCACTCCGACTACAACAACTGTGAAACAATAAATAATAAAATGGTCATGTCTTGTACAAACTCTGTAGTGCAAGTGTTATCAGCCTGAGATAGCTTTAAGAAATAATGATTAAGGACAAGTTCTTGGAGAGAAATGAGATGCACTAGCTCACAATTACTCCTTCTGAGACTGTAAATTCCTTGATTTGTTTGGACTGAATTGGGAGATGTCAAGTGTATGAAGAATTCTTTAGTATGACACATACGTTTCTCTTGCCGCTCATTATCACTGTGGCTATAGCTAGTGTGATTGGTCGATGATGAATGGTGAATGAAATGGGATTATCTCTTTCAAACTCATCCCAACTGATTTTGTTGAAAAGTACCTCAGTGTATGTGTTGGCTTCTTTTAAGCAAGGCGCACACATGATGACTTGGTATCTCTAAGGAGAGTGTTTTCAATCCATGCTTCAATGATCAGACCATCATCTTCAACCATTGCACCAATTCGACATTCATCCATGTCGGTAAAGAGCCATTGAGACTGAATAATGTATGTTGAGTCTCGTCCTCTCATGTATCCTCAAGGGGTGTGCTGAGATCCGACACCATCATCTCTCTCTGTCTCCCATTGTCTACCTTTCAAACCTTATTAAAAAGAAAGACAACAACAAACGTATTAACCGCGTCTTTCGTTGTAGGTGCCATCGAACAAGATCTTGTAGATTTACAACGAGAATTTATTGATGAATCTCGTTGTTATTGTTGTTGATATTCGGGCTCACTACATATGAAAATGTCTTCCCCACGTTCATCATCAACGAAACATCAACCAAAACAACCATTCATGATTCCTAACAACATCTTGACCAGAGTCGATATGAAACCAACAAGGACGAATTCGAATCATGGGATTCATCATCGGCCGTCCTCTCCTCGAGGCTCGCACCACAAGAACCAACCTCACCACATCAACAACAAAAGGACGAAACATCATCAACTCTCTTTCATGACTCGGACCGAAGATTCAAGCATCATCGGCCAACCAGAAAAAAATGATGAACAACCAACAATAGTTCCATCCAGACACGTTTCAGAAACTGTATTGCCAGCATCAATTACTCACGAAGAGATTTCATCAAAACGTGGAGAATACGTATTAACGACAAATAATGAAGTGGTGAGTGAGGATGATCCCTGCAGAGAACAACAACATTTATCTGCAGAAAACAATATTATTGTCTCCGACGAAAAACGACTCTCGGAAGGCTCTTCTTGTGATTCTCGGAAAGGACGTACTTCTTCATGTATGAAGAATTCTAGATCCATTTATGAAATGTTTATGAATGGAGAGCTTGGAGATGATTTACAAGACGACGGAGATGATCGTTTTAAAGCCAATTCGAACCGAAGAAAACAACTAGCAGCAAGTTGGCAAACATTGACTCCACAACAATGTGATGTGTCCATTTGTTTAGATCCCAAATTAATTGAATTACAAATTGAAAGGAAAAAACAAGCTCTGGAGAAGAATGGAGAGGATCTTACGAAAATTGTTTGCGAAGCGAATGGAAGCGAATACAAATTTCCAATGCCTTCTTCGTCATCATCGTCGTCGTCTTCGAATAAGAATATTTCACCTCCAGTTGTTGCCACGACAAACACGACCACACGAAAAAGAAGTATAACGGATCCAGTGAATCCAGGTGGTGCACTAGGTCGGCAAAGAAGTTTTAATGCACCTACGGTTTCTGTGTCACCACTGAATTCTCCAACCGACGAGGAAGGAACGAAACCTCTCTATTTGAACAATGAAATTATCATTTCTCCTGTCGTTTCACCCTCATCAACCACTCCTTCCACGAGTGATACCACTGAAGCTAGCCCAAGAGTAAGAATTATGGAAGAAGACACATCAGACTCGGAGCTCACTCATGCGGCTGTGGATAAAAAACAATTGCAAGATCTTGTCGTGGATGACCTTCCTTCGGCGTATAATATTGTCACCAATCTGAAAAAACCTAGAAGAACAATTAACAACTCCTCGGCAAAGAGAGGATACACAACCAACCGACCCAGCTCTCTCTCAATCACTTTCAACACTGTGACCAATCTCAACACAAGTATAAAACGGGCAACTAAGGAGCCAGTGGAAATGAGATCGATTCATAGGAACAGTGTTGTGTCAAACAAATCTGTGACAACGGAACCATCCGAATTTGAATCCCCTCCAGCAGAATTTCAGAACAAGCTTTTCGACCTATTCTGTAGTGTCAAGGTAGTGCTATTTATTTTGTTTATTGCTACAGTAGCCATGTGTGGCCTAATTATTTGGTGCACAAGTTATCTCATGTTAGAATTTCAAGTAATTCAAACAATGGCAACCAGCTCCAATGAGGATATAACATCACTTTTGAAAAATAGTTGGGTTTCTTCAGTTGTAAATTTTGCTCCTTACATTTTAACAAATACCCGATCCGTAATGGTGGGCATACATGGAAATATGACCATGAAAGAGACCATTTCGTCAAATCACATACATGTTCAGAGAAAGTTATTCGCTCAAATGGTTTCAAGGTCGACCATGTTTAATCAAATTTTTGCTGTAGATGTATCAGGAAGCTATTTTGGAGTAGTCATTGATTTACCGAGTGGAACCGAAAGTTTCATCGTGTTCAATAATACCAAATCAATATATATCACTGTAATGAAAGACGGTAACTTGATACCAGGAACTGAAATGGAGATACCCAATTTTGAAGATCCCACATCGAACTCAACATTTGGAATGTTGAAACAATCAATTCAAAAACAAGTGGAAGAAGACGAAAAAAGAATAGCGAATGGACTGGACCCTCTGGAAACATCTGTATGGAGTAGCATTTTCTACACAAAGAGTTCTGGTGAAACTTCAGTCTCATGTGTAATACCTTATTATTCTGGAAAGAGATACACTGGATTTTTATCACTCTCCTTTTCCATCGGTACTCTCTCGAACAAGCTCAGAACTCAAACACAACTCGAAAAAGGAAACAGAGCTTTTATCATTAGAAAAGATGGTGCCATGTTGGGCAGTACTCATGGGCTCGAAAATGTCACAACTGTGGATGGATCATTGCTACAGGCTCACCATGTCCAAGATGCCGTAGTTTCCTCCATAACGCAACAATTATTTTCAATGTATGGTACCTTCGATCCCATTTATAATTCTAAGGCTCTCAACACCAGTAACATGCCTCGATCCATATTTTTAAGAGATTCATTAGGAGCAGGACATTTTGTTACAATCATGTCACTCACTGACAACAATGACGACGCCCTAGATTGGATTATTATTCACACAACACCAAAAGATATAGCTTCCAAATATCTTGGACTTTCAAACGTTATAATTTTAATTGTTACACTTGTTGTCATTGCTATCGCCTCAGGTGTCTCAGTACTGGTAAGCGTGCTTATTTCACGACCATTAGGATCGTTAAAAAGAAGAGTCGACCGAATGGCACAAATGAATTTTAAAACAAAGGATGAAAGCGTACCCATTACATTTTCAGAAGTTCGTTCGATTATCACCTCTGTGAACAATATGGGAAAGGGACTACGAAGTTTTTCAAAATATGTACCATCAGATATAGTTGCCTCAATTGTACAATCCAATCAGCCAGCAGCTCTTGGAGTGCAATGGAAAGTTGTTACACTGTATTTTTCAGATATTGCAAGCTTTACCAACATGACTGAAAAGATGTCACCAGACCTACTTGTTGAGCTCATGTGCGATTTTTTCACTCATCAGACAGACATTATCATGAGTACAAAGGGAACCATTGACAAGTTCATTGGAGGTATGTATGGTTTTGTTATTAATCCTTGACAATAATTGAAAACTAAATGTGGCCTTGATACATGTCGATCTGACAATTCAGACTCAATTATGGCCTTCTGGAATGACCCAACCCCAATACGTGATCATGAATTGGCAGCTGTAGAGAGCGCCTATCTGTGTCAACAAGCCCTAGTTCCATTCAATAACAGATGGAGAGAACGGTTGTGTAGTCAGAAAAATCGTTACAATGTGGATTACAGCAATTTTACTTTGAAAGTGAGAATTGGATTGCACACTGGAGAGTGCTTTATTGGTAGGTTATTATTTGAAATGATGTTAGATTTATGAACATTCACACAATGAATTCCATTTACACACGCATTGCATGATTTTGTCATCTACATCACTCATTAATGCACAATTCAATCAATCACTTTCATTCATACCAACAGGAAATATTGGTAGCGTGGATCGAATGAATTATACTTGCATTGGTGACGCAGTGAATACCAGCTCAAGATTAGAATCACTCAACTCCATGTACGGAACATCAATAATGATCAGTGAAAATGTCTATGCCAAAGTACACAGAAAGTTCTTGTGTAAATGGGTCGATGTGGTTTGTGTGAAGGGTAAAGCGATTCCTATCAATATTTACAGTGTGATTGACAAGAAGGAACATGCTTCGTCTGAAGTCATCAAAATGTGTGCCGCTTATCAAGCACTACGTGAAATGTTTTTAAATTTGCGTTTCGAAGAGGCCGTGGAATTCATAGAAGCCAATGAAGATATACTGAGCTACATGTCAGAATCAAAAGAAACAGCCTCCTATCAACTCATTAAGAAGAAGTGTATGGAAAGGATGGACTTGGATTTTCCAGAGAATGAGGAAGATTTATTTTGGATTGCCACTAAATTAAACGAAAAGTAAACGATTTGTGTCATCTTCTCTCCATAGTTTTTGTTAATATGTTCCAACAACATCAAGATTTTAGATACCAACAGATCAAAAATATGCCATACAAACAAGCACAGCAGTACCAATCCTTTCTTTGTTGCTTTTTTTGTTCTATTACCTGCCTATGTAACTGGAACGAAACTTCAAAGGGTTTACTTGGTTTAAGAATTAGTAAACCTTATGACTCAGGATGCTTCAAAACCACTGTTACCGTCAAAAACTACCAGGCTCTCCAGGATATCCTTGCTGACTCTAATTGGCACCGTTTCAAAACATACTCACAACTAGCAGAAGATACACGTTATGAGGTTTTCACAAATCTCTCAACTGACTTTGAAGAACACGAAATTAAAAACATTGTTAAGGACATGACAACCAAGGCAGGTGTTAACATTCACCAAAACGCCATCAAGATTGATGAGAAACCATCCCCTTTTAATCCTGATGAGTCCTATTACAACGTAACCGTTACTCTCAAATCGGACACTGAAGTTGAAAAGGTGCTAGAGGTCATTCACCCAATTGAAACCAAACACGGTAAACTTATTACCAAGTCCTTCAAATCAAAGGCACAATTCTTTAAGGAGAAGGCCGCGTCTAAATTAGCCACACATACTGAAAAAGATAACTATAACTTCTCAACTCCTCCGAACAACTCAGAAGCAAGATTCACGAGCCTTGAGAATAGAGTCTCCAGTCTCGAGAGTAACATGACCCATATCAACAAGAACCTGGAAAAAATAGCCCGGAGTGTTTCCAAACTTGTCCAAGCTGGGAAAAGAAAGGACATGCTTGATGAAGACGTGGAATGACCTTTAGTATTGCTACGTTCAATGTAAATGGTATCCTTCCGAAGGATCCCAAACAATCAAGCAGATTGGATGCAATAATACGGCTTATGGATATATATCATCTAAACTTCATGGCAATACAAGAATCACACATTAATAACTCACAATACACTCACACATTTCACCAAAATCTATATCGCTATTATTCTTTTCTAAACAATAACAACTCTCATGATGGAACCTTACTACTCACTCACCAAAGACATAAAAAGAAAGCGGTCCATCAAATCCTTATTCCTGGACGTCTCCAACTTTGTACCATCCACATTGGAGGATGTTTGTTAAATATCTTCAATGTATATAATTACTCTGGAAACAGAAACGAAGAGGAAGAAGATGAGTTACTACAGAAGCTCTCGGAACTTATATCCAACCTACAACACCAACCAGTAATAGTGATTGGAGATCTAAATTTTAATTCTCGAGGAAGTTCTTACAAAGACACAAAATGGCTAACATTCATGGAACAACATAACCTCAAAGAAAAGGAAACAAATATTCCATCCTACATCAGGAGATACTCATCAAAAAACAAGATCCAAGAAACAAATTCAAGACCGGATCATCTCTTTCACTCAAGTCATGTTGAAATAGAATATGAACAGGCATTACCACTTGTCACTACAAATGACCATATTCCAATTATGTTCAAATTTAAGTTACTTGTACCGACCACATGGAAACGAATCATTAATGACGAGCTTAATATTGCAAAAAAACTTGAAGAGATTTTGAAATCTCTCCCTGTTGACAACAACAAGCTAAGACAACTCAATCATGAAATCAAGAACCAATCCTACAAGCCACGCCCTATTACAGGATTTAAAGAATCAGAAACCATCACCAAACTAAAACAACAGCTTCATAACCTTCACGAACAAAAATTATCTGAACCAGAAGAGAACAAATCAAATATTGAAAAAGCCTTAAAGGAAACTAAGAAAAAACTTAAAGAACAACACAACCTAGAATTTGCAGAGTATAGAAAGAAATTTATTGATTCCATCAACCACAAACACACCAAAGGAATTCACAACTTTGATCAACATCTTAAATATCATGAAATAGATTGGAACTCCACTCAAATAACTAAAGAAGGAGCCGTGAAATATTTCAAGAACAAATTCACATCAAAATTGAATGAAAATACACAGGTTAAATTTAAACCAGGAATATCAACAGTTAAAGAAGGCCCTACCAACATCTCAATAACAAAAGAGGATGTTACCGACGCACTAAAGAGAATGAAATCTACAACACAGGGAGTTGACTTTACAACTAAACAAATATTTGAAAAGATTGACCCAAATACATTAGCATCAGCGTTTAACCACATGATACAAACTCAAGACATTCCCAAATGTTGGAAACAAGGATGGATTAAATTAATTGGAAAGAAAGATTTAATCACTGACTACAAAGACCTAAGACCAATTACTATCATGAATATTGGTTATAGACTCCTATTCAACATTATAACATTCAAGCTCAAAGACTGGGCTGAATCAAACATCAACATCAGACAACAAGCGTTTACTCGTAATCGTGAAACAACAAACCATTGTGTTCTCATACAAGCCCTAATTAACAAATTCCGAAAAAAAGGTTTTATTCTAACCAATATTGATATTGCAGCTGCATATGACTCCATTGAACTCAAAATTATTGATATGGCACTCACTCACTGCAAATTCCCTGAAGAACTTAAAAATTTCATTCTTAATGCGTACTCGAATCACCAAATCCAAATAGAATGGAATCACACACTATCAGAAAAGTTCATCAAAACAAGAGGAATTCCACAAGGATGCCCGCTAGCCCCACTTATCTATAACTGTATTTCCCAAATGATAATTGACAAAATTATTGAAAGAGAAAAACTCTCAATTATCCCACAAGATCTCGACATTGACGATATTGCCACATTATGCTTTGCTGATGACATGTCAATAATCAACTCTAATATTGCCCTCCACAACAAAAGACTCAAGAAAATTAATAGATGGTTTAAACAAATATTCCTGGATATTAATCCAGCCAAATCAGCAACCACCTCACTCCCAAAACTACATGAAGCCTTGATAGACAACACTAGAATTCCTAACCAAAACAACCAAAGAATCCTTGGAGGATATCTATTTGAATCTAAATTATTTAAGGAAGAACTAGAAAAAAGAAAACACAAAATAATGAATATCCTTAACATCCTCCCTATCAATCAAATCCAACCGTATAATCTCAAACAAGTAGTTACCTCCAAAACACTATCCCTAATAACACACCTTGCACGCAGCAACTCCATCAGTCAACACCAAATACAATCATTTGACTCGGCAATCAGAAACAAAATCAAAAGAAAACTGAATATTGATGCAAGAACACCTAAAGAGTGCCTTTACTTACCTATTTACCAAGGAGGAATGGGCATTCCATGTCTTGAAATGATGACTGATATTATTACCCTAAAATCACTTATCAATTTTTCCTGCCACAATTACCAACTCATGCAAGAAGCAGTGAACGAAGCTATTACATCAACTTCTAAGACCAAAAAATCAAAAAACCTTAATATATTCGAAAACTTCCACTACATTGCAAAGAAGTATGACCTTAAAGTAGATAATTGCAATTACATACCTCAACCTATTAATGAAGAAACATTACAATACCACAAACAATGTAAAAAATTCGAAGTTTGGACTGATGGATCTAAGACTGAACAAGGAACAGGATTTGGAATCATTTTACAATCCAAAAACATCACAACTAGACACAAATTCAAACTTGACCCAATCCATAGCAATAACACAGCTGAACTATTAAGCATAGTCTACACTCTCAAACTATTACCAACAAGAGCTAAAGCACACATTTACACAGATAGTGAAATAAGTATCAACATTCTTTCAAACCCCAGATACAGAGGACCATATCTTCCCCTCAAAATTGAATTTGAACATCTCAAGAAATCAAAGAACCTCCAAATCAATGTCTCCAAAGTCAAAGGACACCAAAACACTGGCAATATACATGTAGATAAATTAGCCAAAAAGGGATGCACATTAGGGAAATTGATAATCCCCCATAGACAACTTACCCAAAATCAAATTATCCTTAAATCCAACAATCATTGGATACCTGACGTCGCGACATTCATCAAAAACAAACAACTTCAGAAATGGAATGAGTCAATAGTTTTGAAGACCAAGAACAAATTTAACCCTTCTTGCATCTTCCCAACAACATTCAATTTCATGAAGTCAAAGAATATCTCTCCGCAACAAAAATATGCAATATGGAGAAACATGCATAACGCTCACATGAAAACCTTCAAACAAACTCACCTCTGCCCTGAATGTAATTGTGTAGGAACCATCGAACACTACACTACACGCTGTATATTACTATCGGAGCAAAGAATGTATGCCAAACAGCAGATGAAGGAACTTGTGAATATAGAATTGATTCCACATGACCGAAATGAACATCTAACCTCCTCCAAACTTCTCATCAACAGCAGGGGAATCATCTATTACTCGGATACATATTTTACAAGAAGGAAACAAGACATCATCAAGCACTGGGTTGACATCCAAGCTATCCTATCTCTCCTGATAGGAAGAGCTTTCAATCAATATTGGGAAAACGAAAGACCAGAGGCACCGAAGGGCCAATAAATATTTTTACATTTTTTTGTTCTATTGTGTTAAAAGAGTAAAATCAAAATTAACGAATGAAAAAAATGTTGGCTCGGAACTCTGTGCGTTCTCTCACCAAGCGCTTGCTCTCATCGGGTGTTTCCTCTACCTCATCGACACAAAAGGGACTCTTATCATCCTACGCAACATCCGCTCAAAATGGAATGGCTGCTTCTTTCCACAAGATGATGATTTTACAACAAAATCAACAACCATCAGGTTCCGCCAGCACAACTCCTTCATCCACTTCAAAAACATCATCATCAACATTGAATAATAATAATAGCAGTACTACTGCTGTAAATTCTACAACAGCCAATAAACCAATAATAACAACTACTCAACAACAGAGTGGTTCAGGATCATCATCAAACAATAATAACAAACAACAGACAGATTCAAAGGGTGGATCCATGGCCAAGACTGTTTTAATCTCATCTCTTCTGACCGGAGCATTAGCTGCTGGAGTTGTCTTTTATATTAATAATTCCTTGAAAGCCATGGAAAAGGATCACGCACAACAAGTGAAAAAAGCTGAAAAACTCAAGAGAGAAATTCAAGCCAACAAGTTGCAACAAGAACAAGCCAAATCAAAGCTTAGCTCGTTAAGCACTGAGTTGGAAGAGTTGGAAAAACAACACAGTGCCAAATTATTAGCCTTGCGAGATTCTTACAATACCAAGATGAATCAATTACAGGAACAATTGAAAGAACTCGTTCAAAAAGTGTCATCATTGGAACAAGAAAAGAGAGCACTCTCTGAGAATTTAGAGAGAAATATAAAGCTTCATCAAGATTTACTCTCCGAAAAGGAAGCACTTCAAAGCGAAAAGAATATTTTGGAACAACAATTGGACAGTCTCAACTCTCTTCAGGTACGAAGTAGTGGATCAATTATTTCCGATGTGTTGGGACGTGAGATTGATGATGTGACTGCTCCGCTCTCTGAGGAAGACAGAGACAAATTCCTCTCAAGAATTCATCGTTTGGAATCTCAATTAGCAAGAAAGGAAAAATTGATTGAGCAAATCAAGCACGAGTCAGAAGAGAGCATTCACAGAATGAAAGCACTCAGTGAAGAAAAATTGGCCTCTCTCAAGAAAGAATCTGAGGAGAATATTGCAGCATTGCAAAATCAAATGCAGGAACTTGAAAAGAAACACTCGGAAGAAATTGAAACAGAGAGAAGGAAGATTTTGGACGAATTCGAACTCAAAATGCAACAACAAGCTCATGACTTGTTAATTTCTTTCTATGACAATGCTCTTCAAAGATCCAAGCATGTTCAAGAATTGACTAATCAAGTCTATGCCATGGAAGAAACCTACAAGGTTGCATCAACCAATTTTTCATCCAATATTGATTTACAAAAGTTTGCTGCTGCTGTATTGGCTCTCCAGGACATGCTTCAAACCAATGCTCCATTCAAACCTGAACTTGATACTTTGAGAAAATTGGCAGAAAATGACGAGCTTATTAGAACGGTCGTAGAGACTATTCCTCGCTCGATATCTGAGAATGGAGTTCAAAAATTGGACGATTTAACTGATCGATTTAAGGTTGTTAAAAGAAAGGCTATTGAGGCATCTCTCACACCACATGACAGTGGTCTTTTAGGAGTGTTTTATGCCAAACTCCTTTCTCTGGCTGTTGTTGCCGAGGAAGGATTTGTGGATGGAGAGACTGTAAATGCCATCATGGCCAGAACTGAATTTTATTTAAAGCAAAGAAGACTTGTGGATGCTGTTAATGAAATTGACAAGACTCACAGTGTGGCCAGTGATGAAGTCAAACAAATTCTCAAGGATTGGATTTTGGAAGCAAAGAATAGACTCCTCATTGAACAAGCTCTCCAAACTTTGCAATCCCATCTCGTTGTGCAATCACACTCACTGGAAAGACGTCAACAATAATAATGAAAGGTTTAATGGGTCTATGAAATTATTAAACATCACTTAATGTTGTACTTGTTATAGTATAGTTCTGTAATAAATTGTTCATTTTCAGTTCAAACAAACTCTCCAACTTACCGAGATTCTGAAGAATAAATTGGTTATGCGTTAAGCTGCATCACGTCGTTGCAGCCCAGCCAAAATTTTCGGAGGGTTCTCCGACAAGTACTTTTTAACACTTTTTGAATGAAACTTTCAAAACAAAAAACATGAAGATGTAGGAAACTGAGTTTACTACACCATGGTCTCTTCTTTTATCGTTGTTATTATTCAAAATATTGAGCAATGTACAACAATAGCGAACTAGGTGATATTTTTCGAAAATTTTTGGCTCAGAAACTCAAGCCAAACCGGAGCAATGACGTGTTATTGTCATTATTATTTGACCTCGAACGCTAAAAAATGAAACTCGTTTGTTTTCGATAAAAATATTTTCATTTCGTTTAAATTCGTTTGAACTCGTTCAAAGTCGTTTATCACCTCATTTATAAGGCCACTTTTATCGAACTCACTCCGTTTTAATAGTACCTTGATGGAAGGAATACCGAATTTATTGTTGCCCACCACTATTTGCTAGACGTGAAAGAGTTTTTCAAACGATTTCATGAGACAACGTCTTGTTTTCTGTTACCAAATTCAACCCAAGACATCGTTGAACAGACTTTGAGCATGCTTTTGTGGTGTTGTATACAAAATCCTTTCCAATTGGTGTTGTTGATTTCTTTCTTAATTTTTGTGATCAGACGGATTCGACCGCTGAATTCCATGTTGAAACGAACGAGTTGAAACGAGTTAAAACGATTTCAACAGTAACTCCAGCGAAAAATGAGTGGCAAACGAACGAATTCAAACGAATTCAAATGAAAAATTGACTCAGCCATCCTAAAAGACAATGGTTACTCAAAGACAACTTCAACATTATTGGTACCCTGTCCGTTTCTAAATAACATAGTAACCTTGTCCAATCTTACTTGGGCACCATAGCGAATTAGAAGTGATATAAAAAGAGGGTGAACACCACATTGACCGTTTAATCAGTTTATCAATCGTTTCTCTTATCCCTGAACCATTGGATCAGTCGCTGCAGACAAGATTAGACGTATATTAAATACACATATGTCTCCGGTGGGATGAAAATAATGTTTAATTCTCGTTGGAACTCGTTCAAAGTCGTTGAAACTCGTTTGCAAAACTCGTTTTTCGTTCGTTTTCGATAAAAAATCTCATTTTTGAGCGTTCGAGGTCAAATAATAATGACAATATAGCAATTTCTAATCTCAATATCTAGCCACCAGCATCCATGCATTGGCTTCTTCACCTGAAATGATGCAACGTTTTGTCACAGAGCCATTCTCAGAATCGTGCTGGTAGCGAGGCATTCTATCGTGTAAATGCCAATTCACAGCACTCGAAGAAAAACTTGACCCTTCTTCACCAAATGGAATAAAACCTCTAAATTCAGCACAACAATCCTTAAAGAATTTTTCGTTGGCATGATGAAACTGTCTCACTCGTGCATGATTTGTTGGATCGAAATGTATGGGCGCAAAAATAATGTAGAATGGGCACAATGTCATTGTTTTCACATGAAATTCCATTTGTTCTTTCTTTCGCTGCTTGGAATCCGTGCTGCATTCTCTCGTTTTCATCACTCCATTTTTGAATACGTCAATGAGATCATTCATTGTTGAGCACTCAATAATTTTCACTCGTTGCTGAATTTGATGTTGGAGGCTCATATCTTCTTTTTTCAACAGTTGAATAATATCATCTCTTGAAAAAGATTCGGATGATAGGGAAGTTTTTTCATTCGAAATTCTTCCCTTGACAGTAACGCTATTATTTTCAATTTCACTCTTTCCTACTGAACATATCAATGTAACTCCACGAGATTCCCAATAATAAAATTTCTCAACATTTTTCGTGCCATATCTAAGATCTGAATAAACTCTAAAACCGAAATTGGAAAATCTGCTTTCAATTTCAGAAATTTTTTCATAAAGCTGCTGAGTGTCGACCAACTTGCTCAATATTGGAATAATGACAATTTGATACTTGTTAAGGGAGGAAGGGACCCGTAATCCCTTCTCATCAGACAATGATGTAACACATGCTCCAATCACTCTTGATGACACAACTCCACACGTTTGAAATACAGGCTGTTTTTTCAATGATAATATTGACAGTACAATATTTGTACATATACAACTCGGTTATGACCAAGTAGGAATACTTACAGCTACTTGATTATCCACTTTAACTCGATATTGTATGTTATAGACCTCAGAGAAGGTCTTGGAATAGTACTGAAAAGAATGAAAGAATTTGGTATGTTCATTCAACATGTTGATAAATGTCATAGCAAATATTGTGATATGAACCATTATAAACTTGTACATAAAACCGTAACATCAACCTACGTGAGTGTGAGCAATGTTTACAAACGTGTTAATGTACGGCAGAGATATGTCAAATGCCAAACTGTCATCACAATGAGAAAACGTCCTCCATGGAAATACTCTATAGGTGATTCCATTAAATAGGTTGCAAACATTCAATAGAACATGTAAAAAGTTTGATTTCCAAATAATTGCAGAAATATAATTCAAGGCACAATTCTCACTGTCATGACAAGTATGAATTTCATATTGTAAATTTTCCTTGCTTCCATAAAACAATGGTAATTGTATTCCATCATCGCTTAAAACTTGTTGAAAATTCACAGCACGAGTAATAATCTTGTATGGCAACTGTGTATAGGATCTAATAACATTTTTCAAGTACGGAAATACACTCCATTCACTATTGGGTTTCAAATAAATACATGGGTAATTATTTTTCATTTCATATTCTTCGTAGATGTATCCTCGACTCGTATGAAACATTTTTGATTCCAACAAATGAAGAAAAGATTTTGGATTGAATGATGACAATGATGATGAGGATACAACCGCATTACGGTCAGATTCACTTTTCGAGGCAGTACTGGAATGGTTCTCTTGTTGAGGGTCTACAAAATCATCGAAAATTATAAAGGGATCTTGATCGGTTGCCTCTTCATCGATGGATTGAGATTTTTGAGAATAGGTGGTGTTACTATCCTCACCTCCCTCACCCGTGCTACTACTCCTCGGATGAGGATTAAAATTCGTTAAAGGTTGATCCCGCAAGCTCACAAGGCTCGGCAATTGAATTCTCTCCAGCTTTTTTTCATCAATGGCTGAGAGTTGAGTTTTATGAGAGGACGATAAATCATCAAGCCTTGTTATATTTTCTTGTTTCATTAATGATTCCATTTGTTGCCGTTTCAGATTTCGTTCCGATTGATCAAAACCATCATCCAAATGTTTTAGAATATTGTGGTAGAGTTCTAACGAGTTTTCTTTCCATACGAATAGACCATCAATGGAATATCGTTCATCGTATAATTCTAATGATTGAGACCAGCTTTGTAACCATGCTTGAAATTGTGTGAGCTCGAGAGAGGAGGTAGTGTTACATGCAGACATTTTTTTTATATGGCTAACAGAAACAGGACAATGCATTTCAACAACTACTTGAGGTTTCTTCAACGTACCAAAGTCATCAATGACAGTGATTCTTGATCAAAACGTTTCTTACGCCATTAACCACACAAGGGATGTGGAAGTGATAAAGATACCTCTTATCTTTGACTCTTGATATCCTCTTTTCCTTAACACGTCCTTCGTTTTGTTTTGTCCTTCGTTTTGTTTTTAAGCAATCTTTAGTTGTTGAATGTTAAGTGTTTCCAAAAAAAACATCAACATGTACAAATTTTCGTTCGTTATTCATACCAACCAAAACATCGAAGAGGGAAGCAAAAAACAAATTGGAAATACCATTAAGGATGACGGACTGTTTGGTAAAATCATCTTTTCACCTCATGATAGCAATAGAATTGAATGTATACAAATTGAATTACAGACTACACTGCAAATGAAAAACCAAAACAATACTTCCGACCTTGATATGCAACATAAATTGGAAGAATGTATGCTTAAAATTGTATGCCAACCATTTGTTGAGATAATTAAAGATTGGCATAGTGTTTCTTATGAAACTAATCCGCAATTGTTTATTCGTAGTCCTGGTTATGAAATTGAAAGATTTTCAAAAGATACATATCCGCACATCCAATCACTATCTGATACCGACAAGGTGTACGGGTTGTTGGCAGAGGCTACTGATAAGAGCTATTGGAAAATGCAGACGGCTCAGAAAATATTCAAAGCCGCAGATTGGGAGAACAAAAAGAAGTGGCAACACGAAACTTTTATAAATGTGAAAACAAAAAGCAAGGACCTCTCAAAGTTAGATTTAACTACTGAAGATGATGGTGCAATTGGTTCTCCATCTTCAACACAGAAAGATGTTTCTTTGGAAGTGAAAGGGGTTGCGTCCACAATCAGTATGAAGTCCAAATCTTCCACTTCATCAGCAAAATCAGTTAAGAGAGAAACCAATTATTATTCAGATCAGAAATCTGTTAATATTGGAGATTCTGTATCAAAAGCTACTCAAGAATTATCTACTTCTTCTTCATTGGTAAAAGAGGTTTCAAATAAGCTCGAGGAATTGCAGAAACTTAATAGCAGCCAAATTGAGGAAGTGAGAAAGGAAGTTCAGGAAATGAGAGAGGAATTGCAGAAACAATTCTCCAACAAGATCGATCTTAATAGCAGTCAAATTGAGGAAGTGAGAAAGGAAGTTCAGGAAATGAAGAAGGAAGTGAGAAAGGAAGTTCAGGAAATGAAGAAGGAGGTTAAGGAAATGATTCAAACACTTTTAAACACATTTAAATAAGTAAAGGATGGCCCTGACAAATCCGCAGCCAGAGCCTCGTAGTGGCACCAATGTCTGGTTGTTTGTCGATTTCAAATAAAGAGCAATGGTCTGCTTAGATGGTGTTTTGAATATTGGCTAACAATACGACAAAACATTTCAACAACTTGAGGTCTCTTCAACGTACCAATGTAATAAATGACTGAAGTAATTCTTAATCAAAATGTTTCTTATTCCATTACCGTCACGAGGGATATGGAAGTGACAAAGATACATCTTTGAGTCCTTAACTCTTCGCAATATTGTACAATGACAAGATCTCTAGAAACCATGATGATTCTAAGACATCCAAACCTTTCACTTGCTACAGCAGTGCAATTTGAGACGATGAAGGTAAATCCTCAAGAAGAACAAATGGTGTCTCATCGTTCCACATCAAAACATGTCCTCTGAATATCAAAGCAGTATTATGAGGTTTTCTTGAAATTAATATTATTTAATAGAATTTCTAACAAAGTAACAAGTAATTTAAAAGGTCATCCAATCACATCAATTATTATCCTTCGGAGTGAGAGAAACACCAGCCATGGCTGCTGAATTTTTCAATAAATCATGTAAAGTTGGTTCATATTTTCCGACCTTGTACATTTGTATCAAATCCGAATACTCTTTTAATGATGTAATATATTGTTCATAGAGTTGAGTCTTTCTATACATTTCCGTATTCGTTTTATTCTCTCTAAATTGTGTTTGAAAATATTTCAATGATTCCGTACTGCCTGTTAATTCTCTTGTCGTTCTCAAAATACGATAAATATTGCGATAAGTTTTCAAAACAGTGACTCGGGATAGCGATGATGACATTTTTTTTGAAATTTTTGAAAAATAATTACTAGTTGGTCAAATAAACGCATGGACAGTGATTATTAAAAAAAAAAAATAATTACTAGTTGGTTGTTATTAAGGTAATGTCAGAGAATTGAGTATTTGAAATTAACTCTGTCAATAATCGTTCAATTTCCTTATTCACTTCTCGAATGAAGAAAGCACTATCACTCCATGCAGAGGAGCATACTTTCCATCCTTTTGTGGCAATGGAACGATATTTATCAAAGCATGCAAGTCGAGTAATGACTTGTATGCTGTCAGAATGACCATGGTGGATATCAAAAAATGATTCTTCTTCTTCATCTTCAGAATTGGCACCTTCATCGTCATCACTCATGGAACTTGTCAAAGAAAAATCTCCCAGAACTCCATAATAATTGCTACCAGCACCGTAGATATCCCCACGATGAGTCACAAAATACGCAAATTCTGAGCCACACTCAATAGAAGTGACACAATTTCACAATCTGTGAACCGGAACCATCTCTAAGCCTCTTTTTAGTCAGCACAAAGAAGCTGCCGATTACCTTAGAGCCACTTGTTGAATTCAATCGTCTTCATCTTTCCATAGAAATGGAACTGCAGTTGGATTTACGAGAGGCGGAAATCATTCTTCTTGTTGTTTCTTCTTTGACTTTTTCTTATGCTTGGCTTTCGTTGCTCCTCACAAACATAAAAAAGTTTTAAACGGAAATTGGTCCTTTTGATTATAAAGTCTTACACTAGTATAGTTCTGCAACCTCACCTGCATGATTCAGAAACACTCGTGTCCAGATTTTTCACATGGGATCAAGGGATTTCACTTTTCGCGCCAACCCCATCGGTTTAAAAATTTAAAAACAAAAAATTGCAACAATATAGTCCACTCCTTTCATCCCTTTCATCCACAACACACAGCAATATTTCCAATTCTTCCCATTTTACACTCATACCATCATCATCATCAACAACAACATCATGATAACATCCTCGGAAGATACCCATCTCTTTGAAGGAGGAGAACAACAAGTCAATCAACAAATCAAACAATGGTTTCATGATTTCCTTCGGCATGCTCTCGTTGGAACGAACACCTCTTCCTATCTCATTGCTCCTTCGGGAAAGGAACCTCTCAGCGAACGTTTGAAAATTCAATTCTCTGATATTCATACCTCTCATAGCGTGAGTAGTGAGAATAATGGAACATCATCGAGTCCAATTCCATCCGCTCGTAGTGTAGTCATTGATTTTAGTCATATCATGAATTATGATATGGATATTGCCATGACGATACGGCAAGAATTTTATAGGTTTGAGCCTTTTCTTACTGAGGCATTGAATATTGTGTATAAGGAATGGATTCATTCACAATCATCGTCTTTGAGAATGAAATTGGCAAATTCCAATGATGTCAATGCATCCATGATGAGCATGGCCATGAATGAGAGTGTAGTTTTTGGGTCGTCATCTTCTTCTTCTTCTTCACCTCATGAAAATAATTCGACCATTCAATTGAAATTTGTGAATTTACCAGACATGTTACAGTACGTAGTTGTTCATGTTGTGATTCAAGAGTTTTAGGAATAATTTTGTGAAATTTTTGTAATTATTGAAAATATTTATTTTGCTTTTATTGACATTTCATTGATGAATGTAACCTCTCTCGTCTTGCTATTGTTGAAAAATTTCATTGAATCAGAATTCGTCAACTCCGAAGTGTACACATTGGTCAACTTGTAAGCGTGAGTGGAGTGGTCACACGATCCTCAGAAGTTCGTCCAGAACTCGTCGAAGGAATTTTCAATTGTGTGGAATGTGGTACAGTTTCCGATCCAATTCCTCAACAATTCAAATATACAGAACCATCCTCATGTGTCAACAAAACGTGTACCAACACCAAAAGATGGCGTCTCGATATGCATCACTCCCGATTTGTGGATTGGCAAAAATTAAAAGTTCAAGAAAATACTCATGAAATACCATCAGGATCCATGCCTAGAACTTTGGATATCATTTTAAGGAATGACTGTGTGGAATGTGCCAAAGCAGGAGATCGATGTCTATTCACTGGAACGCTTTTAGCAGTGCCTGATGTTGGAAAAATGTTTGGTGGAGCTCAAAGTCAACTCATTAATGCCAACAGTCGGAAAAAGGGTGACATTGAGAAGCAAGGTGTAAAAGGTATTAAGGATTTGGGTGTTCGAGAATTGACCTATCGATTAGTGTTCTTGGCCAATTCTGTAGAAGCCATCGATCACAACACGAACAATGGCCACTCTTCAAGCGCAACATCGACATCATTGAGTACGAATAATGGCGAACAAGAAACACATGAAGAATTTATGAAACGCTGTACAGCTGAGGAATATGAAAAAATCCTTAAAATGTCAAAGGATGTGAATATTTATGAAAATCTTGCTGTCTCGCTTTGCCCCAGTATTTTCGGTCACAAGAACATCAAAAAGGGAATTCTTCTCATGCTTTTTGGAGGAGTTCACAAAGAAACAGAGGATCACATTCAAATTCGTGGTGACATTAATATTTGTATTGTAGGAGATCCCAGTACAGCCAAGTCACAATTCTTGAAATATGTGGCTCATCTCATTCCTCGTGCAGTATATACAAGTGGTAAAGCTTCGAGTGCTGCTGGTTTAACAGCATCAGTCGTGAGAGACTCGGAAAGAGGTGAATTTACCATTGAGGCAGGAGCACTTATGCTTGCTGATAATGGAGTTTGTTGTATCGATGAATTTGACAAGATGGACGCGAAAGATCAAGTAGCTATTCACGAAGCGATGGAACAGCAAACAATTTCAATTGCCAAAGCTGGTATTCGAGCCACTCTGAATGCTCGTGCCTCCATATTAGCTGCTGCAAACCCTATTGGAGGTCGTTACAATCCTAGAAAGACCTTGAAGGCAAACCTTGGAATTACACCAGCCATCATGTCACGTTTTGATTTATTCTTTGTCGTGCAAGATGAATGTGATGCCGAAATTGATAAGAAAATTGCCGAACACATTGTCTGTGTGCATCAGAATAAGGGAGCTTCCACTCTTGACAAGACCCTTGACGGTGCAACACAAATTACTGTTGGTTCCAATACTGTACAGTACTCTCCTGAAGATATCAAACTCTATCTCAAGTATTGTAGAACATGTATACATCCACTATTATCCCTGGAAGCTCAACAAGAACTTGTGACACAATATAAGAAATTACGACAAAATGACAAGGTCGGTACTAACTCGTATCGTATCACAGTAAGACAATTGGAATCAATGATAAGACTTTCAGAAAGTCTTGCTCGATTACATTGTGAAAGTCGAGTCGAAGTGAATCATGTTCGAAAAGCTGTTGAATTACTGAAAACATCCATTACCAAAGTTGCAAAATCTGACATTGTATTGAGTGGAACAGGTGATGACGAAGAAATTAATGGAGAGTCACGATCGAGTATTCTTGCACTACGAGAGAAAAATCAACAAGAATCCACTCGAGAATTGTTGCGAAACTTGAAAAATCAACGACGAAAGATTGAGGCAGCTCTCGAATTGGCACGTGAAAGTCAATCCGAGGAAGAGCAAAAACTCGGCGAAATTGAATCGCAAGCTGATAAGCTGCGCAATAGTATAGATTCTGATGAAATTGATCCTGAAGATAAAGATACACAAGAAGAGCAATTAATTGAGCTCGAAAAGAAGAAACTTCAAATAACGAAACGTGTCACAGAGGCACGAAAGCGAGTAGTATTACTCACCGAGCAACTTGAAAAGGAAGTTGAAAAATCTCAACAATTAATACAACAAGAAGAGGATGAATTTATGAAAGATCAAGAAGAAATAGCATCACAAAAGCGACACACAAATGACGACGACGAAATGCAAGAGGAAGCACCTCATTCTGAATTCGATCCACAGACAACAGCAGCAACTGACACAACGAATTCAGAATTACAACCTCCTCGAAAAAAGAAGAAACAAACCAAAGCAATTTCAACAGAGGAATATACCACATTTTGTAATCGAATTGCTTCCTATGTCCAACTTCAAGAATCCTGTTCACGAAAAGACATTATTGAATTTTACATTCAAACACATGGATCGACACTTTCTACTAAAAAGGCAAACATGTTAGAACAATTATTAGACAAGGTTATTGACAAGATGAATAATGACAGTATTTTGATCAAGACAAATATTCGAAGCAGTTCCAAGACTAGTAATCGAATGGAAGATGTATTTATTAAGAATTCCAATTTTGAACCAACTCTTATGTAATCATCTTGTGTGAAATAAAATCCATTGAACAAGGTTGTTTGGAGTGGTATGTTCATACATGGCCACACCAGAATATAATGGGATATGTATAAAGTTCTTATTCCTTTACATACAATTTACCACTTCCACGTGGTTGTGGAAAATCCATAAACTTTGGCAAGTCATCATTCACTTCACACACACGATTTTCATAATTAATATGACGTTCAGGTTTAAAAAAGTATTCGTCAGTGTTTCCTTCCTTTTCAATAACGTCTTTCAATGGGCAAAATGCTTGTTTCATTTCGTCGTAACAACATGCCAATGTTGAAATGAAAGGAGCTTTGAGTGGTTTCTGGGCTACATAACCACCACATTCGGCACAATAATAACCTTCGAAATTTTCAGTAAAGACGGTGGTTTTGCGAAGAGAAATGTCACTGGTCCATTTAAATTGATGGTCTGGAATGCCAATAATGAGAGTGAAGGGAGCGGAGGTTCCTTTTCTGCAGTTATGGCAATGACAATAATTGCTAAAGAAACGAGGACCATGAGCAGAGAAGGTGAGTTTACCACATCGGCAGGATCCTGTTCGGATTTTGGGAGTGGTTGTTGTTGGTTGGGTGGATTGGTCTGTCATATTGTGTGCCTCAGTACCAATGCTGTGAGATTGTGGATTTGTTTTTGTGTCAGCTGGAAACAAAATCCTCGAGACAAAGTCTTGGCAGACGTGGAATAACTTCAGCGAATCACTAATTTGCCCGCATACCAAAAAGATTACAAAATGAATTTGATTGAAAATTATAAATTTACTTCTTTTGAGCAGCCTTTCCAGCACCAACCTTAGCACGTCTCTCTCTCAACAATTGTAATCTTCTGGCCTTCAAAGCGTATGGGTTAAGGCGGACCAAAGCCTTGAAGTTTCTCAATGGATTGCTTCTGTTTTGCTTCTTGATGGCGAATCTTTGAACGACCTTCTTTGGCTTCAAAGCAGCTTGAACAGCATCAGATTCAATAATTCTTGCGGAGTCAGTGTTGACAGCAACGGGTCTTGGCAAGTGATAAGTGGCACCAGATCTAAAGTGCAAAGTGGAAGCACCCTTCTCATTGTTGTATGATCCGAACTTTTCGTTCAAAGCGTTGAAAGCAGACTCAGTCCAGACAATCAATCTACCTGGGTGACCACCAGGAGCCAACTTCAACAAGTTCAATTGGTTGACATTCAAAACATCAACACCTGGCAAGTTTCTGAGAGCGAGAACAATTGGTGGAGTTTGAGTACCAGCCTTGGCGTTGTAAACAACCAAAGGACCCTTCTTCAAGGTGTATCTTCTATTTCTCATCTTACCTCTTCCCTTTCTCAAGGTCTTGGAGTCCTTAGCCTTCTTTGCGTCGGACAACAAACCGTGCTTCTTCAAGAAAGCAACAGCCTCCTTGGTCTTGGCAATGAATTGCAAATCATCAGTAACAACCAATGGGAGTTGTTTGACTTGTTCAACCTTGTGACCTCTAGCTTGGACGAGAGGAGTAATGGAAGAAGCAGCAATAGCTGAGGCAGTGGCATATCTTCTCTCATTCTTCTTAACAACGTGCATCCATCTTCTCCATGTTCTGGTTGGGGAGAACATTCTACCCTTTCTACACATGTTACCGAAGGCACCTTGTCCGGCTCTGTGAGTACCACCACCACTAACTCTAGGAATACGAGAAACAGCACGACCAGTACCCCATGAGATGGCAGAGTGTTGATGACCAGCATACTTGTGAACTCCGTATGGTTGTCTGAGATTCATTCTCAAAAAGTTGACCATGTTGGAAACAATATCAGGTCTGATTGGAGCTTGGAAGACATCTGGCAAAGCGACTTCCTTAACGACTTCAGCAGTCTTGGCGTTGAAGACGGAAACAGTTGGTCTTTGAATGGACATGGGTTTTGACTTATTTTTTTTCACGAGAATTTTTGAAAAATCTACTCAACCACTGTTCATTGTTTACAATGGAATAGAAAAAAATGGGCAAACTTCAAAAGACATCTTGAGCCTTGCTTTTTTCATGATCAACAACCTCGCGCCAACTTACTTGGATTCTTGATGAATACGAGACAATGACGAAATCTCAATGAAAACATGTCAACAGAATCTCCATAGAGATTGTTGTCACACAACATCACAACAATTTACGAAAACTAAAGCACCCTTCTATGATTGCCGCCAAATTTTACTGCCTTCCCAACTGAAAAAAAAACACTTGCCAGCCTTTCGCGACTACAACAACAGCCTCTATACCGACAAGTACTCAGATTTTCCAAAGAGGGTATTTGCCTTTTAATTAAAAGCCGTCATCAACACAAGGCCTTACATAGAAGTGTTTGGTGTAGCCACTAGAAACAACAACCAAACGTTCCGTGAGTTACATATCAGCAACAATTGATATTTTTCATTGATTCAAATATCTCTTCATCCAGCACGTAGCCACTCAACCTACTATTTGACAGCCAGTTAATATATTCCGAAAAACATGAGTACAAACATGCACAGACAAAGCTCATCGAGCAGTGGCTCCCCAGGAAAAAACTCTCAACAATTATTTAAAAAGGCCACCTCGCATGATCATCATACACTTACTTCGAGTCAACAAGAAATGCTCCATCGCAGCACGAGCGGAAAGACTGCTACTCAGGACATATTCTCTCTTGCCGTTGAAGATCTTACAGAGCTTCATCAAACCAAAAATCTCAAGGCCATTAATGAGCTCGGTGGCTTTGCAGGTCTTGCTAAAATTCTTCGGACAGATCTCAAGAAGGGAATTGATTGGGAGAAGGAGGTGAATTTTGAGGAAAGGTCTGCCCTCTATGGATTGAACATTTATCCAGAGCCACCTGCAAGAAAAATCTGGAAAATATTTATTGACTCACTGAACGATACGACTCTCTTAATTTTACTCTTCTTTTCTTTCATTTCCATGGTTTTAGGTGTGGCGTTTCCAGATACCGAAGATGAAAGACCCATTGGTTGGATTGAAGGTTTTGCCATTTTCCTTGCTGTTGCCATTGTCAGTATCGTGGTCACAGTGAATGACTACTCCAAAGAACGAAAATTTAGATCTCTCACAAGAGAATCAAAGAAAGTAGAGGTAAAGGTTATTCGAAGCGGCCTCAATCACAGTGTTCTTATTGACACCATTCAAGTGGGAGACATTGTTGAAATTGAACAAGGTGACGGCATTCCAGCAGATGGTTTGTGCATTGAGTCAAATCAGCTCAAAACAGACGAATCGGTCATGACTGGAGAGCCTGACTTGATTAAGAAGAACACTACAGAGAGTCCATTCTTATTGAGTGGCTGTACGGTGGCTGAGGGCTCAGGAAAAATGCTAATCACATGCGTAGGCGTTCAGAGCGAATGGGGACGCACTTTGCAAAGTTTAAAGGAGGCAGATGAAGATAAGGGATCCACTCCTCTTGAGGAGAAGCTTGATAAGCTCTCTGTGAACATTGGTAAAATGGGTATGGGCTTTGCATTGATGACACTTCTCGTTCTCATTTTGGGATATTGGATTAAAAAGCTCATCCATACCATGGAATGGATACCTCCTGCAGCTGCATTCAAAGAGTCATGGCAAGAACAAAACGTTGTTGAAGTGGTTAAATTCTTTGTTGTTGCCCTCACCATTGTCGTTGTAGCAGTTCCTGAAGGTCTTCCACTTGCAGTAACAATTGCATTGGCGTACTCGGTACGTAAGATGATGAAAGATCAGAATTTGGTTCGTCACTTGGCAGCATGTGAAACCATGGGTGGTGCCAACAATATTTGCTCTGATAAGACTGGTACGCTCACTTTGAATCAAATGCGAGTTACTCACGCTTATTTTGGTGGAAGGTACTTTGGAGATCAACTCTCCTCTCTCCTCTCTACCCTAAGCTCGAGTGCCCTTCAAATTTTGATTGATGGCGTTGTTGCCAACTCTAAGGCCAATCTCGTTCGAAATGATGACAACAAAACTAAAGAGTTTGCAACTCAAGGAAGTAAGACAGAGGCTGCTTTGTTGCTCCTGCTTGTGAAACATCTCAACCAAACCATTGATTCCTATAGAGAGAGACGTCATGATTTATTGAGCGAAGAGAGAGGTTGTCATTTGCAATTGCCATTTAGCTCCAAGCTGAAAAGAATGAGTACCGTAATTCCGAACCCAGATGGTGACACCAAATATCGCCTGTTCACTAAGGGTGCCTCTGAAATTGTTCTCAAACTTTGCTCTCGGTACATGAAAACCGATGGAACCATTGAAGAAATGAATAGAGACAAGGAGGATGAAATGATGAGATACATTGAGGAGATGGCCAATCAAGGACTCAGAACTATTTGCCTTGCATACAGAGATGTAAATCCTGATCGCGAATTCGCATCACGTCATGAAGAAATGGATTATCTCGAAAATTTGGACCCTGTTACTTTGGAAGAGGATTTAATTTGTGTTGGCATTGTAGGTATCAAGGATCCACTTAGACCTGAAGTTCCAGCGGCTATTGCACAATGCAAGAAGTCTGGAATTACCGTTAGAATGATTACAGGTGACAATATTCTGACAGCCAAATATATTGCAAGAGAATGCGGAATTCTTTCCAAGGATGGTATTGCTATTGAAGGACCTGAGTTTAGAAAAATGACCAATGACCAAATTGCTGAAATTCTTCCCAGACTTCAAGTAATGGCAAGAAGCTCTCCAACAGACAAGTATAACCTCGTCAAGTTTTTGAAAAAGGCTGGAAACGTTGTTGCTGTTACAGGAGATGGTACTAACGATGCTCCTGCGTTGAAAGAAGCAGATGTAGGTTTGAGCATGGGTTTATCCGGCACTCAAGTAGCCAAAGAGGCTTCCGATATTATTATTCTTGACGACAATTTTTCTTCAATAGTTAAGAGTGTCTTGTGGGGAAGGTCCATCTTTGAAAATATTAGAAAGTTTTTAACATTCCAGTTGACTGTGAACGTGGTAGCTCTCGTGCTCACTATTGTTTCTGCCATTAGCTCAACCTTTGTGAACGAGTCAGGAGGATTTAAACCACCTTTGAGTCCTGTTCAAATGTTGTGGATTAACTTGATCATGGACACATTTGCGGCTCTTGCCTTGGCCACAGAACCTCCAATCCCAGAGTTATTGGACAGAAAACCTTACGGAAGAAAAGAAAGTTTAATTACACCAAGGATGTGGGTGTTCCTTTTGGGTCAATCAGTGTTCCAATTGACTGTGCTCTTCACATTGTATTATGGAGCTACGAGTTTTAGAAATGGAGCATTTTCGTTTGCTCGTAACGATGATGAGACTAGAACCGTCGTGTTCAATGCCTTTGTTTTTTGCCAAGTTTTTAACGAGTACAATGCTAGAAAGATTAACTTTGAGTATAACATTTTCTCGGGTCTATTCAAAAGCGCTTGGTTCATTTCCATCAGTGGTATCATTATTGTATTGCAAGCTCTCATTATTAATTTTGCATATTACGACCCAACCTTAATTGCAACTGGAAAGAATGATGGGCTTCATGCTTCTCACTTTACTCAAACAATCCCTCTCAATTGGTATCAATGGATGTTAACAATGTCTATTGGCTTTTTGAGTATTCCTTATGGATTCGTGATCAGATTTGTGAGTAGGATGGTTCTTCGAGTGATTAGTAAGAAGAACACAAAGAATAGAATTGCAGACGAGTTTTCTGAGAGTGCCACCCCAGAAAGTGAATTGTAGTCAAAACGATGCATTGCTTCAAATAGAATAGGTGTTGAATGTAAGACGCTTGTTGAAACAGGATGACAGCATTAGGATTGGTTGTGTTAGCACGGACACAAACAGCCTTACTAGGAACAAGTTACGATGAAACAACCAATCAAGTGATCCAAATGATAAATAAATCTTCGGAGTTTTTAATTTAAAATCGATCGGCTCACAATAATTATTGTTGCTTCTTGGTTTCGTTTCTCTTCTTCACACCGAAATTGTAAACTCGAGACATGTTCACTTCAGTCGTCGTCTTTTGCTCCTTCAGATAGGCAATATCTTCATTGATTTCGCTTAGCTTTTGTTCTGCCAATGCAACATTCTTATTAAGTAATTCCATAGCTTCGTCCAAAGAATATTCGACCATAATATCGCAACCCAACCAGAGAGCAACACGATCAGTTTTCGGAATGATTGCCTCAGCAAAAACTGTTTCGTCGAGTTTAAAGTGTGTTTCAATCTTGTCAGAGGCATCAGTTTCATCATCTCCTTCAAAACTCTTCTTTAAGAATTTAACTGATTCAATGGTCTTTTTAATATCCGGAATTTTGACTTTTAATTGTTCACGAGCTTCATGCAAACGATATTCAAAGATTTGGTATTGTTGATGTTTTTGGTTTTGATCTCTATAGATTTGAGAGATTGTGTCTTGAATATCGGAAGAACCTTTCTTGTTGACCAATGCTTCAACATCTTCCTGTTGAGGTCGGAATGAGTGAATGATTGAATATCGTTGAAAATGTTAAGACATTCAATGATGATGCACAAGTTCGGGTTTGAAGTAAGAGTTTCATCCGTGCCAAACCGATGTGTAATGAAAAAGTTCCAAAAGAGCAAGAGAGAAAATTAGTGATGATCATCATGTATTGAACAATATCATCAACGATTCCGTCCGAATTTGTATCAATTTTTGTAAGAGTTAATAATAATAAAATCAGGAGTATGATAATTATTGTTCCAATCTTGAAATATCATCACTACTATGAATTACATACAATAAAATCAGCCTTTGGAATTTTTCTTGGGTTTTGATAATTGTCGGGGAAACCGTGCAAAAGGTACTCATTCACGTTTGATGATGACATTTTTTTTGTATGTTGTATTTGACGATGAAGAAAGCTTTCACAACAATCTAGGGATGGAAATGAAAGATACTTCTACATGTAAAACTAGCGTTGGTTTTTATTGAATTGAGTGATTGGATGGCCTCTATAGAACATTTCTTACGTCTTGCCTAAAAGTTATGAGATTGCCTGTGAATTTGTCACGATTTTTAGCTTCCAAATTCATCTCAACACCGTCCATGAGTTTATCAAAGGCTTCTCTCACTTTGGTGATCCTTTCAGGGTCATTTCCAGCCACTGAACTAATTATACCCTGCTTCAATGTTTCATAGAATGGAGGATTGAGTACAATGAGCACTAACATGGTTCTTGACAAACTCCACTGATTACCACACTCTTCTAAAATAATAATTCTGAAAAATTGAGAAAGCATGTTTGGAATGAGGTCAATATTTTGTTTAAGGTGACTGGCTAATAGCTGGGCATCTGGTGTATTCTTTTTCGCTTGAGTATAGTAGAAGGTAAAGAGATTGTCGAGTGCTGCACAAATCTGAGAGGATAATCCCAAATCTTCAATCGAGACACCTTCTTCGAGTGACTTTAAAATTTGCAAAAAGATTGGTGTTTCAAACTTGATAATGGTATGCGTATGTTCTTGGAATAGAGTCTCCATAAGGCCATAGTATGCTCGGCATAATTTTGGATAGGCCATAATCTCAGAGTATGGAATGCTGAGTGCCAAACGTAGCACAGTATTCAAAACTTCATTCAATGACGGATCCTTGTATAAATCAAACACACCAAAGTTGCAATACTTTCCAGCAAGACATCTCGATAAAATGTTCATACTTGTACAAATTCCCTTATACTTTTCGTCATAGGCCTTATCTCGGATGGGCACATTTTGTAAACGTTGACCATAGTTTGTAAGAATGGAGCTGGTTTTTTTAAAAATTAAAATTCCATGTGGTGAGCTGTAACTAAAACAAATTCTTTGGTTCTTGTTGAGGACAAAATCTGCCAAGAACTTCAGCAATGAATTCATGACGAATTGATTGTCATACCATACTTGAGCTGCCTTCTCTAAAATACTGCTATACTTGTCGAAAAACCAGTCAAAGAAAAATGTATAGGTCCTCTTGTTATTGCAACCAATGACAATACCTCTCAAATCACGACACCAGCCAATCAGGGCATTCTTGACTCCATCTTGTTTGAAAACTTCTGGGTTATCGATGGCATTGAGACGATCACTGACCGATTCGAGTGGCTTAATAAATGAAAGAAAATCATCTTCTGTATAGTTTTGAAGGAATAATAGCTTGCAGAGTGTCTTGTAGAAGGCAGTTCGTTGTCTCAGGTTGGTGATTTCATTCAGGAATGGGAAGTTTTCTGGGCCATGATTCAACAACAAGTATCGAGTAGTTTCAAGTTTGGATGCGAGTTTTGCACTCAAATAGCCAGAGGCAATATCATCGAATAAACTCATTGTTTCAGTAACAATATTGTCGATACGAGCCCATACTTTAAGATTACTAGCTATTTTTCCAATGAAAATGTTCAACACTTGAAGTTGTTCTCCTGCAATATTCAACAATTCGTAAAGTCTTGTAAATATCTTTGGGGTACTGCTATTTCCAACAGAGCCAGAAGCGTCTCCCAAATATGACTTTTTAAAACTTTTCATGAAATAGAGGAGAGAAAATTCCAAATGTTGCAAGGATGCATCATGCAAGTAGTCAGTGTGAGAATAATTCTTAATTCTAATATCAATTAAAGGAATGAGTCTTAGAATTCTGGCAGATAATGTACCGTCCAATAATTCTGCTTCTTCCACAGATAATGAACTGACATATCGCTTTCCAATAACTGAACCAACGATATACGTTAGCCAAGTGAGCTTTAGCTCTAATTCGTTTAGAGTTGGTAGTGGAATATTTGTGTTCACTGCTTCTATATACATTTGTAGAACTGGATCAAAAAGTTCAGTCAAATGCTGTCCTGAAACTTTGTAATCAAAGTGAATGAGTTGTGGTATAGCATCAAGCTGTTCATCGAGATTTTCCTTGTGTTCCAAAGGATTTTCAACACTGTCATCATTGGCGCACAATCTCGCATACTCTAATCTGGAAATGGTGTATTGCTTTGAAATCTCTGGAACATACTTGTCGAGATAGCTTTCGTGTTCTGCTTTGAGATAGGGTTTGGAGGCAACAAGTCTCGACCACAAGTTTAAAATGTAATAAACGCTTTGGTTAGACCATTCCAAAGACTTGAAACTCTCTTGAGAAAATGTAGCACTCAAATCTAGCCATTGTACATAACCTTTACAAATGACAAACTCGTTCAACTGGAAGTTGGATTTGATTCGTGCCAAGAGTCTGCAAAATTCATTATACGTGTCTTGATCATCAAGTCCAAATCTCGTTTTCAAAACTGCAGACATGCCATCAATAAATTTCGAAAGAAAATCCTTTCTCTCGTCATCGCCTGTAAATAATGACCTTCTCACGCTGCACAATAGCACAAGAATTTGCAAGACATCTTTACGAAGTTTTGGATTTCCAAGAGTTGAATATAAATTCCAAAAAAGTTCCAACGTGTCCGATTCCTCAAACAAAGGTCTCCAAGCTCCAGGTATCTGAATGGTTCCTACATCTTCCGATGATTCATCTGGAAAAATACCGACAAAGTCAAATTTAAGACAACTTAGTGTCAATTCTAAGGCTTCTTGACAAAGAGCCTCGTTGGCCTGAAGATTATTATTCATTCCTCCAATATTGAGGCCCATTCCACTCAAAGATCTCAATACATCTTTCAATGTAAAAAGAGAAGTTTCAAAAATGCCTCGCAATGCCAAATCTCTGAATGAGACTGCAATTTTACGATGTTGAGTTAAGCTTTTTCGTGTTGTTAATGTGTTCATTTCTTCAATGATGCTGTTTAAAATTCTGAGTCCAACAATGGAAAGTTGTGGGTTCGTAACTTGTATAAAGTACTTTTTAATTTGCTCGGGAAGATCTCGATTTTGTTGATCCTCTAGCCATCCCAATTTTGTTAATCTACCAACGAGTTTCAGTAATCCTGATGATACAAACTTGGGAACTTCAATTCCTCTCTTTGCCAGATAGTTTAATAAATAATTTCCTATTGTTGACGGAGTCGAAATAAGAGATGTTGATTTCAAATAGAGAATAATAGTAGTGTACCGGAGTGATACCATTAATATGTAGACATGGTTTTGTTTTCGAAATGCACAAAAATAATGTTCATAGTAACGATGGAAATAAAGGATTAAATCATTAAACAACATGCCAAGAGTTGTTGGACAAATACTCTTTTACAAATTGTTAAAACTTACTCAAATCGGTCTTCTTTTCTGCGGAGAAGCTATTCCAATTATTTGTAATCATCTTGGTAATTTGTGAGGATGCAAAAAAGAGAGCATGAGGATCTACACTTGCATCGAATATCATGATAAGCTTTGGATAATTCTCCAATTTTTGGAACATGTGGAGTTGTCTCTCCGCTTCTTTTCTATCGTTATCAACCTGGCCGTAAATGGATCTACAAAGAGATTCAAATTTAACAAGATCTTCCTGGGACATCATTTTCGTAGAGAGTATTAGAAGAGCGTGTAGAAGTCAGAAATTGAAACAGTGAGTAAAAAATACTATGATTCTTCAGAAGGATGAATACTATGATGATGATAATTTTGAATTATTGTGTGTTTTCGCGGATGGAAACGGCTTTGGGCCAAACACACAAGAAAAACAAAATTATTGCGGATTTGATGATGAAAAAAATATAAATTCGCCACTCGTTGCAAGCTTTGATGCTGAGTGTTGATTTGGGAGGAGAGCTGTGTTGAGTAGGTGTTGTTGTTGTTTGGTCCGCTCGAGCAGCAAATTGGCCAATGATCTTTTTTTTTCTTGGATTTGGAATTCTGTGTGGGCGCCAAGTTGAATGTGCCTTCCTTGTGTTTACGCTTCAGAATATCAAAGGACACCATCAAAATTCTAAATTTTGAAAGTTGAAACACTTCTTTGAGAGTGATCAAATAGGTGGTTGAATTATTTTTGATGTTAACGAAAGAAATTGATCTATCTCTTACTGGCATCAATATACAAGGACACTTCCTTATTTCCAAATTTCGAAAAGCCTAACTAAATCGTAATCCCAACAGATCAGTAGTAGAGACACCTGACTTGCCCCAAAGGTACACACATAAAAAAACAGTCTCACACAAAGAGCGAGCGAGAGGCACACATTGTGCACAGACTTGATCATCACGATGCTTTCGTACATCCTCCTTCGCAACCAACAAGTGCAGCAACTGATAACAATGTTTGCATGTCTGGTTGCTGCTCTTCACATCGCCCTTGTGTCGTCGTCATGTGGCATGGTCTCTTCCTCGCATCCACCCTCTTTTCCTGTCTATAACATTTCAAACCTTGCTGGTGGTTTTGAATGGGGTGATGGTTTTGAACTTTCCAAAGCCACTCTCGGGTCCATATTCGGAGGAATGACCTTGCTCGATCAACCACCACGTCGAGCGTTATACTTGACAGATACCAGTAATTCGTTATTGAGAAGGATTGATTTGGTGCAATCATCCATTCAGACCGAAATGAGATTCGAACCACCACTCATCTCATTACCTGCTGGTGTGCAACCTCTCTATTCTCATACAGTATTTAATACCAAGACTTTTGAAAGTTTTGTTTGTGATCGAAATGCTCACGTGATTCATAGAATTCATTCGAATGGAAGTGCAAGCTCAGTATTTGCTGGTGTGTATCATAGGTCTGGATATAATGGAGATTCCATACCAAGTAATTCATCATGGTTGAACACTCCAATGGCATTGGTTGTGGATCCAAAGAGTGGAGATTTGATTGTGGCCGATTCTTTGAATCATCGAATTCGTAAAATTTCTGCATTGACAGGTTTGATTACAACCATTGCAGGTACGTTTGAAATATTAATATCAATTATATTAAGAGTGACACATAACGATTCATTGGGATTTGACTCTTCATTCTTTCAAATTCTCTGTATTGTGAAAATATTCATGTCATCACCGTTTGTATGTTGACTCACAAAAAAAAAGGTAACGGTCAATTTGGATATAGTGGAAACAATGGACTGGCTATTGATGCAACTCTTAATGCTCCATCGTTTATTGCACTTTCACCGCTCACCAATGAGCTGTACATTGCCGATACCAATAATCATGTCGTTCGAAAAATTACACCGAACGGAGCCATTGTCACTGTGGCAGGAAGTGGCTTACCTGGTTATAGTGGAGATGGATCAGTGGCAACCGCTTCCGAATGTCGATTGAACTCTCCACAGGGAATTGCTTTGAATCCATTCAATAATGATTTGTACATTGCCGATACCTTTAATCATGTGATTCGAAAAGTGTCGTTTGAAACTGGTGTGATTACAACTGTGGCTGGAAATGGAACTGCAGGATTTAATGGAGATGCTTGGAGTGATGCAACACAAGCTCAACTTTTTGCTCCTTCTGGTGTTGCTGTAGATCCATTGAGTGGAGATGTGTACATTGCAGATGAAGGAAATTTACGAGTTCGAGTTTTGAATTCTCGAGCTGGAATATTGTTCACATTGGTTGGAAGTCGTGGAGTTTCGTATTTCACAGGTGATAATGTACCAGCTCTAGAAACCAATTTACAATTTCCGAAAGGACTTGCTCTCTCCAATGATGGCTCGTCATTATTTGTGGCTGATTCTTCACTTAATAGAATTAGAAAAGTTTCACTCACATCAGCAGATGGATACAATTTCATTCAAAGATTTGCTGGAAGTGGTGCTGTTGGTTTTGGATTGGAAAATGTCGAAGCAGTGCTGGGTCAGTTGACTCAACCTGGAGGTGTGTTTGTCGAATCGCATGGAAATGTATTAATTGCTGACTCGGCCAACAATCGAATTCGAAGAGTCAACATTGCACAAGGAACCATTCAAACCATTGCTGGAACTTCCGTTTTACATGGTTCTGAGACCATTTTAGAGAGTGCATTCTTGAGAAATCCATTGACTCTTGCCATTTCTCCTCTCACAGGCGACATTTTCATTGCTGATCTTAATAACCATATCATTCGAAAAATTGATATTCGCACTCGAACTATTTCCACGTTTGCAGGTACTGCCGGATTGTCAGGTGACAGTGGTGACCATGGGCCTGCCACTCGAGCACTCATTTCCTATCCGCGAGCAATTGCAATTTCTCCATTGACTGGAGAAGTCTATTTCTCATGCAGTTCCAAAGTGAAGAAAGTCTTGTTGAATGGCACTCTTGTGACTGCTGCTGGTACAGGTGCCTTCAATTACACGGGTGATCATGGGTTAGCTACTGAGGCAACATTTAAAAATCCAACGAGTCTTGCTTTCATGTCGAATGGAGATTTGTTAATTGGTGACACTGGTGCCTTTGTCATTCGTAAAGTCTCGGCCTCCACAGGAATCATTACCACTCTCGCAGGAAATGGGACCTATGCCAATGTTCGTAATAGTGGCGATGATGGAAATGCCCTGAATGCTCAATTTCGATCTCTCTCAAGTATTTCTGTGGGTAGAGATTCAAATTCATTGGAGGTGGTGTACGTGGTAGATAATTTGAGTGCCTTAATTCGTAAAATTTATCCAGTCGATGCCAATAACCAATACATGATTACGACGGTGATGGGATTGGGAGATTCCCAAACGGAGGGAGCTTCTGCTTCTTCATGGAAGTTAATTTCACCTAAAAGCGTGAAAGTGTCTCCCTCGAATGGCGAATTGTACATTGTGGAGGCTTGTTCCCTCGTTAAGGTGTCTGTGGAGGGACGAGTGCAAACCATTGCTGGAACAACGAAGATACCTACTGTAACATGTGGTTCTTTCAATGGAGATGGAATGGCTCTGACTCGAGTGTTTGAATCGTTGCGAGATGTGGCACTATTGAATGAAACTGTGTTGTATGTTTTGGATGATAGTCGACTTCGAGTCTTGACCATGTCGTTGAACGACCAACCCAATGCAATGATCATGGTATCTACACTGATAGGACGAGAGGGAGATGGAGGACCAGCACTCTTGGCCAAATTTCAACAACCCACTTCCGTATTTTCCACCCCTGATGGTACGATCTATATTGCAGATAGTAATCATCACAGGATTAGGAAGATATCAGCACAGACTGGAATCATTTCAACCATAGCTGGAGTGGGATCATGTTCCTCATATGGGGATGGCTCGGCAGCCACTTTGGCTTCATTGTGTTTACCAATGAGTGTAGTGGTCAATTCCATGTCAGGAGAAGTTTTTATTGCAGACACGATGAATCACAAGATTAGAAAAATATTCTCGAATGGAACCATTGTGAGTATTGCTGGAATGAATTCATTAGTTGGAACACCGAACGGAAATATAACAACAGGTAAGTATTTGTGTGTGTATGCTGGTTGGATGGGTTTCAATAAGGTATCTTAACACTTTTTTTCTTGGTATAATGGTTTTTATTGGGTTTGAATTTCAACTACTTTGAAAAACTCAAACCTCTCACCTTGTGTTTTATCCCTTACACGTTCAGAGGATGGAGTCGATGCTCGATCCATCCAATTGAATCAGCCCACCAGTCTTTTCCTTTCTCCAAAAGGTTCTCTCTATTTCTCTGATTCTCGAAATTATAAAATTCGCAGAATCACTCCGAATGGTCTGATTTGGACCATTGCAGGAAATGGAACTGCAGGCTATCAAGCAGCATCTTCTCTGGCCACTGAAACTCCCCTTAATGCTCCACAAGGACTTGTCATTTCACGACACACTGGAGAATTATTTATTGCAGACACGTACAATCATCGCATTCGAGTCATGAGACCCTATTGCCTCAATCATTGGCATTGGGACGCCGAGTTGGAAGAATGTTTGCCATGTCCGAGAGGCTACACAGGCATTCAATGCCAAGTTCCCATCTGTTTTGGTTTTCGTAACGATTCCAATTTGTCATGTAATCGGAATGGAATTTGTATGGCACCCGATACTTGCAAGTGTTTGAATCAATGGAGTGGATTGGATTGTTCCATTCTGAATTGTGCCTCTGTATCGTTTGATGATCCAACGAAATGTGTCTCTTCCGACTCTTCTTCCTCGAGTTCTCAAACCAAAACTGAAACCATTCCTCAACTAGAGAATCTCTCCTCGAAAACTATTAATTTCACCACTGACACGAGTGTGAAAGCACAATTTCCATCCACACTGACTCAACATTTAATTGAGCAAGGAGGTCTGAATCGTTCTCAACCCATCACTGTGTTGAGTTCGCTCTATATTCCACCAAGTCAGAGTCAAAATCGAACACAGACAGAGGCTCCCGTGTTGAGTTCTGTCTTGACCATTTCACTGTATAATTCACAGGGGCAGAAAATTTCGGTACAGAAATTACAGGAACCAATTGATTTGTTCTTTTCAAATATTCATGTTTCAGGAGAGTCCTCCTCTGCTATGACAAGTATTGAGCATGTAAATATTACTTGCATGTATTTCAATGAAGAAAAGAAGGAATGGGCAAGCGATGGAATTGTTTCTCATCTCCAAAGTTCAACACCCAACAACAACAACAATGGTTTCATCATTTCCATGAAGTGTCAAACATTCCATTTGACTTCTTTTGCTGTGATTGATAAGAATTTTAAAAAAGCAACTAATCAGGTGGAGGACCGAACTCCCAATGGCATGTCAGACACGACCTTAATTGCAATTGTGGTATCGAGTGTGGGCTCTGTACTGGTGATTTCCGTAGTTGTATTGATTACTGTTGTTGTGTTGGCAGTGTATTATAGAGGAAGGAAATTAAAGAGAGCCTCTGTGTAGAGAGTGTCTCAATAACAACTTAAAAATTCTGAACCCTTGCATGGATCTTCTTCATATGTTATAGGGATACGTTCACCATGACCTCCAATGAATGATTTATCGTAAATATATGGACTTTTCTCTACGTGTGTTCAAGCTTTAAGGTAAATAACGAGACACGAACTCGAAATACTACGCCCAAAATAGTTTTCACCAATTCTCTTTTTTTGTTCTTCTGCAATTCTTTAAAGTCACGTCGTGCTTTGAGTTGAAATTCCAATTCATCATTACGAAAATAAACTCGGAAGAATATCCTCTACGCGACGGCAACTTTAGCTGGCAAGTAATACATAAACCTACTTCTGTTCTCTCCTTATGTGATATCATTCTCTTCTATTGTTTGCTAAGATATCGTTTATGCATTTGTTGTGGACTTTTAATGTGATTGGATGGCAATAAAAGGAAAATGCCGCCAACACCCCTTTTTTACCGTTATCAAAAAAAAGTCAACATCATTAAGTAGAGGTATTATAATTCAACAACCGCACCCTATGACCGATAAACAACCTTCTGATGTCACCATAGACTTGATAAACCAGGTGATAGAAACAAACTCTGGTAGAGGGTTTGGTCCTGGACATTTTGAAGGCTTTCAAAACGATTCCGAACACAATTCTTTTGGGTGTCAAGGACATGGAAACCACTTGAACAGTCTTACACCTCTTCGTTGTGTTGAGCAATACTTGCCTGATCATTTGATAAAACATATTATTCACTTGTCCAATGATCCTACTATTCCTTGTACTACTGAAGATCCTGAACCCTCAGACCATATCAAAGCTTGGTACACCTCGCCACCAGCTGATAATGAGCACAATGATGATGATTCACATGATGACGAAGACACTATCATTCCATGTTCGAGTCAAGAATCTGAAGATGAACAGGATGACTCTTCCTCTACAACACACACAGCAAATATCACCGTGTCTGACCTATACCTATATTTGGCAACTGTTATTGCCATCATGCTTGCTCCTCAACCTGAGCTCACAGATTTCTTCTCAACAAGTGTATTCTTTGGTAACGAATTCATAAAAAGTATTTGGAGTGGCAGAGATCATTTCCTTTCAGTTCATAGAAGTGTTCGTGTTAACCCCCACTATTTAACCAGAGTGTTCAATCAAATTTCTTTGATAATTTGGAAACCCTTCCCGAACGTCACAGTTGATGAAACATTGATACAATTCACGGGCAGATTTAAATTTAAACAACACATCAAAGGAAAACCTGAAGACACTGGTATTAAGTTTTATATGATGGCCGACGACTTGTGGTTCGTGATAAGGTTGTGGCCTTACACAGGTCATCAACCACAAGTTCATATCTTAGTGATGGATTTCGTTTCCTTCTTACCTTCTCATGAGTACAATATTTGCACTGATTCCTACTTTGGCCACCACAAGACGGCCCTACTATTGAATTACCACAAATTCCGGTTTACGATGATTTGTCCCAAAAACAGATTAGAAGAAGAATGCAAAAACTTACTCTCAAGGTATACATTATCAAAAGGTGAATGGATTGGTGTCACTAATGGAGATTATGTCGCAATTCATTACAAAGACAAAAAACAAATTACTTTTCTTTCCAACATGGTTACTTTGAAGAAAAGCAAGAACAAGAAGAAAGGAGCTCCTAAAGTAAAAGAGCTCTATGAGAAGAAGCATGTGAACGTAGATGTGGCTGATAGATATGCACATATGTATCCCGGTTGCCATCGGGTCAACAAGTGGACTCAATCAGCATGGATGGGAATTTTCCGAATTGTACTCGCAAATTCATGGATTTTCTATAAGAAAGCCAAAAACACTGATATTGATTACAAATCATTCCTGATGAGAGTGGCTGTCGGATTTGCCCAAAAAGCAGGTGCTGATCTTGATGATGAAGGAAAAAAACTATATGATGCTCATATGATTCAAAGAGTGCATGATCGTCATGGCCATCATTGCCATCATTGCAATAAGTATCCAACACACACAAAGTGCTCACAATGTGATGAGTGGGTATGTGAGCAATGTGTTAATTGTGGTTGCCAGAATCCAAAACGATCACACACAAAATAACACCAATAAATTCGTTTTTACATATTTTTTTTCATCCGTCGCGTAGAGGATATTCAAATCATTTGATTTGATTGAAAAAAATGTTGTTGAAACACTCGCTCAAGGCCTCTGTTGCCTCATCATCATTGAAATTGGCAATCTCTTCATCATCCCCAACTTGTTTATTGGTTACAACAGGCAATCATGGATTGAAAAAAGGAATTAGCAGAGCATTCCATACTTCATCGATCATGACATCAGCAACAACCTCCGATGATACCAATGTACCCGTTTATGTACAGATTAAAGAATCCAACATTCCACCCTCTGTACATGCAAAAATTGGACGTAATTTACATCGGAAAGAGAATCATCCGTTGTGTATCATCAAGACAGCCATTCAAAGTCATTTTATTAAACAAGCTGAGAATGCCAATGGTAGGTTGTTGGGTGATGTGTTGTTCAGTGATGATGATGATATGAATTCGGAGAATATTTCACAAATTTCCCAATGACAAATACACACTGCATGGGAATCTGCATAAAATGTAATATTCACCTTTCCCATCACCAATAGAACCCCACAAAGTTCACATCTTTGATGAATTCCATCCAAAGGTCTCTACCAAACAAAACTTTGAGGATTTATGCTTCCCATCGGATCACATCTCGCGACAACCAACAGATACCTACTATTACGACAGCTTACATTTATTAAGAACTCACACAACTGCTCATCAAGTTGAAATATTGAAACAGGGCTATAAACAATTCCTTATTGCAGGAGATGTCTATAGACGTGATGATGTGGATGCCACTCACTATCCAGTATTTCATCAAATGGATGGTGTTAAGATTTTTAGCAAGAAACACTTTTTGGATCTTGTCAAGAGTGGAAAAATTGAGTTTGAAAGTGGAAAACCTTCATCGAACGCGAGAGTGGTACACACCGATTATAGTTCAAAATCTGCTGAAGAAATTCAACAAGCATTTGAAAATTATTGTATTCAAGAGTTGAAGGGAGATTTAGAAGGAATGGCTCGTGCTTTATTTGGAGATGTTACTATGAGGTGGAATTCAGAATATTTCCCATTCGTCGATCCAGGAATTGAATTGGAAATTGATTTCCGTGGAAAATGGCTCGAAGTGTTAGGATGTGGCTTAATCAAGAAAGACATTATGAAAAATGCAAATTATGATCTCTCCGAGTATGCTGGATATGCATTTGGAGTTGGGCTTGAACGATTGGCCATGATCTTGTTCGACATTCCTGATATTAGACTTTTCTGGAGTGAGGACTTGAGATTCCTCTCTCAATTTGATCAGTCATTGGCCAACAATACTCTCAAATTATTATCCACCAAATTCAAACCATTTTCTAAATATCCTGGATGTTACAAGGACATTTCCATGTGGGTCAATTCAAATTACAGCGACAATGATTTTTATGAAATTGTTAGAGAATTAGCAGGAGATTTGGCTGAAAATGTTTCCATTGTGGACGATTTTACTCACCCCAAGACTGGCCAGAGAAGTAAATGCTACAGAATCATGTATAGAAGTATGGAGAGAAGCTTGACAAATGAAGAAATTGATCAAATCCAATTCAAAATCAGAGAGATTGTTCCTCAAAAATTACCAGTCTCTCTTAGATAAAAAGTATTCATTTGAAAATTGTATTCAATTATTTGGAGATATGCCAAAAGCAGTTTGTTTCTTCTGCTGTGTCGTCAACATTTTCAATACATCAAATCACAAATCTCGGCATGGGCCTGAGCCTCATTGTATGTTCAAAAAATTCAAAAACTTGTGTCTAGTATCGTGTCAATAGCTTGGTCACAATATCCACATATCCACTACTGCATGGTTGGATGATTGGGATTTGTAGCAATAAAATATTGAGGTTGAAGTTGTTGTGGTTGCTGTGGCATAAGAACAGCTCCTTGTACTGGTTGAGTGGTGGTGGGAATCATGAAAACAACACCACCTGCTGGCTGGGGCTGTTGCTGTAACTGTTGAAGGGCCATCATTTGCTGTGCCTGAAGCTGTTGTTGCATGTGATTCAATCTCATTTGTTGTTGCTGTTGTGTGAGTGGTCTGTTGGCAGCTAATTGTCTCTCGGCTTCACTTCCATACCTCTCTCTAGAATTGGGCTTAAATGCATACTCGACAATAATCGGCCGACCTCCAATATATTGACCGTTCATGTACATTTTAGCAGCATCGGATGACTCGAAATTGTCATAGGACACAAATGCAAATCCCTTGCTTTCATTCGTTTCGGGATCTCGTTGAATCCGTGGAGTGTTCTGAATCATGACTCCAAATCTGCCAAATAATTCTCTCAAAATTGTTTCATCACCAATGCTAGGATCTAAATTTCCAATCCATAAATTGGCTCCGACATCTAAATTTTTTGCTGATTTGTCCTGATCATATCGATTCAGCTTCATTGGTCTTCCAAATAATTTAATTTGATTCATCACTTGAATGGCATAATTTGCGTCATGTTCATGTTTAAATTCTACAAACGCATATCCGGAATGAGTATTAGTAATCCGATCACGAGGTATTTTCACATCCACCACAGGTCCAACCTGCATAAATAATTCCCATAATAATTCTTCATCGGCTTGTTGATCCAAATTACCCACAAAGATTGTTGCTTCCTGATTCCGTTCATATTTCGCTCCGGCGTTGCCCGAGGCCGATGATGAAACCATTCCAGCTGCTGTGGCCATTTTTTTTTGTACTTTTTTTCTTGAACAGGAACTAACGGCGTTAGTTTTCAATTTGTTTTTCTGAACAGCCAAGAATGAAAAGAAGAATTAATAAAACCTTTGAGGAAATTCTAATTTATTTAAGCAACAACAACACTCAATGACTTTTCTTTCCTTCATCACTCACCTCCCAACTTGTCATTTTCAAATACAACTCTCCAAAACCACACGACATGGCCCATCCCACCACAAACTCGATCGAAAACAAAGTCATGGCCATCTGATCCTCCAACCACGCATGTTCCGGATAAAACACATTCTTCACCATACCAATGAATATTCTCATGACAAAAATACCAAAACACACACTCCACATTCGGATTGTAAATTTACGATGCGAAACAAAATCTTTGGCGCGCGCGGTTTCCCAAGCTCGATACACACAAAACAAACACCACACACCCACCACGAGAGAAGTCAGAGCACAAATGGGTCCCATCAAACTCGAGGTGAGCAGCCAGAGAGCAGCCGGAACGGAAATGCAAACACTGGTGAGAGTGAGATAGCCCATGAAACGATGCAAAGCTGGAATGGTTTTTCGGAGTGTTTGAATGAATTGTAAGGGAGTTAAAAAGAAGACCACTCCTCCCGGAACGACATGTAAAACGAAGGCCCAATATTTCAATGTGGAAGAGTTGTGGTAGGGAAGGAACCACTTTTCGAAAAAGCCTTCTCCTAGATTGGCTGTGGTCATGGTTTTGTGAGCTTGTTGGTTGGGAATGGACACACTGTAGAATCCCATGTAGAAAGCAGCAAGAGTCATCAAGAGTAACCCAATGGATAAAGTCCATGATTTGTATGGTGAGACGGTAGAAGCTGTCATTTTTTTTTCTTGATGATCTTTAGATACGAGATCCTGCAGTATGATCTTTAATATGGTTGGCATGTGACAGTTTGGAAGGTTACGTTCTTGAAATAAGCACTTGCCTTTTGGAGAATTTTCGAACTCTAGACTAGTACTTCAAAAAAAAGTATGATGTATTTTTCCAAAACCAAGCTAAAGTGCAAGAGGACATTAAATTGTAGTGTGAACTTCGTCCTTAATACTTCAAAAACACGAATTGGTATTGTGATCAGCCTGTATAAATATTTAAGAAAGTTTTCAACTACTTCTTTTGGAGTGCCATTAAATTATGTGTTTAATATAGCGTTGACCTTTGCAAAAAACGTCTCTAATTCTGATTTGCAACATAGAATAACCTTTTGTGAATCAATCACTCTTCACAAATTACACAATAGATTAGGACTTCCAGCCAAATGCAATTCCTTTCACTTCCAAGGTGAATCATCTTTGCAAATGTAATTCTTTCACTTGCTGTAAGCCTTCTCCAATTTGTACATTTCAATAAATTTATCTACAGATTTGGCAGGTGTTTCTTGAAGTTTGAGGAAGAAGTCATGATCTGGAACAACGTCACCTCCCATTCGATCATAACATTCACGATAAATTTTTCGCCATAATGCTGATGTCATGGAAACATCTGCGTGAGCTCTATGAGCCATGGATACCCGTCCCAATCCTAAATTTTCAATCAAGCTTCCTAATTTGTAATCTGGTTGACCAGGAAATACTCTTCTCGCTAATTTCAAAGTACAAAGCGTGTTGGCAAACAAGGGATGTTCTGAAAAATCGTTATATACTTGAGACAACGATGAATCCGCATTAATCAACTTGTGCCTCACAAATTCATTGAAAATCACACTCACATCGAATCTCACATTGTGTCCAACCAATAAAGAGGGTTGAGAGCTCAAAAAACTATACAATTGAGACATAACTATTTGAGGAGGAGGTGCCAAATCGAGCATGGCTTTGGTTATTTTTGTAATCTCTACTATTGGTTCTGGTAAAAAAGGAATGTCGGCATTCACCAGACTTGTAAACGAGCTCACAGAAGTACCATCAATAATTCTGGCTCCAGCAACTTCAATAATTCTGCACATACCAACATTTGTGGAGGTTCCTTCAATATCCACAATAACAATATTATATTTGGGAGAATAGGGATTATTCGGAATGGACTTTTCATTTAAAGTGATGGAGCTAGAAGCATGAAAATTTCGTTTGCAATGAGTTTCGGAAATAAATGGTTGAGTGATCTTTGATATATGTTTTTTAATAGTCATCCTATTGATCATCATCATCATTACGTGATGGTTTGAATGGTGCCAATCACGATTAAAAACGGTCGTTATTAATTTTCGCATTTTTTTTAACTTTGATAATTTGATTGGCGCCAACAAATTAACATGGTATGAAATTATTGATCTAACATGGTCGACCTGTTAACAAGTATATTCGAACACCAACTTCAAATGTAGAACCATAGTTTGTGATACAAATAAATCCACAAATTACAACTATTCATATATAATGTTCCTCATTTACTTCCCAAATAAGCATTATTATAGCAATGTTTCATTCTTTCTTGATATAATTCATCACTATACGCGATAACGTAGCCATTGCATTTAAGTGCTTCCAACACAAGTTCTGCATCGTGTTGATATTCTTCACTCGAAGCGTAATATAATGAGTAACCATTATTCTTCACCGCTTCCAGCAAGATTTCCTTGTCCGTGCAAATCACACTCCTTCCAATAACTCCAAGACTGTTGATTTTGACGGCTTGTAACATAAATTCTCTGTCGTTGCCAAATTCTTCTGGTGCCACCATCATAACATCCTCACATCCCATTTGAATCACCTCTAATAAGAATTGTTTGTCATTTAACAGATTCTCTGAAGCGTATTGAAAAGCGTCGTTGTTTTGATGGATAGCTTCAAATACAATTTCTCGATCATTTTGCAACATCTCATCAGCATGTTCAAGAGCAAAGCCATCTTTTCGAACTGCTTCCAAAACAACCTCTCTATCTTTTTTCAACTCTTCAGATGCAAATCCAAGATAAGATCCATCTTGTCTGACAGCTGCCAACACAATATTTTTGTCATTTTTCGAATCTTTAAAGGCATAATTAAGGGCGTATCCATTTTGATTGACGGCAGTGAGTACCACATCATAATCTGTCTTTAGTTCTTTTGAGACAAACTCCAATGCACAGCCATCTTTTTCAACGACCATGAGTGCAATTTTCTTGTCATTCTTTAAAACATCAGAAGCAAATCTAAGTGAATTAACATCATTCTGAACTGCTTGCAACACAATATCTCGATCATTCTTGAGTTCATCACTTGCAAATTCAAGTAAAAAACCAAATTTTTGAACAAGTTTCAACATGATTTCTTTTTTTGAGTAATCCAAAGAATCCAATGTGTCAAATTCAAGTGGAAATATTAATTTTAGAGCTGTCAGCATGAAGTCGTGATTCTTGAGTAAATATTTAGGTACGAATCGAAGAGCCATCTTATTTTGCTTGATAGCTTCAATAATAATTTCCTTGTCCGATCTCAACTCTTCTCTTGGATGTAAATAACTCAATGCTTCACCATTTTGTCTCGCAGCAGCTAACACAATTTCTCTGTCTTGCTTTAGAGCTGTTTTAGCATAGAACAATGCTTTGCCGTTCAGTTGAACTGCTTTCAACACAAATTCCTTGTCATTTTGAAGATCAGTTGAAGCAAAAACCAAGGCCTGTTCAGCGTTTTTTATGGCTGCCAATATCAATTCTTTATCATTGCAATGGCAATTTGCAAATCTTATTTCTGTTGACCCATTGAGTTGAAGTACTTTCATTACAAACTCTCTGTCCTGTTGTAACTGTGTTGATGCATATTTCAAACCATAACCATACTTTTTAATATGATTCAATACAAATTCAGGATCATTCATAAACTCTACCGGAAAGAAATTCCTATTTTCCAATTCTCTATTCTCAAGCCATTTCTTCTTTCCGATTTGTTGTTTGATAAATGTTTGTTTCAAAAACATTTCCAATCTCCGAATATGTTGTTGAGATGACTTGTTGATTTGGTCGTGATGACAAAGAGGTTCAGCCTGAAACAAAACTAGGACCACATCATGATAGGACAAATTCTGGCTGTGATTGTTGTACATGATATTTTTTTTAACATTTTCAAATAAATATTTAATTTATTAAAATAAATATTTAAAATAAATAATAAATTTACCAAAGTTGGCAACAAGAGATGTTAAATTCAAGAAAAACATCAATGAAGGAACAAAAAGATTAAAAAATTATTTACTCGTAGATCCGGAGAGATGAGAACTACTTGTTGTTGTTGTGAAATGAGGAAGAGTAGTGGTTGTCTCCTCTCGAATTCTTGATGACTTGTTTTCCACATTTTCCAAAGTAATGGAACGCAATATTGGATAGAAGGAAACATCTTGCCTCTCTAAACAATTACTGACATACTGTTCTGATCCAGTATATTCTGTTTTTGGTTTCGTTTTCAAATAAATTAGGAAAAATAAATAATTCCACATATTATGTTCCTTCTTGATATGATTGTTAAAAGTAATTCCTTCGTTTGCTTTTTGATCAAATCTCGATCTCACAATGTCACAAATAAAACACTTGTTTTTCACACGATCTTCTGTTTTTTCTCGATTTTCTCTGAGCTCTGCAAAAGAATCCAAAATAATACCGAACACGACTTCGAATAGCACGACAATGACCACTAAAATGAAGAGCATGTTAATGACCTCTCTTGCCCAAACTCCCCAACTTGGTGTGAATTGATCTTCAAAGAATCCTCCCGTTCGCAATCCATAATTGAGCGTGTTTAACATACAATCAGCTGCAGAGTCACATAAAAATTGTCGTTCAGTCGTTGTCGGTGGATTTGCTTCCAAAAAGAAAGTTTCTGGAACGAATGCAAAAATCATCAATGAGAAGAACCAAATTGCAACAATCATGAGTAAGCTTGTCAATACGAAACGTTCTGCCGTCGTTTGAATACTTCTCACAATATCGTAGAGTGTTTCAAAACGAACCACTACTTCAAACAAGTGAATTGAATAAATAATAGGAGTTAAAAAGAGACCCAATACTGAAACGACCCAATACACAACTAAAAACCAAATATAAAAATCTTGAGCTAAATATTTCAAATAGGATTTGTAAAAATGTTTGTCTCGCGGCAAATCTTCCCATTTCTCTTCCATTTTCAATTTGAATTTTTTCTTAACTTCCAAAGTAGCTAAAAAGTAAATATAGGTAATAAAAAGTAATGTGGTGGTTAAAATTTGAATGACTCCCAATATGGTTTGTACAATATCTAACCATTCGGTTTTCCAATCTCCTTCATAGACAAATGTTCCAGTCGTGGCATCATTGGGATCACTATAACCAGGAAGTGGAATGTCTCCTGGCGTCACAGAATACATTTTCTTAATTCCAAACAAGACGAATAAATTGATAATTAAGGCAATGACGAAACTGAGCATTTTGATTCGTTGCCAATTTTCTTCTTTCAACAATCTCCAAATAAATCCTCGAATAATTTTCCAAGTACTTGTTTTTTCAGGTGTTCTTTCAAATTGTTTGTAATGATCAATTTCAGTATAGAAGGTGTGAGTTTCATCGAAAAAGTTTCGAATCTTTTCCTGAGCTGTATACTCTTCAGAGTTTACAGTGTTCACAAAATTCTTTTTAGAACGATCGGATAAAAATCGACTCTCTTCTGGAATACGATAATAGACATTTTCGAGAGTGTTGTTTCTTACAATTTCCATTCGACCTGTTTGTTTTTCGAGCGGAACAAGGTATCTTGCATATTCAGGAGATTCCAATAATTGTGTAATTCTTCGATGACTCGTTTCAGCTAATTGTTGTGACTTGGAAACATCTTCAATATGAATGCGTTCAAAATCAGCCAAAGTGTTCAACAAGAAGTAAATTTCGAATGCAATTTCTTCGTGTTGATTGGTAGCGAGTGTAATTCTTCTTGCTTTTTCCTTATTGAGTGCCTTATCTCTGAAACCATCATGAGTGACTTCGGATTGAATACGGGAGGCCATCTCTTCTCGAGCGCCAGTGTTGAGATCTAATTTAGGTAGACCCTTTTTTCCTTCTTCCAAAAAGTCATTGGGAGCAAATGAAATAATGCAACACTTTTTAGCCAACTCAATGACATCTGTGAAATTCAAAGAATCACGCATGATCATGGCAATTTTGTGATTATTACTTCCTTCTAATAATGAAGTCAAGCAAATAAACATGGCACTTTTCAACTCCAAGGTCTTGTCCAGTGTTAACACATTTCGATAATCTTTGGACAGAATTTCATTGCATACAAAATAAAATTTTGGTGACATTCCAATCACTTGTTGAGTGGTCAAGCATGGGCCTTGAACAAATTCAGTTAAAGAATCAAAACATTGAATGGCTGTTTCAATATTTTCACTGGTAATGTCCTTCTCGAGTGCCACAATAAAATTCAAACATTCTTCAACAATATTCACACTTTGAAGGTTATACTTTTGTTCTGCCAAATAATGTTGCAAATCAGCATTGTGACCTTCTGTCATTAACTGAAGAAAACGTAAAATTTCCTCAATATGTCCCTTTTCTTCGAATACGTCTTGAGTATCATCGCCATCGTTTTGATGATTGTCAGATGAAAAATCATCAGTTCCAGTCCCACCACCACTACTACTACCAGTGCCTCCTATCGAGGAATGCTTATTTCGATCGGTGGAGGGTGTAGAGACGGATGTTGCTGCATTGATAGTGTTCAACGCTGCAGGATCTCCTCTTGCCCGCAATTTAAGAGCTCTTGCTTGCTTGTAATCTTGTTTCTTTTCTTCCAATCTCTTATGATAAGCTTTTCTTTCTTTAATTTCATCAATGGATAATCGAATTCTGTCACGAATGGAAAGGAAGAATTTCTCAGAACCACCTCTCTTGAACAAGGTATAAATATAACCTTGGACAATATTGTTTCCTTCAAAGAGCATTGCAATTCCAAGCTCAATTGCAGACTTTACAATTTTATGATCATCCATGCAAACCATTTCAATAATGAGTTCAGGAATTTTCGCTTTGGTCAGATCATGATGGAATTTGTTCAATTTTCTCAAACGTTGTTCTGGAGAATATTTTTCATCACCTTTTTGTTGAGTGTCCATAATTTGTTTTAACATTTCGAGAGAGTAGAGTGTGACATTGGTCATTCCTGTTCGTTGACCTAAACTGACCAATGATTTGTTACTCTCAGTCATGTTGGCAGTCACGTTGAAATGATGAAGTTCTGGAATTCTACGAATGACATTGACAATCATATCCAAATATCCTCTATATTTTTCATAAAGTAAAACTCCTAAATTTGCAAAATTCGACTCTTGTGTGAGAATGATGAGAAAGTCAGAAACATAGAGTTTGTACTTTTTCATGTATCTTTCATCTTCATCTTCCTTCTTGTTATTGCCTTGTTGTTGTTGTTGTTGTGAATTCAATTGTTTGAGTCTCTGATGCTGCATCATGTGTTGTTTAAATTGAGTAGCTTTTGAACTGGATGCTACTTTTAGGAATTTGAAAATTTCTTGTGTGAATTCTTGAGGCATGGACTTGTTTTGATTTCCTCCCTTACTGACTTTACACATGGCTTGTAAACACTTGATGACTGCTTCTTTTTGAGATGTTTCTGTGACATGATCATATAAATTGAATAAACTTTCAATGAGATGTTTGATTACTTCCAATTGTTGAGGTTCACATGAAAAATCATTGGGAGGGAATCTCAAATGGAAATAGTGATGAACAAATGGAATCATTAATTGGAAAATGTACTTCAAGTCCACATAAAGCTTTTCATCCTTATCAAACGAAGTTAATGATGAGTCATCTTGTCCATCAAGAGGTTTCTTCCATTTCAAAACAAAGGAAGATTTAACAAGTTCTAAAGGATTGGAATCTTGTGACTCGGTAGTCGTTGTTCTATTGTGAATGGAAGCATTACCAGCTGATTTCGTAGGTGCATGATCGGTAGGAGTTGAAATCGAGTCGAGTGTAATTTCAGTGCTTCTTCTATTCAAATTTGGAGAAGTGACAAATAATCCCAACTCTCGAGTCATTTTGGCAATGAGACGGAAAATAGGTGCACTGCTGGACATTTGCTTTTCATCTTGAACCTTATCTGCATTGATGTAAACTTCATCGAGAAAACGTAGTAAAGGATTTCTCAATTCAGGAATTGTGTTAGGACTCAACAATTGTTTTAAAATATCTTCCATCGAAAGTAATGATTGAAGTTTCACCTCTGCGACATGATTTCGACCGTCACCACATTCTGCCAACAGTGACAACAATTCAATGTGATAACATAAAATTCCATCTGGTTGATTTTCATGTTCTAAATTTTTGATTCTCTGATCTCTTTCTTTGATACCTTCCTCGTCATTAAAGAGAACAATGACATCCTTTCTACGATCTAATAAATTTTGTGTCACCAATGATTGATTTCTCTTAATAGGATTTCCTTCCGTATTGTTCAAAATGATTTTTAAAAAGTTCAAATATCTAGGTTTCAAGCCATGCTCTGCCATTAAATCAATCATTGTTCTCACATGCTTTTCTTCAATCATGCTACACAGTCCTCTATTGTTTCTCATAATTTCACAAAGAAGAGTGGATACTCCCAATTCTTGTCCAATTTTGGACATGAAAAATTCCAAGTATGGAAACAGAATAGCTTGATTCTCGTTATTCTTTTTCACAAAATTAATTAAAAATCGAACGCATGATCTGTGAATTCTTCCTTGACAGCGATTGTCTGCGAATGTTTTGGTTAGAGTTTCAATGGCAATTTCGTGACCAATCAAATTTCTCAAAATTCTTTGAGTACGAGAACCATTCTTTTCGTAATCTTCTTCAATGCGTTCGAAATGTTGTTGAATGAGCTTGGAATAATCTTCAAGAGAGCTTCCTGATGCAAACTGAGCCAAATCAATCAAATTCTTAATTTCTTTAAGAATTTCAAGAATATTGTCGTAACTTCGAATCACAGTAGAAGAAACAAGTAATTCAATTTTTGGCAACAATTCCTTCAACTCTTCCTTCTCTCTGTGAATACGAATCAAGAGATTGAGAGATTTCACAGCTAATTCTGCATTTTTAGATTTTGTCAAATCAATCAAGACCTTTGTCAGCGTCTCGATAGAAGCACTGTCATTGAAAATGGAATCTTTGAAAAGTGAATTTTTCACAAAGTCTTGTCGTTTGTCGTCACTCACACTCTTATCGCTCACTGTAAAGCTGTACTTGAAATTGATCAAGAAAAAGTCAACACGAACATTCAACTGTTGTGACTTGATAATGTCAAAAATATTGCAAACTTCTTGTTTGATTTTGGTGGTAATGAGTGTCTGTTCGTTCTCTTCATAGATGGCATCAAGAGCTGGCTTTCCGTTCAACTTGTCAGAAGAGCAATCTAACACTTTCAATAACTCAACGACCACTCTGTGTGTTGGATAAATATTTGACAAATCAAACATTCCAAGTTCAAACATTTTTCGTGTCATGAATGTTAAATTATACATGAAAATATTCTTTTGAATACTGGTAATGTCATTTCCACAATCGAGTTCATAATTTTCTTTAAAGAAATCTGTCAAAAAAGATCTCAATTCTTTGAGTCTCTTTTCATCTTGATTCTTTTTCATCTTTTCAATTTCTGTCCATTTTCTTGTAAGTGACACTGTTGGATTGGTTTCATAGGGATCGACATCTAAAAAGCAATTCAGTAAGAGTGTACAAAAACTCGATCTCAACTCAAAGGTCAATCGCTTATCTTTGATACATGCCAAAACAAGTTCATAGGTGAATTTCTTTTCGACATATTCAATAGCTTGCTTGTTCCGTCCCAAACACAAGAGTGAAAATAATTCAATTTGTTTCTGGAAAAAGTATAACAACACGACAAAGTCATCCTGAACATCGAACATGGTCGAACTATTGGCAGACATGATCTGAACGAGAGCTTTCGAAACAAATTCTGCCAATTCATATTCTGCTCCATTCACTTTCATGCAAATCTTTGATTTTGTGTTTTCGTCTGCAAAATACGGAAACATGAGAGCGTTATTCACACGTTCATCTTCAAAAAGTAACTTGGTAATGAAATTTTGATTATTCTTAATAGGTCTATTACCACACGCACACAACGCACTCAAGAATGACAAGTAAATAGAATTCTTTCCACTCACATATTGTTCATCTGCTGCATTGGTATCTCCATCTCCCAATTGAATTTCTTCTTGTTGCTTGGATGTTGAGGATTTTCTTGGAGAGGGACTTCCCGGAAGTCTTGGACTCAATAACTTTCTTGGAGATGAGAGTGGTTCATCGTACATGGTCATATTCTCTTCCTCATCGACGAGAAGAGTCACAAAGTACTTGATTTGTTCTTTTGGCATTCTAACAAGTAAATTGTAATTATTTGTTAAAATTTCAATTAAGGCAACACTTGCTCCGACATCCAATTTGATATGTTGCTGAATTTGAGTAATGTATTTGGCCATGTATAATCCGTTTTCAGTATTCAACTTGACTGATTGCTTAATTACTCGATATAAATTACGAATCAAGTAGTGATAGGAAGCCAAATCAGATTCAGTCCATGCAGAATCACTTTGATGTAAAACAACCTTCAAAAGTGTATCACCAGAAGAACCAGAAGAAACCATTTCTGGAACTTGATCGACCAATTGTTCAATCAATTGCATAATCATGTCAATAATTCCACGCTCACGAAGAATGTTTTGTCTACTCTTGAAAGGAATTCCTTCTCTTTTCAATGGATCTTCCTCGTCAGAATCTGTCAAGAAATAAATCAATTGTGAAATGGCTGGTAATAGTGTTTGCATGAGAACCTTAAAATCATCTGGTCTCTTGATCACTCTTCCTTTCACTTTCTTTGAAAAACTCTCAATCATTGGAATGATACTTTGTACAAACAATAAATCTTCCAATTCTTGTTGTGGGACTCGATAGACTGAAAAGACATCTTGTTCATATAATACATTGGTGGAATAGAGAGGATAGGTATTTCTAGCGCCACTCTTTTTAACCTTTTTTTTAACATCGGTCTTTGTCGTGACTGCTGCTGACTGTTTGTCACTCACAGAATCGGTTTCATCCGCTCGCATCAAACTGGAACCCACTCCACTCTCACTATGAACACCATGAACCCATGTTTGTGTGTGTGCATGTTTAAGACGGAAATAGCTCTGTAATGGAATTGGATAAGTATGAAGAGTTGAAAGTGCTGGATCGTGTTGTGCTGCTGAAGATGCTGATGAGGCGTCGTGAGGTAGAATGATAAAAGTGGTATCTTCAGAACCCAAATCATCCTTCACAGCTAAATGCAGAGAGACACCAATTTGTTCCTTTTTCACAGAGCTCAGTAATTTTTTCTTCAATAATCTCCATAAATGATCGGTTGAGTTGAGACTTGAAGAAGCAGAGGGAGTTGAGACAGAGGAAGAAAGAGAAGCACTGCTATCATTGTAAACAGAAGATTTCGAGAGTGGGTCATGGTGTGAATCTTTGTTTTGATCTATGACAGCTGGTTTTGTCGTTTTTTTCACACGATTGGAAAGTTTGGAAAAGAATGCACCAGAAACTCCAAATTCATCGTCATCTTCATCCAGTGTAGAATCATCCAACAGCAATCCAGAATCATCTTGATCACTTTGCAAAAATTGTCTCGAATCATTGGTAGCATATAAATACTTTCCTGTTGAAATGTGTTTCAATCGATACTTTCCATACCACATTAAGGCACCACCTCGAGTGGGGTCCAACATTTCAACTTCCCACAGAGTATCGGTTTGACTCGAAAATTTGTCAATGATACTTGGAGTTTCATTCACTTCATTGGATTTTTTGGACTTGAAAGGTAAATTATGTTTTTCACCTTGTGAACTACTTCCTGAGGAATGAGAGTGAGATTTCGAATGACCAATGCACTCGACACGTCCAGATTTTGTATTCACTGTGAGAAAACTTCTCAATTCGGTATGAAATAATCGAATCACGTCACCTGCTTTCAAAGTATTTGAATTCACTCCCAAATATTGAGAAAATAATCGAATTCTCCAATTTGTTCTCGAATATGAAGATGTGAATGAAGTGCCAGGAATCATGTGAATTTCTTTTCGTGAGTCTTCATCGACTGTTAATTGAGCAGATATTGAACTCATTTGTGAATTAGTAGATAATTGAGAGGGTAATAATTCGGAATATTTAAATCGACCCAAATGAAGAAACGTGTTGCTTTTCCTGTTATAAAATCGAACTTGATCACTCAGTTTGACTGCATCTCCTTCAGATCTAAACTTGTAATAGGGTAGCACCAAAAAATGTGCTGTTGAATTAATAGATTCTTCTGAAACAAGTGTTAACTTGAGACAATCTTTTTGCTTTTCAGCTTTTTCTCTTGGATTTACACACAAATATTTCTTTGTTTTCAAATGCATTAATTGAATGGGTTGTCCATATAAAATCTCTCTTCCCATATTTCTCTCCGATTCAATCATATTTTGTTGTTTTTCACGTTCCATTTTTCGTTCCAAATCTTCAATTTGAGCTCGTTGTTCTTCTGTCAGATCCAAAAAGTGAAATTGATGCGAACGAATAAAAGTTTTCACAGAAGCTGCTTGTCCAAAATTGGCACCATGTGAACTCGATAGCACACGATTCGAGTGAGTATCTCCACCCACAACACTCTCACTCATTCCAAGTGTTAATTGTGTACTACTTGTATTTAAATCACCCTTAATAATTCCAGTAAGTGAAGCATTGGGAGGAACAATACCAGCAGGAATGGTAGAAGTCGTTGCCGATGTTAAATTATTACCATTTGTGACATTTCCAGAAGGAGATGATGCATTTCCAGCTGCTGTTGTGGTATTCACATTCGAAGACGAAGCGCCTGAAGTGGAAGTTTTGGTTTGATTCATGGATTTGATTTTGAGATTGAGTTGTTCGATTTTTTGATAAAACTCTTTGTGTGCATTGTAGGAATATGCTTGTTGAACCACAAAGACACAGGCTGTTGTTGTTGCAAGTGGTTATATATGGTGTATATGGTGTGTGTGTGTGTGATCATTTAAAAGATGATTCAATGCATTGATGAAATCAACAAATCATGATTCAAAACATACATTTAAAATTCGAAGGTAAATTCTCATCGGAAATGTCTTCCAAACCACATCGAGCATTGGAGGTAAATCTATTGATTCATCATTTTGTAGCAAGGCAGTGGTAATAATAAAAGAAGAAAATGTTTTGGTCAACAAACGTTTTTCGTAAGGTGTTTTGAATACAACACCACAACAACAAAACATTTTTCCAAATTCATAAATTGACATTAAAATTTCACATTTTTTTGTTTGTTGAAATCGAATCGTTAATTGTTCACATCACAAAAACAACATACCCCTTCACACTCATAAAACCAATTTCATCAGACATGTCATCCGACGAGGAATGATTTCCGCCACTATTATTATCATTATTTTCATCATCTCCTTGATAATAAATTGAAATTAAATCTCCAACACACAACGAACGTTGATTTAACGAATGTTGATGTTGAATGGCCATTCCAAATTTTCCTAGGGAATGAACAAGTCCTCCTGAATGTGTTCCGATCGAAGAAGAGGATTTCGAAGCAATACTTGATTTGGCATTTGAAGAGGTTGGTGTGAAAAGAGTTCGAAGAGACGAGGATTGTTTCGTGTTGGGAGGTGAAGAGGTGTCGTTGTTGGAAAACATCCCTTTGTTGCGACTGGTTTGAAAGGAATTGCTTCGAGTTGAAGTCTACGAATCGCAGAGTGATGACAATGATGGGATTTTTCTTTTGGATGTTTTTCATGGCATTGACGTCTGATAAAATGACACGAGACAGGAGTTTTCTTGTTTTGCAGTTCAGGTGACACAAACACCTTAAAGATGGATCAATACATTTCTCTTCAGTTGACGAATTACTTGTGTCATCAGTGATCATCGATGCACTCTTTTGAAATTGGCCAATTCCATTCTTTTTTTAATTTCAGTGTTCACATTTACAAATATTCAAAGAGGATATCATGAAATTTTTGTTCCTTGTCATTGGCACGTTGTTTCAAGCTGCTCCAAAAGAAATTAAGCATTTTAGAGGGATGAGCACAACTCTTGAAAACAACATATTGCCAACCACCTCCCCGAACGTCGTTGAACTCTGCTCCAAGTGGAACTCGTAATTGATAATTTGAATATGTCTGAAATTTATGAACCACTTCCCCAACAAATATTGCCTCAGTATCTGCATATGTAAATTGAAAACAAGGTCCAAAGTATTGAATTTTTCATGTTTGCAATAAGTAATAAAAATACGTGTGAATTGTTATGAACAAAGAAAATTTCATGACATTATGTGACACATAACAAATAATGAATCATGCCAATAATTGAATGATCAAACACTAAACTCACCAGTCAGAAAAACGCTTCCACGAGAAGAGCATTGTAAACTTCTTGGATGGTCTTTCTCTCTCAAGACGAGTTCTGTTTTTGTAAAAATATGTGGAGGATCTGATATGCAACACTGTTTGAGATCATTATATCCCGTGGCGTAGACCTCTCCACTATCCAAAAGTATCAATGAATGAATGTATCCACACTTCACTTGAACAATTTTCTCTTTAAATTGAATCAGAGTGGGCAAGAATTTTTCACGAGCTTGTTGTACACCTCCTGTAGACCCATTGGAATCGTCACCAATCACATAGAGTTTGTTGTCTTGTGTGGTTACAAATGCACAAACTGGGCTCACAACCAAACTTGTGATTGAAGAGGTAATTTCATCACGATTCAACAGTTTCAGAGTTTGAAAGTGATAGCCATAAATCTTGTTGCTGGTTGTCACAATCATGACCTTCTCAGATTGTGAAGCTCCTTCAATGAACATTATTCGTTCATTATGAGACATGAAATCTGTGTTTACTTTCACTCCAGGAGCATTTTGGGAGGATGACAAACAAATCAACAAACCATTGCTCATTTCAATATACAGATGAAGTGAATCACAAGTGATCTTGTTATATTCATACGATCTCATGACTGTATCGGGGATGTCAAACTTTTCATAACAATAATCCACTAATTTGAATTCGTCGATCAACACAAATTCCGGATTTGAAATTTTAGATTCCTTGAGAACGGCTCGCAGACTTTCATTGACATGGAAAGCAGAATTCAGAATCAATTTGTTTCGTGCTGTTCGAAAACAAATTGTCTTATTTCCTAAATATACATCGGAAGATTCAAATGGCAACCACAATTCGGTCCAATTAGAGTCCATCATGTCTTTCCGTAAATACACTCCTTCCGATGAAGTGGCTACCAAATATTTATGAAACCTCTCTCCCACAAATTCATCATAATAGAGACCCAGATCTACTTTATGAACACCATGTGCTTGTGGGGTGGTTGGAACAGGAACAATGTTGCTCATTTTTTTGTAATGATTTTTCTGAAGAGCAATTTTTCGAATAATTGTTTACGAAATTAGAGTGACACATGGTGGTTTAACTCGAGCCAAAATACTCCAGCGAGTTTGTTGGCGAGTTGGCGAGGGTCAACGTTTCTTGATGCATCATTTGAGTGCTTTTGTTTATGTACTTTATTGCACAACAACTCTTGCCTCAATTCCAACCGAGAGGGTGTATGCCTTGTAAAGCTTTAGGCAGATCCGCCCGGAATTGCATAACGATTTTTGGCAAAATACAAATAGTACATGCAGAACATTTGCAACTCGTGAGAACAACAATATTTGGATGAAACATGATAATAAGGGACTGATAAATGGCAGCAACAACAAGCATACAGTAGCTCAACAAATCACAATGATGGCTCACTAGTTATTGTTGTCGTTTCTCAACATTCAAGCTCATTTCAAATAGTTCACCATCACTCACACATTTCCTCTGTTGAGTTACAAAATAAAAAAAATTCAATAATTCTCGATCGAGCTCGATTATATTCGAATCCTGTCGAGATTTCGGTATGAACATGGATTTTAGCATGTCCTTGAGTTTCTTTTTTGAAATGATTTGAAATTTGTTTTCCTTTTCCTTTTCCTCCTTGCTGCTCATCTCAACTCTTTCCATGTAGTGATATAAAATGGTTGGTTTTGCCATTACTTTACCGATATCTCGAATGATTGAAGTAGAATGATACAATACAAGATTAACATCTGAATTTCCTTCAAATACAAAAACCAAATATGTCAATGGATTGGATCTGCGATTTGTTGCATGTTGAAAATATGATTCATCGTTAAGGTGGTCCAATACACATATTATGTAAAATGAATTTACATCAAAGGCCACACAACTTACAATACTGTTGTACAATATTTTGATTCTTTCACCTTTGCACGTAATTTTCTGAAATTGTGCGCTGACGTGAGAGTTTCAAAACACTCGTTCAATAACAATTCATAATCTCTACTCTTTTTTTGAGCTTGAGCGGTTTGTCTAAGTCGATGCACTGCACCAGTTTCGAATACTACTTTAAAAAGCTGAGCAGCTGCAAAATCGTTCAATACAAAACTATACAACATGGCCTGTTCAATTTTTTCGTATATGAGTGCTCTATTGTGAAGATCGTTCTCTTGCACGATACAAGTGACAAGAAAATTCAATAAATTATTCCAACAAGAGTAATTTCTCAAAAGTATTTTTGACCGTTTGAAAAGTGGGTTGTTTAAGGTCAAAAAATCTGATATAGATAAATGTCTTGTTTCATAGTCTAGCATTGCTCCCACGTGCATGGCCAATGTCTTGTAAGTAAATTGTGGATTTAACAAGAGGTTATTTTGTTGAATATTTGAAAACCATTTTGTGTGAACATTATTTTCAAAAGTTAATTTGTGATCTTCAATCTCTGGCAAGTGTGAAAAGTAGCTCATTAAAAAATATCTATCCTTTTCATTCTTGATAATACTCTTTTCAATTTTTTCACACTTATCCTTGCAAGTTGAAGAAAGGGGTAGCCCTAATTTAGTCAATGTTGGAATGATAAATTCTGAGCAATAACTTGTAAATTGAAGTATTTCTGGAAATACCTGAATTGACATGCCTCCCTGAATCAAACTGATCACTAGATCAAGAAGGAAATCCAGCTCCATATTAAATAATTTCACACGAAGATCAGCATCGAGTTTCTCTGAAGATTGAACGAGGGCAGCGTATTTCATATTTGGAAAATATTTAGACCAGTGCGAAAAATTCACAGCATCCAAAGTCAACAATCTCTCGAATAACTTGTACAAGAGGAGCGAAATACTAGCTCCAAAATATTCGCTGGCAATTGGTAGTATGTTGAGTAAACATGAGACCATGTCACCTGGAGAGGTCAATCTTTCTTTGAAATGATTCAAAATGTTTCCAATATCTGAAGCGAGTTCTCCATTGGTGGTAGCAACTGAAGGTTGAAATTTGTAATCATAAATAACTGAAAAGATGAATTGAATCACAAAGGTTGCTCGTTTTTCACACTCGAATGGACTGGTGGGTGGGATGATGGTAATATTACTAGGTGTTGTAGAATATTTAAACTCATTCTGATTCAGTGTGAATTTGAGTGGTTGTCGTTGTTCATTATGGTGTTTTCCTTTTAGGCAACTCAAAATGCACTCAAAGTGATCATTGTCCCAAATCACACAAGATGGTGGCGAGGACAATGTAGCATGCACTGAGATATCGGATCGTTGTGAAGTATCAATGCTATTTTCATGTTTCATTACAGTTCCGTGGTTTGAAGTGTCATCACGGGTGATGTTATTTTTCATCATGCTGATGGCTAATAAACTGGTAAAGACACCACCTTTCTTGAATGTTTGAGCATAGAGTGAACGAATCACTCTGAAATTTAAAATACATTCATTCCATTTCTTGTTTACGAGCCTCATACTCATATACATCTCGCCCACGGAAATGAAACCAAGTACTTGAGGGAGAATGTCGTCCAGAAGGAGACATGTTTCGTGAGTGGACATTTTTTTGGATCTGTTAACATTTCTTCATGACTTAACCTCAAGATTGTGAAAGAGTAAGGCCCGTTGTGGTAGATAAACGTTTTGACACCATGTTCTTTATTATGAACACCATGTGCATAAATCAACAACCCCCAATTTTTTGGATCCGTTGCACCATTGGTAAGAATTATGTACAAAACACACAACCCACTCGCACTCGAAACACACACTTCAAAAAGGTTCAGCAACTCTTTTTTGATTGAATTTGAGAGTCAAGTTTCTAAGGTTTTGCCATTTCATACAACGACTCTCTCAGGTTGGCTTAAAGATTAAAAAAAAAACTCTCGAACATGAAAAGAACAAGTGTCAATCGCATGTTGCAAGGATTAAATTCCCATAGCAACACAACATCGAGCATCATCAACAGCAATCATGTTTTTAATTCTTCTTCATCAATGAAGGCAAACACCATATTTTTAAATTCAATGATGAAACATGTTCCTAACAATAACAAATTGTTGAATTATCCGAATTATCCAACAACAGCAGCAGAAGCATTTGGTCAAATACGTTCCTACACCACCACAAATTGGTCTAATGAAAAAGAAGCGTCAACAAATGATAGTGGAGGTAACACTTCAACACCTTCGTCCTGCCAACCAGTCCGTTTGAAGGATTATCATTGGTGGAATACCCAACAAGTAGCATCAGTATTGGCTTCTCCTAAATCTTTGGGTGGAGCTGGTTTGTCAGTTGATGCTGTGAAGCCTTTGTATGAGAATAATTTTGATGGCTCATCTCTCCACAACATTATTGAGAATATCAAGTTGGACGGTGTAAAGTATGCCATTGATCGACTTCAAAGCACTTATAACAAGAATAACATTCCTCAACTCTCCGACACTTGTCAAAGTATTGTACATTGGGTCAATGATAAAATTCTCCCAAAACCACAGAAATTTCTGAACAAAATACACCAAGCACATCTTGAAAATGCTACAGATTTCGAAAAGTTTTATTCTGAAGCACGGAACGAATTAGCAAGCAATCACCCTGACAAGGTGTTGAAACCTGAAGATTTTGATGATTTTGAGCAGAATTTATTTGCAAAAACTACTATTAGAGCTTATAATTCTAAATTTGGCTATCCAAACTTTGGTAAACAATATCGGTCAATTGAATTGCCTGTAACTTTAATAGGTGCTTCACTTGCCAAACATGAACTGCCATATTTTACTCAATTTCAGTACACTATGGCCCAAGATGGTGAATTATTGAAAAGAGTAGCTCCTAGGAGCAAACGCAGCGCAATAATGTTTATGGGTCCATCTGGTGCTGGTAAGACATCAGCTTGCGTGCGTTTGTTATGTCATAATCCTGGAATGGTTTTAACATGTACTTTATCAAACGAGGTATCCAGTGGATTGACAACGGATTCTTTGATGAAGCAAGCATTTGGCCACTTAAACGGCCGAAATATTTTTGAACTTTTTGGCCAAGTAGACCAAGTAGTGCTAATGGTATTCATATGTAGATTGATTTATATTTTAAAGCTAATTGATGATGCAAAACAAAATCCAACTGTATTTGAAAATTTTGTTCAGAGAGATAGGGATGGAAATATTCTTACAGGTGGAATACTTCCATATCTCGCATATAAGCAATCAAATGGCAATACTGATACCAGTTTTGATGCTTTGACGTATGCAGAGCAATATGTTTATACTTCTCCCGACGATTTGAAGGCATTTGTTGCAACTTTGGTGAACAAGATAATTCATTCACTTAATGACAATTCCGCTCTATTTGGAATAGTCAAGAAAATTGAAAAATTTATAGTTGTTATTGATGACGCTAAACTTTATGCAAGGTTTGTATTGATTAATAATGTTCTTACTTGATTCATATTATTTTACTAGCGAAAACTTACTCCATTGCACTAACCTTTCAGAGTTAACAAGTCTGAACGGTGAGAAGAGAGGACTTTTAGCCAGGTTTGCACAAGTAATTGCTAGCATTGAACAATTTCATTTATCTATATTTTCTGGAACTAATTTTTCTGTTAATGTAGAAAGTATTATACAATCAACTCTTGGTAAAACTAAAGCAAAAATTGATACGGTTAAAATATATGACTTTGGCTTGGTTTCACGAGATGATATCATTTCATTTTTAGAAAAACATATCAAAATACCAAAAAACGAGAAGAAAGAGATTTTATTTTATTTTCATGAACAAGGATACAAGTATTTTAGAAGAAGATTGATCACATTGGCATTAGAAAAATTTTCTACCAACAACAGCTTGATAGATGCTATTAAATCTTCCGTAAAAGATTTTGTATTGGGAGTAGAAAAGCTGGCACATTATCTTATCTATACCTCAATGAACACTCAATTAATCAATGCACAACAAGGTATTCAAGCCATTGTTAAATATGTTGCTCATTATCATTTACCATTTTTAGGTTCTGAGTTTATGGTGCACAAAGAGGTTGCTAATGAATTACTATATTTGGGATTTTCTGGTCCAGAAAGCTCTGAAAATGATCAGACCAATGTTGTGTTTTCTGCAAAGGATTTTATTGGGTATGAATCTGGATTAGCAATTCTAAAGAAGATATTAGGCATTGAAGATAAATCAGAATTGATGAAAAAGATTATTCAAGAAAGAATCAAATTACTCCTGAAATCTTCAGACCACAACATCAATTTGGAATCCATTGTTATGCTTAGACTCACAGAGTTAAATGGTACACAGCTCTCTGAAATTGGTTGTTTCAAATCATTAATCACCACCAATCCAAATTTGAAAGATCATGTTTTCAAGTGCAAACATTATCTAGACGCAAATGGATATGTAGAGTACTGTATTTCAAAACGTGTTATAGCACCAAACAAGAAGAAAATTAACGGAGAAATGTTGTTCTGGACACACTTTGCCGAGAAGAAGTGGGATTTATTAGATGGAGTTTTTATTGCTCTATCGAATGAACACTGTGTTTGGTGTTAACAGAGTGAACGGATCTACAGATATGATCATTCCAATGGGTTTCCAGTGTAGAGTGCAATCTGGAACTAAATTTGACCCACATTTATATTTTAGTTCCACTATCCCTGAACTATTTTATCTCGATAATTATGGAAAATTGAAATCTGATACTCTTTACAATTTAAACAGTAATTATATTGAAGAAACCAAGATTAATGATGAAAATTGTTTCGTTGTGAAGGACAATTCAAATAAGATAATAGATGATGCGAATGGACAAGGCATGAAAGTTCGTTCAAAGGCAAAATGGTATAATGACATAAGAAATGCTGTTTTACAAGTATTTAAATCGTCAACTATGATGCATGTGTGTGTTGGACTTGATATAACTGAAACATTCTCACCAGAGGTTGTAGAGAAGTACCAGAAAAACTATTTGTGCTCCTTTATTGACATGAGCAACTATGACTTACTCTTCGACAAAGAATGGGAGACTTATTTAAAGAACTTGTTGACCACAACCACAAAACCAGCACTCGTCTCCCCGGAACTTGAAAGAACTACTTTGGACAAATAACAACTTTCAGTTGTTACGATCTTTAATATCAATAGAATCCTCCCTAAGGACTCGAATCAATCCAACAATCTATCACCCACTTGTTGCATGTTATTGAATAATAAACGAGGGAAGCACGCTAACGTAAAATTTATGGAAGAATCGAATGAAAGGTATCAATTCGAACGGATCAGTTCTTAATTGCTGCTTAAAAAGTAATTCTTTCATTAGGATCCATCATCAACATGCTTGCAATTAGTTCAATAATTTATCCAGAATACAACGATGTTGTTACATCTTTCAAGCTTTCCACTTATTGTTGAATAATCTTCTTTTTCCTTCCACACAGAATTGAGCCAATGTCGTGTTACAAGTCAATTGAAGCAACTCCAAGTGCAAACTGTCACTGCTCACAGAAAAAGTTGCTTGATTGGAATATTTTGGATAAATTAATTTACGAGCCATAACTAACAACATTCCAAGTCGTGAACCATGAGTGGTGAATAACTCCTTCATTAATCCAAAATCTGCCAATGTCACTTGAATGGTTTCAGTCGACAAATTGTAATGACGTATGAGAATGTGTTTTGGTTTGATATCTTTGCGAAATTAAGAGTGACACATGTGCAAGAAAATTACTGGAATTATTGATTATAAATGGGCTCGTCTCTCTGTGATTGAGGAAGATTATCGAACAATTCTCCAAGATTGGTGTATTGGTGTGACTGATTTGGAACACCAAGCGTTAAACTCCAGCTAAAATTTGCAGCCATGTGTCATTTTAATTTTGTAAAGATATCTCTGTGACATTTCAAAGACTGAAATTTTGTAATTATCGATACTGTAAAAAGAATTATTGTTCGTCATAAACCCACAGATTGTGTTGAGTAAAATCCAATTCAATGCCTCACATACTTGTCGGATCACTTGTTTCTCTTTAATATTGACAATAAATTTTCTTTCATCAATTCCATTTCAATACATAAACTCGAGATGATGTTGGTCAAAATAATTTCGGTATATGTTGTGGTAATATAATTCACTAAATATGAAGTCTTGACATTTTGTACGAGAAAATTATCGGAACGTTATTCATTGAATTTCGGAAACGAAGGATTCAAGGTATTTGTTGAGTGATGGCTTTCAGAAGATTTAAACTCGTTTCAAACCAAAGGAAGGGTTTTGGATATGACGGAAGATGGTGCTTGGGGTGGCAAGGAGCATCAAATTTTTTGGAAAGCAAGAAGAACAAAAATCAACAGCGAGAGTTGTGTAAATTTTAAATTTATTAGCGAAAAGTAAAAGCAGCAACCAATCAAATCGCTTATCTCTTTCTTTGCAATTTGGTAGTATTTCTTCTCTTCCAGCTTCCTCTTCTGGATGGTCTGACCTTGGATGAGGTGCATCCCTTTGTTCTCAAACCACGGTGTCTCTTACCGGAGGAGGTGAGACCTCTCATTTCTCTGTGCTTGTGCTTGGTGGTTGTAATCCAGTTAATTTGTGGATCAACTCTGACAGATTCAGAGGTTGGATCAACACAAATGACTTCGTACCACTTGTATCTACCATCTTGATTGACCCAGTATGAGTTCAAAACTCTCAATGCACCAACTCTCTTACCAACTCTTCCTTCAGCAACAACTTGCAAGTTTCTCTTTGGCTTCAAGTGAATACCTTGAGTTGCTGGCTTACCATTGACTCTACCACCTGGAACTTGCTTTTTACGTCCACCACGTCTAATTCTGACTCTGTAAATAACATATCCTTGCTTGGCCTTGAATCCGAGTTGGTGAGCCTTGTCTGGTCTTGTTGGGTGATTGACTCTGTGGATTCCTGGTAATTGTCTCAATTCCCAAGATCTGATACGTAACAAGTATCTCAAAGCATCAGATTGCTTCTTCTTGTACAAAGCATTCAAATATTTGTAGGCACCCATTTCGAAATGTTATGGCTGTTGTTGGTCGATGATGAAAATGTTCAAGAATTGCGTTGAGTTTCAGAAAGAGGAAAGTTTGATACGTACTTTTGGCGAGTATTTTTTTTCAACAAATTTTTCAAAATTTTTTAGTCAACCTGAAATTTGTATTTTACAACGGAAAGGGAAAGTGTGTGTTGTTCTGTGTATCTGATACTTGAGTGCACTCTCTGTGAATGGGTATTCAGAATTCGGAAGGTTGAAGAAATTTCTTACGTGGGATTTGTTGGACTTTGCTCAGAGTTTGCGTCATTCATTGGATCCAATTCCATTCCAAAAACAAAAAATATGAAGAACCCTCTTGTGTTGTCATCATTGCAATGTTCACGAGAGAACCACCAACAGGACAGGTTGTGCCTCTCACGCACACACAAGATGACACAACTTTTATCACAAAACATTCAACATGACACCGAAACGGAAAATTATCATCTACCAAAATTATTATCACCACTCAAAACAAAGGACCATCTTCCTTCTCCTGTCCTGATCATAAACACAACATCATTCCTCCGCTCCATGACACTTCTTGTTCTCCTTCTTCCCATCATCATGATCTTTTTAAACATCATCTCCTCCCCGAATAGTTTTTTCCTTGTAGAGGCCGGAATTAAATTATTTCCTCCATCCTTCTCTCATGCTCCCAGTTTTCTCTTCCGAGAGAGTATTCTCTATGATGTGAGCTCCAATGTTGGATTCAATGAAATTGAAGGACGGATTGAGGCTTTGGGTGATTTTGCCAATCAACAACATACCGATCTTGTTGTTTCTTCGAAAAATCGAAAACAAATTATCATCTACACGTGGGATACTTATCAGTGGAAATTCATCAATTATACAAGTTTTGATTATGAAACATCATCTAAATTCCTGGCCCATACCAATGTAGAAATTGTAAATATTGTGGCTTCTGATTTTAATTTTGATGGTGCACTCGATTTATTGGTCACCCTTATTGATAAAGATAATTTTGATAATAACAACCCTTCCTATATTCATTCAATATTGGTCGGAAATTTCAAGACACTACGCGAAGAGAAGATGTTAGATGAAAAGACAACGGATCAACTTTTGGTAGGTTTTATATTATTGGTGTGGTGAATATCTATAATTAATAATAATGTATCTTGTTCAGATTTTTGACCTTAATGGTGACTTGTTGCCCGATTTATTTGGTACTGATTTTACAACAAAAAAACGAACCTATTGGTTGAACAATAATACGAATTATGAAGCAGGACAATTAAGCTTTATCAGACATCTCCAAGATAGCAATTCTGGATTCACAACCATTGATTCTGTCACAAAAACACCTCCTGCTAGCACCAATTTAAATCCTCTGGCATTTCCCATCTCAACTGCATCGATAGATTTAGATGGTGATTGTGGTTCTGACCTATTTGTCATGAGCTGCTCAAAACAAGACACTCATGGTTTTTGTGAAGAGCCCATATTCGAATTTTGGGTCAATTACAAGGGCATACTTCAATTGAATTCGACTTTGAATGCACCCAAAGGAGCAGGACGCCCAGTATTTATTGATGTTGACCATGACGGAGATTTAGACATGCTCTATCCAGTGTGCTATCCTATCGATTCATGCTCTGAAGTGAATGAAATTCACATCCTCTATAATAATCAACTTGCATTGTGTAAGAGCATTGTTGAAAGTAATTGTCGGTCATCATCCAATTTGTGTTTGAAGAGTAATTTTGATTTCAATCAAAAAGCAGTGCTCTCTTTTCCCAAGGACGACAATGCCAACAAGAAGAGAATTCTTCATCATTACATCAAGTCTGACAAGTACAAATCTTCTCCGCCATCATTGAGAGCGGGAGATTTTAATTTGGATGGATATCCAGATTTAGTGGTGAGCATTGTGGAATCAGTTGAGCATGAAGAAAACGGTATAGAGGAATCTTATCAAATGGTCGGCGTTGAATTATGGCAAAATGTGGAATGTAAAAAAGAAACAATAGATGACGCTCTCTCACTTCAGAAAAAGTCCAAATGGTTCTCAGAATCATCTCATTTCTCTCGGAAGGCAGCCAACGATGATGAATCTTCCATCTCAACAACCTTTAAATGTGACTCCAATGCAACACCCAGAACCTTTCAAGTTGTTACGAAAGGCGTTGATGCTTTGAAGACCACCTTTGTCAAACTGCCATACAACTCCGACATGAATGATATGCCATTCTATGATGCGTTCTTTCTTGATATTGATGAAACTGGAATTTTAGACATTATCACTCTCTATAATGACCCAAAATCTGGAAACCAAACATTGAGAGCCTTCTTTAATTGCTTCTATAATGATGCTTACTTTTTAAAAGTTATTTCAACGAATGGAGTTGCCCCTGACGGAACACAATATTACTATGGTGTCAATGCTCCCAGTATGACTGTGAAATTTGTCTCAACCAAGTTAAATGGAGAGTATCAGCTCAATATGAACTCGTTACTTTCGCAAACAAGTTATTTATCATTACAAACGCCCTATCATTTGTTTGGAATTGGAAGAACCAATGGTTATATTGAGGAATTTTTCATTGGTCGTGTCATGACTAACAGCAGCACGACCACCAACTATTACGAAGCAAGTGCCATTATGCCAAATTCTCAACTTGTCACTATTACGACACCACCCGAAGATACAGACTCATGGCAAGTACAATTATTTGTCAACCCGTCTGCTGCTGCCCTTTGGGTCATCATTGCTGAGGTCGTTTCCTTAATACTTTTATTTATTCCCATTGCCATTTTGTTTGTTCGAGAATATCGACATGACAAGAAGGAAAAAGAGGAAACAAGTAGAGAGATTAGTTCTGTATTTATTTGAATAAAATGTCATGTTGAAAGGGTGGTCATTCAATGAATCGCGAAAATACTGTACGTTTTCACCAAATTCAATTGTCCAACGCACTGACAATTGACATAAACCATTTTCAGAGAGCATCTCACACATGTTCAAACTGACTGATGTCTAAACAACTTTCTAAAAAAACTCACTCAAAACAAACTCCCAAACATCTGTCACAAATGTTTGACCCATCCAACCCTCCACCTCCAAAACAACAAAACAAAGGGTTCTTCATCTCAGATAATGAACTTTTCAGCAACGAAGAAGATGAAGATGCAAAACCTCTTGAAAACTCACCTTTCTGTAATAGAGAAGTATCCGAAAGACGAGGAAGTGATGTACTGCTCAAAGTGACCATCAAATCATGCGACAATTTAATATCTGCAGATTGGAATGGTTTTTCGTAAGTACAAGACGTGATTTGTATGTTGAATGATGAAATGACACTTTTTTGAAGTGATCCGTATGTATTTTCAAATAATAATGACATTGGATCAATCATTTATTCTTCTTTTTTACAAATACTCTCAATCTCTCGTTGCATTTTATTATTTCATCATCATGACAAAATTCTGTGATTGCAAATAACAATGGATTGTATTCGGAATTTTCAATGACCAAATCGATTGGGTTTGAATTTGAACCAAAAACATTTTTTAAACAGATATTGTGGTAAGTGATGATGAAATTATGAGATTGAATTTTTGATTTTAATACATTCCACAATTGAATGTGTTGATGATGCATACATGATTATTCTTGACATGAACACACAAAATGGATACAATCAAAGAATGTCGTCTATTCACATCAACTCCAATCATTGAGTCGACTCTCGAGATGAACCATCAATCCAATGCTACAACATCTGCTACACCAGCTTCGGCTGCAAATTCCGTCGAGTCACTTTCACAAAACGAACTAGCTCATTCCATCGGAGCCACTCTTGCAGCAGCGTCATTTAGTGCAAAAAATCAAAGAGCAGCTTCATTCTTCAATCGAAAACCAAGTAAGAATACACTCATTTCTCAGAAAAGTTTGTCACACATGACTGTCAAACGAAGTGATAGTGGAAATACTCTCATTATGGAACCTCCAACAAAAGATGAAACAAAAAACGATCAGGAAATTAAGGAAGAATTGTCGCACGAATCAAAAACACCAGTGTTGTGGTCTCAACTCGGAAAACACACCAAATCGTCGATAATATTTAAAAATTTAAATCCTAGATGGGGAGAACAAGGAGAATGTATGACCTTTCATATTGATAGAGAAATATTTGATGCTGTCACTTCTCAACAATCACAAAGAGAGCGAACAAAATTTGTTCTTCGTATTGATGTCTTTGATTATGACAAGTATACAAAAGATGATGTTTTAGGTCATTGTGTGATCGATTTGGAACATGAACATTTATTTTCAATTTATAACACTAGGGAACTCAAGTCACTTTCAAAATCATTATTAGGAGTGAAACACGGAGTGATTAATTTTGACATTGCTCTCCATGATGAAAGCACAATTTTTGGCATTGAATTACAAGAGGTATTACAACGGCCACGAGAACACGGCAATAGAATTCCAAAATGTATTGATATTTTATACGACTACTTGATAGAAAATTGCTGTGAAACAGAAGGCGTATTAAGAATTCCAGGAGCAAGAGCACAAATTCTAAATATTAAGAGAGCCATGGATTCCATGATTGAGTTACCAAAAGGAAAATTCTTTGAAACCTTTGTCCACGAAGATGTCACGGCCGAATTTGTTCACACAGCTCTAGGAGTTATGAAAGAATACTTGAGACTTTTACCAACACCAATCATTCAATATGAACTCTATGAAGAATGTTTGGCATTCATTGAAGCCAAGTCAGAAAAAAGTTTTGAAAAATTTGAGAAAATTCTCCGCCAAGTGAATCGATATCACATTCCACTCTTCATTCGAACATTGGATCTGATCAAAAAGATTACTGATCATGCTCTCAATAACAAGATGACTCCTAGAAATGTTGGAATTGTCATGGGACCTAATTTGTTAAAAAAGAAACATCAATCTGCTGAGTTACAAATGAGACATACGAATCATATTGCTGCATTTGTGGAATATCTCATTCAATACTATGATCAATCGAGAAGAGTTTTACAAGAGTTGAGTGATGAAGGTTTCACACAAGATGAACGTTTACAAAATATAATGGATTCTCTGCAATTTGTGGATGTTCATGACGAGACGGATTTAACTCATGAAGAAGAACAAGTGCAGCACAAAGAAAACAGGATTTCAAATCCTCATGAAATGTTATCCTCATCGAAAGATCATGACCAACAGAATCCCACACAAGAAGGATTATTGGAAAGTAGTGTGAATAAGAATGTATCACTGAATCGACATGAGACGAGTAACGGTGTGGAAATTCAAGTGACCACTTGTTCTCCAATCCTAGATGACAAAAAAACTGTAGATGAAGCTGTTGATCACACCAGCAGTGGAGGTTCATCCTCATGTTGTGAACGAGTTGAGGAGTTACAACACTGATCTCATATGAGTGGTTGTATAATATTTTTGTAAACCTGATCAATAATTACAGTTGCCAATGTCAGATTAATATTAACGAATCGTTCCTTCAAAATTGACAATGACACTTTCGAGATATTCGTTCCTTTCGCTCTGTTCATGGTTAATGTTATTCGAAAATATGAAAATAAACCCTATCTGTAGATTTGCCGTTTGTGAAAAATGACATTAATATTTTGTAATCTTTGAAAAAACGCCTATTTCCGATGTGAAAATTTCATAATTGTCAGGTGAAAGATGATTCAAACAATTTAAAAGTATTAAAGCCAAAATTAAACGGAAAGTCGTTCCCGCCGGCAATCTTTTAAAATTGACTGTTGACAGTTATGCATTTTTCACACAACAAAAAAAAACAAACACACCTCTCACTTCTACATCACGAGAAAATGACCACACCATTATCATTCAACGGATACTACGTTCGAGATGATCACAGAATCTATCAAAGCTACAATACTGCACCAAGTACTTTTGGACCATTTTTTTACATGTTTTTGACGACTGGTCTTACTATTGAAGGTAAGTGAACGAGTTCTCGTCTCATGATGGTTTTTTGACGATTTGATCATCCATTTGTTTTGACGTGTTCATGATGAATATTGTGGTTCATCATGATGATTGAATTTTCACACAATTCCAAATATGGATTGGTCTTATCTTTCCAAATATATTATTGCTATTCAATCGATTCTATTGTGTGTATGCAACACTGTCTTTGCTGATCGATCCACTTCATGGATACAACACCACATAACAGGTCAAGCTGGTGTTTTAAGTTTTTACACACCAAATTCTGGAATGTTGACAAGAACTCCATTCATTTATTTGACTGAACTTCCAGATGTCTCCCAAAGAATCCAATTATGTCCAGTCTAGTAAGTTGTTTAACTGATCCAATTCATGACTTGAAATTTGCAATGTTGGATCCAATAGTGATTTTTACAATTATGGCATGTATTGGCAAGTGACTCAATTCTGGGGCAATGGAGAGCTCGGAAGAACTCCAATGCGTTATGTAAGTTCATATTTTGTCATGATTGATACATCATTTCCAACACGAATACCATCTTTCGAACTGTTGACATTTCATTGTTAATGAATACTTTTTGAAATCCTTTCATTTTCAACAACATTCATGAATTCATTTGAACACATCATCAGGTCTGGTATTACACTTTCGGTGGCGGTGGTGGTAATGTGAACCAACCAGAATCCATTACTGCAGCATCCACTACCTCTACTGAATCGGATGCACAAGTTGTTACTGCTTCCTCAAGCTCTCTCCCAACCAATCCTTCCGAACTTGATTTGGATCATCCTACTCTTCCTGCTGGAGTCTGTGCCAAAGACATTATTCGTGTGCGTTTCGATGAACAAACTGGTGAATGGACGTGTGACAATGAAGAACATCGTCCAATCTTTGAAACTCAAATTAAACCCAATTTGGTCGTGTCGAAGGATCAAGTCCCGGCCCTGCCACCAAACAAAAAGTCAGAGAAGGAAATTCTCAAATTCAAGATGAAGTGGCTCAAGAAACAAGAAAAGAAGAAGAAGAGAGAAGAAAAGAAGAAGGAAAGGGAGGAAAAGAAGGAGGATAAAGAACATGAGAAGGAAGAAAAGGATGAAGATTCTGAGGACGATGATGAAACTCCAAAGAAGGAAGAACAAACAGCTTCCACTTCTACCTCTGTTCAAGATCCAGCCACCACTACAACCACTGCATTGATGACCACTTCTGCATCCAGCCAAGTTGTAACCACTACCGACACTGCCAATGATCCAACTTCTCCAATGTTCAACTATTATCCTGATCCTTCTGGATTCCAAATGCCAGATTATTATCAAGAAAATGCAGGCAAGCAATGGCAACTCTATGACGTTTGGTATACTGGATTCAAACTTCAAAACACAACCGCAGGAGATAACCGAACTGCCACAGCTGCTTGGGAATGGGACACTCATAGAGGCAAATATGTGATTTATTTCAAATTCTTTGATTCTACTGGAAATACTTTGCAAGCCATGTTGAGAGGAACTAGTGATGACATGTTTAATGTGCAATTGGAGAATGGTGATACATTCGCTGGTGGATATAATCCTTATACTGGTGAGCCTTAAATTGGTGAAGTGAAATGTGTGTGAATTTATTCTATACTCCGAACATTGGTCGTAGTAGTTGTTGAAATAAAGTTACCATACTCATTGGTTATTTTCATGGTAATTAAGCTTTTTGAATTTAACATTTTAATTGGAGTCATTTCAATTTTCAAAGTTTGTGTTGCGCGCCAAAAATAACTGACCGTTAAATTTCAACACGAAAAAAATGCAATCACAACACAATCAAAGTCTTTTCAAAAATTTTCTTCTTTCATCGTCCAAGTATCAGGATCGTGTTGCTGGAATTGTTTCTTCCTTTGGGTCCGTCGGAAGTAGTAGTTCTTCATCATCCTCTTCATCATCGGATCCGAGCGGTGATAACACTTCAGCTCGATTAATCATCAACATGAATGATTTGAGAAGTTTCGATCACAAGACGAGTACACTCTTTCAACAAGAACCACTCCGTTATTTACTTGATTTTGAACACGCTCTTCATGATTATATTTTAACTAATTTTCCAAAGTTTTTTGAAGAATTCACCAAAGCAGTCATTCATTTAGGATTTGAAGGTGAATTGGGAGATAACAATCATGTCACTCCGAGACATTTAATGGCTAATTATGCCAACAAGCTACTTTGTGTGTCTGGTATTGTTACAAAATGTTAGTAGTTTTTTGTGTGAATAGATGGCATTTGACATGAGTTTAATGTTTTCTCTGGTTACAATTTTTCACTCACTTCCAATTCATCTCTTGTTAAAATTTTACACTTTCAACACCTTCGAAATCGATACGTTTGAACTTGTGAACCCTCCTACATTCACACTTGTATATGATAGGCTCCTCGGTCATTGAAAAAGTGGTCAAGGTTGTTTATTATTGTCCAGAGACAAACAAATTCCATCAAACAGATTTCACTTCAGATGCTAATGCAGGTGCTTCCACTTCAAATTTGCAATTTCAAGACGCTAATGGAAATATTCTAGAGACAGAATTTGGTTTATCAGATTTTACCGATTCTCAAACCATATTCATTCAAGAAGCTCCAGAAAATTCACCACCTGGACAACTTCCTCGATCCGTTGAATGTATTGTTGAAGATGATTTAGTGGATCAAGTGAAACCTGGAGATCGTGTCACCATGTATGGTGTCTACAAATCACTACCACCTTCAAGTGGTGGTAATTCGACCTTGTCAAGCAAAATGAGAATGGTATTTATTGTAAATCATATTGTAAAGAAAGAATATGAAACCACGAATGAGAATGAATTTACAGTGAAAGAAATGGAAAATATTACCAAATTATCACTGAGGAAAGATTTATTTGATGTACTCTCTCGTGGAATGGCTCCTACAATTTTCGGCCACGATTTTATCAAGAAGAGTTTATTGTTACAAATGTTGGGAGGAGTGGAAAAGAATTTTACACAATCGAATACTCACTTGAGAGGTGACATTAACATTCTCATGGTTGGTGATCCATCGACAGCAAAATCACAAATGCTTCGATTCATGTTAAACACAGTTCCACTTGCTATTTCAACTACTGGTAGAGCCTCTACAGGAGTTGGTTTAACAGCAGCTGTTGTGGCAGATAAGGACACTGGTGAGCGATCGCTTCAAGCAGGTGCCATGGTGTTGGCAGATCGAGGAGTTGTATGTGTCGATGAATTTGACAAGATGTCTGATCAAGACAGAATTGCCATGCACGAAGTGATGGAACAACAAACTGTGACGATTCAAAAAGCAGGTGTTCATGCTTCTCTAAATGCTAGATGTTCAGTTTTGGCAGCAGCTAACCCTATCTATGGACAATATAATCGACAAGTATCTATTCAGAGAAATATTGGATTACCAGATTCACTACTCTCTCGTTTTGATTTAATATTTATTTTACTTGATGATCGAAATGGAGAGAAGGATCGATTAATTGGAAGTCACGTGTTGAATGTTCACAAGCAACAACAAGCTCAGTATCACTCGGCGAAGGTTGGAATTTCCACAGAGACACATTTAACAGAATTGGATGAAATGAATTCCTTCTTTGCTGAACTTGACAAGATTCCACACTCTGATTCCACCTACACTGAAAAACATCAACATTTAATCATTCCTCTTTCATTCCTTAAAAAGTATGTCAAGTATGCCAAACGAATGAAACCAGTTCTCACCGATGAAGCTCGAGAATTTATTCACAACAAGTATTTGGAATTGAGAACAAACAATGGACAAAAAACATTGCCAATTACACCAAGAACTTTGGAATCATTTATTCGTTTGGCCACAGCACATGCCAAAATGAGATTAAGTCCTGAAATTAATGTTTGTGATGTTGAAGCTGCTTACAAGTTAATGTATTACTCGATATGGTTCCTTAATAACACCAATAGCTCAGATGCTATCCTTGCTCAATTAAGTAATCAACAAGATGTTGAGGATATTCAATCAAATGGAACATCATCTGGTGTTAACAAGAGAAGGACCAAGAAGAACAAGACTGTGACACCTGCAGCTGGATCGAGCTCACAAAATAATGAACACTATGATGATGACGGACAACGAAAAAGAACACGTGATGACTTTGAAAATGAAGAAGAAATTGAAGATTCTGAAGCTCTTGAAGTTGTGAAAAGAGCCGTCTATCAACATGCACATGTCAACTTTTCCATCGAGGAATTACACAAAATTGTGCACAATGAGAGTCAAATACCAAAGAAACAATTCATTAGATTATTGCAAGAATTGGATAAGGATTCGTTCTGTATTGTTGATGGAGATGAAGTATTGTATTGTGGTGCTTAATGTCAAATTTGAGTGAACCAAAAAGACACTAGGAGACCCAAATTAAGATTTGTTTGATCATTAAATTTGTTTTCAAAATGTTATTTCCTTTTTCGAGTTTCGCTGGTTGCAATCATTTCCTTAAACAAGTCACTCACACTAAATCTTAGGAACATATCCTTCATGAGAGAGGCATACATTTCTGAAAGGACACAATCAAAGATGAGTGGTGCCTTCTCGTTAAATTGTTGTTTCGTTTCCGCGGAAGATATTTCTGTATGTTTAAAAATTGTGGAAATTTGATTTTTCACTTCATTCCTTAATCGGTCTGTGGTATTGATATATGTGATGGTAGATTCATCAAAGAGAAATTGTTGACCAATTTTCATTGCAACTTGGTAAGCCTTATCCTTCTTTTCAAAATCTGCCACTGGTTTGTATTTCAAATGTACTTCCTCCCAAAATTGAATATTCTCAGAGTTATATTCCTTATGTGAAAATATTTTGAAATATTTTCGATAGTGTTCTGTTTGCAAAACTGTGATCATGTCGAGCGAAGAAATTTTGCTGTTGATCAATTCTTGTTGTGAATTTCCAAAACAAGACGACGATGAATTTTTCATCTTTTCTAATTGATGTTTGACCTTCTCGTTTCGTTCCACCTCTTCTTGCTCCTTCATGTCTTTTGAAATTTCTTGTAAAGATGCCAATTGATTCGTTTTGGTAATTCGATATCTTGGTGAGGGTTTTGAAAAAAAGGAATGAAATTGTTCTTCGCTTTGAAGAGTTGTTTTCGAAGTTAACACAGCTTGCTCTTCTGGTAATGAAATTATTTCATGATTCTTTTCTTTGGATATTTCTTGATTCTTGTCTGTGGATAATTCTCGAGATGACTCTTGTAAGGACAATTCTTGCGATGAATTCTCGTGCAATAAAATATGTCGAGTGTCATTCGTGACCATTGACTGTTGTAAAGAATGATCATCTTGTAGATTATTATTTAAAATAATTTCCTTAATGATATCAGGACAAGGATCTGCATAATCATGCCGTAACTCTTTTACAATTTTACCATTCCTCAGTAAAAACATGGCTGGCTTGATGAAAAAGGAATTTCCATCATATGAAGAGGGAGTTCTCAGAGGTTGTTTGAAACCTTGTTTGTTGGCAATCACTATATTTGGAAGTAAATGAGTGACCACTTTTTTGACAGGAACTTTTCTTTGAAAAGAAATATCGAACTGTTCAGCATACACTTGATGTGGATCTGCAATTCGAAACATTTCTTTAATTTCAGGAATATCAAACTTATATATTGAATGATCATTTGTTTCAAAACTTTCACACTGAAAACACTTACTGAATTAAAAAATTCCTCTCCAATTCGTTCTTCCTCAGGATACACCACAATGGGTAACACATTAAGCTGTTTCAATGAACGATACATTTCCAAAAGATGAAACATTCTACGGTTACAAAAACAACATCCTTCGAATTTGACAAATCGTCGAAAGATGAGTAAAATGTAGTGATGATTTGAAAGTTCAAAAACACTGGTTTTAATATTTGAATTTGTCTCAGTGTTGTCATGATGAGTGTGTGGTTCTTGTTCGATGACGTGATGAGAATGGGTGAGTGGTTCAATGATTTGTTGATTCCGATGGCATGTATTTGTCGGAAACATTTGTTTGAGTGCAGATTCAATGGAGTTGGCTTGAGATTTGAAATCGATAGATTCATCTTGTGTTGGATGTGAATGGTGGACAAGCTCTTCAGCTTGTGGAATGGATGTTGAGGAGGACATGTTCGAAGATTTGGATTTTTTAATTTTTTTTGACGTTTGAAAGCCAACAGCTCTACAAGTCCAAAATGGTAGGTAAATAGTTCATCCATGATAGATGGTTCAGAAATGCAAGAGTTGAGAGGTTCATTGAATAAATACCTTGTTCATGATGTTGAAGAAAGTGATAAAATCCTCTTTATCGTTTTCTATTTTTGTTGGAGGGTTCTATAGACACACTCGATGAGTTAATTGTGTCAAACGCTTCCTCTTTGGTTCGCTTCTTTGTCGTCGTCTCTCCACTTCTACTACTAACATTCTTTTCATTCGTACTTTCAGTTCCATGACTTGGCATACTTTCACTACTCGTTGTCGCTGTCGTTGACACTGATTTCCTTCCTTCCTTCACAATTCTTGCTCTCGCCTTTTCCAAATCATATTGTCTCGATTTTGGCATTCCTCTTGCTCCATGCCACAACTCGGCATCACGTGTGGCGAGTAAGACTTTCTTTGCTTGTTCATTTTGCGAGAATTTACAATACAACAATTCCTCCATCACGGAATGTTTCATTTGATTCCATTGTTTCAATTGAGACTCATCCAAAATTGCTACTTTACGTTGTTTTCTAGCCTCTTCACCATCACCCTGAGAAAGTTTACTTTTACTTTCCATTGCAAAAGTATCTGCAAGAGTCTTTGAAACGAGAGCAATTTTCTGAGATTGAAAACAATGTTCAGCTGTCCGATATGTTTTTCCATGATATTGAAATGGTCCGATATGAAAATTAGAGAGAACCTTTCTCCAATCTTTGAGACGAGAGAGTTCCGAGAAGTAATCCTTGTTCTTGTTGCCCAATGATTCATTGGCTCCTTTTCCTGGAGGTTTATCAGCGGATTTGGAATAATAAAAGAGAATGGTTTGATCCGAGGATGGGTTCTTGTTTGAAGACTTTGATTCAGATGGCATATTCTATAGGATGGAGTGTGGCACGTGTTTCGTTTTTTTAAAGTTCTTTGATCCTCTCGAAGCAACTCCAGTGGTTGAACTTGAAATTGGTGAAATAAAAGTTGTGAAATTTGTGAAAAAGAAATCCCGCAAACATGAATCATGATCTCGAATGAACAATACCACCATCTCGTATTATTTCACATCATCATCACATTGCAAGACACGTTGTTTGTCGGGTTGACTTCTCTCTATTTTGCATCCCAGCAGCTTTGTTCGTTCGCTTTTAAAGTGTTGACCAAAAGTCCAACCAAATATTCAGTCAGGACCTCTCTTTGCTTCTCTTCTTGGAAACAGTGCCGACCTGTACATGGCAGACCACAACACCAAATTCAAAAATGGATTCAACAAGAATCTGCACTCTGCGTTTCGCGCAAACGAGCGAAAGAGGTGGTGAGTTTCCATTCATTCTTGTGAGGAGAAAAAATCGAACGAAAAAAACTAGCCAATATTGGTCTCTCTTTTTCAATATTGAGAAAATACACTCACCAGTTGACAACAAGCAATGACTATACCATCATCGATAAATTCCTGCTATGCATGGAACCACACAAAGAACAAGAGCAGACCCATTCCTATTGTGGCATCATCTTCATTACCAAGATTTGAACCATGCATGTCACCATATATGATGAAATGTTGTGAGCATATCAAACATACAAGACGAAAGGAAAGATGTGAACCAACAACGAACATTCATGATCTTTATTCTACGACGAGAGGAAACTCAACGTGCACAACGCTCTCAGTAAAGCAAGAAAGGATGGATATGAAAAATCAATTGTCTCATTCCTTTCAAGTGCATGAGGATGACCTTTACAATGAAATGAAGACCATGGTGAAAAATCATCGACTTGCTCAACAAAGTAAGCCACTAAGCGAAAGATTCGACTCTGAAAAGAGTCGATTATTCATCTCAAATTCGCTCACTACCAAATTTTTGAAAGAGAATGACACTTGTCTCATTACAATTCCTGACGATTTACAAATTTCGAATTTGATAGATCCATGTTTTCATTTGAGAGTTGGAACTATTTTGGAGTTGGATCTTATGAATGAGGAATGTCTTGTACAGATTACTTTTGAAAACCATTCTAAAATGCAAGTGATTGTACCTTCGTTTTGTTTATGCTTGGAAGATCGAGTGTTATATGAAAGAATGAAAAGAAAACGTAAGAAGATTTTATTTAGAAGAAGCAAGGAAATGCAAGAATCCAGAACCAACCAAGATGATGATCAGATTCAAGAATTATCTTGTGAGCTGAAGAATGAGGAAAATTTAACAAGTGAAAAGAGTACGAGTCGAATATTGGCAAGAAATGCAACAACCTTAACTACCAATAATGGAAAACAAAAACCAGTGTCGACAATAGAAAGCAGAATACCGAAACGAAAGTATAAAAGTTGTTAACAAGATGATTGTTGCTGTTATCTTTGTATTCCTGTTTGAAATGCACCATCAGTAGCTTATTGCATGGCTTCTTTGGATTTGGGCATCTGAAGTCATTGTAAGGGTACCTTGCCAACAAGGAAACAGCTTAGATGCCAGTTAAAACATTGCAAAGAAATTTTATTGCTCACAATGATTTTCCTTATTACCTATTTGTGGAGGAACGGCAAGATTTTTCAATATCTTATCATCGAGTTCCCGATCACTATCTTGTCTGGTGCTCTTTTGATTTGAAATATTTCTTAAGGGTTGTCTTGTCTGTTCAACATTTATGGAGGTATTGTTACTAAAACCAAGGGATTCCATGTTTGAAAGCATGGTTTTAATCTTGTCCAACGACTGTCTTTCTTCTGTTGTTCCTAACATGTATTTCAATACTGCGAAAAGTTTTCCACAATCTGGGTCAAACAGCTTATTCCGTTTGTAATATTCATTCAAAAAATCTATCATTTCAGTTCGATATTGTTCACATGACTCAAAAGGTTCTTTCATTTTCGACTTCAATGATTTTCTGTATGTAATGTGATGTAAATAATTCACAATGACCACAGCCATGGAATAAATGTCAACTTCTTTCATTTCAAAACAAGGATCAGAATATGGATACTTGTAAACATAATCAACAGATTGATTTGGAAGCACTTCTCGAAACATATTGTTAGAGGTAGAAATACTATCTCGCTCTCTCAACAGCAACGAGGAATTGAAATCAATAACAACTAGTGTAAAGCATGCCAACTTTTCTTGATTGTTGTTAGCTCGTTTCCACCTATCGTGATCAAATCGAATCATTAAATTCCCAAGAGAAATATCAGTATGTTGAATATTCAATTTGTCCAGCTGAAACAAAATGTCGAAACATTGCTTCACTAGGTTCATAAAAAACATTTTTGAATACATTCTGACCCACTCCGAAATAGATACCATTTCCAGCACATCTTCCAACGATAGTAACTTTTCTTGAATCGTAATACTAATAGGTTGAGTGGAATGTACAAGCTTTTTGAGTTCGTTCTCACCGCTATTGCGTTGTTTCATTAAATTATAAACAATACTCTCAAGTTTAGAGTTGGATTGAACATGTTGAAAATCAAAAATTCTGACCATATTTGGAAAGGCGTTAATCGGCTTGGCTTTTTGAAGATGGACCATCTTTTTCATG